TCTTCGGTGACTCGATGCGTAAGAGCTAAGCAGGGAATTAGTACCAGACCATTAGTTGCTCGAGAGGATGCTAACAAATAGGTGCCGGATCATGCCAGCGAAGGACTTCCTTGACCAGAGCAGTGACATATGGCAAATCGTCTGCATGGCTGAAATCAGGGAGGGTTCCCGGACCAAGAACACGATCAAGTTCCTCCTGCGCCTTCCGTTGGGCATCCGGATTTGAGAGAATGCCTAAAAAGGCTGATTGCAGCGGGGCGATGTTCTGTTAATCTGAATGTAAGAGCAATGTTTTTGTGAATATGTCATAACAGTCTGCTTACCGTATCGGATCCGACTATGAGCGCGGATGGTTGCCTTAATAACATTATGGACGCTCAGAGAGAACCTACCTAAGAACATTGAGGCAGCAGTGTTCTTCACTGCCTCTTCCTCCTTTGCTTTTGCTTCCGGTGTATCGTCTTTCTCCGCGATTTGATCTAGACTGAACGAAGTAAACGACGGACCAGACGTTCCCTTTGCCTGCAGTCCATTCAGAGACCCGAGCACAGTGTATAAAGGGAAGGAAAGCTTACAATGCGTTCCTTTGCTGCTGCCCACGGTAGGTCGAAAGTATCGTCTGTTTCTTTCTTCCACTGCCTCGCTAGACGCTGGAAGCCTGCTCCTGGAACCCATTCTGGTACGTATCTCAGAATGGGTATCATATCCACCAGGAATGCACCAGGGACAAAGGCGCGAACGACGCCAGCGACAGCGCGTTCGGAGCAGGCAATGAACGGATCATCCTTTTCTTGCGGTTTCATACCATAGGCAATGTCCATTGAAACTGAACCGGACATGCTATATATAAATGTTCAATCTCATGTGGCTTGCATGAAAGAATATATCATACTGGCGAAGATGCTCCACAAAATCTTCAGGGTCTTTAAGCAGGCGAGCAAGGAGCTCACGACTAGCCGCCAGCATATGTGGTCGAAAACGTGTTGACGAACTAGGATTGAATTCTTGGTAGAACAAACGCCGTCCCGCTCGCCTGCATTAAGATAATTCAATTCCTTTTTATAAGCAAAAATTGGTAAATTGTATTACCACTCGTCGCCTGTATTGCGAAATTTTAGGTCATGTAAGATAAAATAACATTCAAACGTACCATATGCCATGCTATGAAGGTTTCTGGACCACCCCATGAGCTCGTTCACCATGATGTGTCGAGGTCTATTACAAGAGTTATATCATGCTCAAAGAAAATAGAGTTCACCCACCTGTCCGAGTAAATAGCGGATCGCTTCACGAATAGATCATTAATCGCCTCTTCGGAGTTGAGTATCACCATGGATGTGTTAAAAATCTTGGCGTAGACGACGTCGGAACCTTGGGTGGAGGATGAGCGTATGGTTGTAAGGATGTTCGGAGTCCTCACCATACTGGCGACTCCATTCAGCATACTTGACCCAAGGTGTATCCGTTGGATAGTCCAGAGCGTTTCCGACGATGGGAAGCCGTTTGGGACCCGGAGGTAAAGGAAGTCTTCGTCTTACATGCAGTAAGTAGCCTCCAGTTACAGCAAGAAGCGCTATGAGGACACTGAGCATGCTAGAGCTGGAGGTGAGGAAGTCGACGGTAGTGACCATGATTCCGATGGTAAAACTCAAGAGTCTTGGGGAATCATAAGCTGAAGACCGTGGTCTTAAATGTTTTGAAGCAACACCACTGTGATCAGATTCTGATAAAGACACCGAATGCACTGTAAGAAGATGGAAGCGTATAATTAAACAAAATTACGCACACGTGGTTCCATATCCATGAGAGAGTAACACAGATCTTACACAGATGCCATTCCGAGGCGCCATTGTTCTAAGCAATCTTATTCAAGGATCGAAATCTAAGTGCATAAGTTCATGCAATTGCAACCTGCATGCAACGAAATTGTTCTGATTTCTTGCTGATTTTGTTTCCCTTTGATTGTTCTCCCTGAGACAGAGGGTCGGCTCTACTCCAGCTCTGGTATACTCCGCCGTCCGAAATTTTAGAAAAGAAATGTCCTGAGATGTCCCTACTTTGAGAGGTGCATGGTAAGGGATATTATAAATGCGTTACCAGAGCTCGAGGTTACCAGCAGATCATCGTAAGTTTTCGTGACTTGCAGAAAACTTATCAAATGGCCAAAGCGTAATATTGCCTACTTGTCGACATAGTTGTTTACGAGATGAACTTAGGCAATATGATTGCTTTTTATGAAAGTTCTATGTCACAAGTACTAATGTGATTCTGTAGGACCCCGGACTACCGACCAGAATCTCTTATCCAAAGAATTCTCAAGACCAAGCATGAACCAGATTCGCCAAAAATTCCATGAATATGATGCGAACTGGGATAAGTCGCTACATAGTCCGGGGTCCTGATTCTGTACACAAGTCAGAAATCCTATAATATTTTAGGAAATTTGCGTCAGTTTCCGTACAGTAGCGAAAACTAGCGACAACTGAAGAAGAATCAAGATTGCCACCCTGTGCAAGGTAGGATTTCAACGTGTTTGCTGCTTCACCAATCAGAGTATGTACTGTATGGTGCGGAGCAAACATTGCAACAAGAGGGATCCAGAAAAATAATTTACCGCCGAAACCGCCCTTTCCAAACTGGAGAACTATCCTATTCTTGCAGTGTTTGTAGGAAAAACGTATTCGCCATATCATTATCAGGAAACCAAAAAAAGATTCTCAATAATTCACTCAGGCGTAATGTCATGAACAGCGTGTCGATTCTAATCTAAACCCGTTTGCCCCTTCCAATAAATGGCCATTCGAGCTGTTTAGACATATGCACTGACTCGTCAAGCTCCTCAGCAAAATCCCAAGCTGTTCCGGGTTTTTCCAGGAAGTTACGGCCGACGAAGCACATATCCCCACGCTTCTCCTGGAGGTACTGCTCGGCTACTTTACCAGACGTAATACCACCTAGACAGCCAACAAGTAACGAGTCTCCGACCGCGTCTTTAACCTGCTTGGCGTATACGGACTGGATGTTGAACACATTAATTGTTTGAGCAGCAGATTGGCCGCCGGAAGAAACATCAAGAACATCGACGCCGTGTTCGCGAACGATTTTAGCGAGTTCAATGGTGTCTGGAAGCTTCCAGCTGGGATAGTTCTCCTGCTCCAGGCAATCAGTAGCAGAAACACTGCAATACGAATCCTTCAGATCTACCTAGCGAAGAGACAAGAAACAAAAGACCGACCGAAGGACAAGGGGCATCGTATCTGGAATCACAGCTCTCACTGCGTCGATGACCTCTAGAACAAGTCGGATACGGTTTTCGAAGCTTCCACCGTACTTGTCTGTTCGTTTGTTCGCAACTGGGCTCAAAAATTCAGATAACAGATAACCATGGGCGGCATGGATATTGAGGACATCATAGCCAGCAGTGACAGCCCGCTGTGCAGAATTCTTGAATGCCACAACAACCTCTTCAATTTCCTTGATAGTAAGCGCATGGGGAACGGGATAACCCGGTTCGAAGGGAACGGCGGATGGAGCGACAATCTTGTCGGCCCAGCCACCTGCCGCAGGAGTTGCAACTGCACTAAAGCTCAACCACAATGCGACACATGAGCCCTTTCGACCAGAATGCATAAGCTGTATATCGTGTCAACTCTCAGGATGTTGCAAGAAGAAATGGCTCCAGTACCTGAATACCAATCTTTTGTCCTTGAGAGTGGGCAAACCGGACTACCTCTTGATGACTTGCAATCTGGGAATCGTCCCAAAGTCCAAGATCTTCAGGCGTGATACGCCCAATCGCCTCGACGGCGGAACCCTCAACGAACGTAAGCCCAGGGCCTACAAAGCTTCCATGATCTCTGATAACACGCAACAAATGAAAACAGTCTTACCGCGAATGAGAATACCACCGAGATATGCCATATGCCAGGGTGTCATTTTGCCATTGTCAGCGGAATACTGTTGCATGGGGGAAACCTGGTTTTCCCAAGGAACCATCAGATTAACAAGAGTGGACAAGATTCTTAAAGGTAGAAAGACACACCCAGACACGATTGGGAAACTCAACTCCCCGGATTTTCAACGGGGTAAAGAGCAAAGTTTTAGCCTTAGAGCGGGCAGAGCCTGCAGGGGGGCTTTGAAGAGGTGTGTAGAATGGTACACCTGGGGCACGTTTATTGATGATTGTAGGGAGAGACATGGCAGACGTGGTATGAGTGAGAAGGTAAGTCAAGGAATTCTTTAAAGAAGGATGCGATAGAAAGTGCACGTTGTAACAGGTTATAACTTGATGCTGATCAATCACTATAGATCACTTTATATCCCTTTCAAGGCGTTGCTACCGCGTGGATTAGCCGTTAGTCGCCGCAACATCGTATAGACAGACCCTGGAAATTGACAAAAAGAATAGGCGATCTCAATTGATTTCCCTCCTTTCCTCCAATGAAGCTCTCGTCTCTGGCATCTGCACTTCGAACGAAAGCAAAGACCAAGAACAGTCAAAGATAACCAAAAGCCCAAGAGCGCACATCAGCCAGCACACTCCAGCACAAGACTCTCGGCTTTGATGAGCTTTCACTGCGCCGCAAGATTTGTGCAGGGCCAGTAAACGTTTTGATATTATTTGAATGCTCTACATGTGTCAGCTTGTGGTCGTAGCACTTCGCGACAAGATGCAAGGAGGTATGAGAGCGTAACTTGGGGGATACGTATACGATATAGATCTGTAGAAGTACGTACATATATAGTTTGGGGCCAAGAAACTTATTCAGGAAGAGGTGCAGAGAGGATCAAGCTGGAACACGGTCTGGTGAGAACATGTGCATGATCCGTAGTTTAGAAACAACACGTGTTTCTGATGCCGTTCGGAAACACGTTGCAAGTCTTTCTCAGTCGAGTGATTTCTATAACAACCCTGGTTGAAATTATGATCGAGCCTGGATGAATGCAACTCTTTCACAGGTAACTGAAAATTCCCGCTACTTACCTCTTTAGAGATTGAAGGGTTTTGTAGACCCAACATTTCGATTTTGCCATCAAATGTCCTGCCACGTGCTTTTCGTCACTGAATTTTAGTCATTCAACTTTTCTTCGTCGACGCGTCGACATTGATTGAGTTCCCCGTTTCTTTGATCTTTATAAGCAATGTTCAATCCTGTAACCTTGACAAGTCTCTGTAGTTGACAAATTATCCTATATTGACCTCGCAGGAGAATTTTACGTACAAGCAACATCCTGGACCCTTGCAACTAACAAGGTAGCGGGCCCTACCGCTGGCCGGCGCTGTTTGGATATTACAGCACTATCATCTTTCGAAGAGAAGCATACAGTGCTGCGTAATTCTTTGGTTGCTCAAAATTTTTCCATCTATTTGTGTTTAATTATTTGTCCAGTATATTTTGCCCTAGAAAGGATTTCAGCAAGAGCTTTTCCGACACTGTAGGTACTGTCCACGATACAGACTACGTCTGTTTCGATATAGCCCAAGCAGGAGTAATCAAGATATGGCTACACAAGTCTGCAGCTACGTAGTAATACATGTTATCCGCTCAGAGGCTATGATAATCCTTCACTAGGTTACCGACGCACATTTTATTGGATTAAATGACAAGCTTTAAATTATGTTAAACGGGAGGGGTGGGTTTGAAGTCAGAATCGTCCCCTTTGTTGGACATCGACTGCATCACATAGTGTTCTTCCCGAGTGACATCAATGTGAACCTAAAGAGGCTTGTAAGCACGAAAGTCGGAAATGATTCGGGGAACAGTCCACCCACCTGAGGCCTGCTTGCGTTCCGACCGGTACCGCGCTCCATAGCACTGAGGAAGTTGACCTCCTTAACATTACTGGAACCGTGGCTAGTGGCATCCTGACCCCGACGAAGCTTGCTACGTTCGTTCAGGTTCTGAAATACGTGATTTTGGTCAGTGTCATCCCAGCGAAAGAAGGGCAGTGAGACTCACGAGGAACAAGGTGTTTCTAATGCAAAAAACAGAGAATCAACAATAGGCTCAACCAGAAAAACACGACGTACGAGTATAAGCGCGCTGATAAATGAAAGTTTGAGAAACACCAATCATCAAGCTCGATAGGCAAACATACCTTGCGACCAGGCGAACAATTGGTGGATTGCTGTCGTAGGACTAGCAACCTGTGCTGTGATGAAAACCAACCACTAACGGTTTTAAGAGAGCTTGACTCACAACTCCGGTGATATGTCCAATCTGAGGAGAGACGATTCATGAGTATTTATTTACACAATGAACGGTAGCCGAAAATACGCACAGTAAAGAGAGTGACAGGTAAAGCGCATTCAATGGCAACCAAAACGAGATTGTATACCATCCAATCCGTCTCTGAAATCCGTTCAAAATGTATGAAGATGTCAGTAGTAAGAGAACTTACGCTTGAAACCAGTTCTTCTGTACATGAGCGTTGCAACGAGGGTTATCCTGACATCGGTTCAACACCTTGACCACGATAAAAAAGAAATATTCTTACATTACCGTCATATCCGTCGCAATCGCAACCGACTCCCAGGCCACGGCGACGGGTACAAATTTCACGTAGCCCGCCGTGGTCGCGGTGCCGCTAGCGTCAAGAGCGAGAAGACTGCCAGACATATACAGCCCTAAAAACACCTGGACGAACCCAAGAGTACAGGCGAGCGCAAAGATACAATTGGCAAGGATAGGGTGCTGGCGTCCCAACATTTTCCGAGTTCTGTTAACGAGGAAAAACTATGCAAAACCAATCAGTTTTGAGACCCTTATGAGTAGTAACGGCGCACTTGGGTCGGTGCGGCAGTCCTGGAGAATACGTGAAAAGAAGGTCAACTAGACGATAACTGGAAGGCTGAATTTCTTCTCGTACAGAACAATAAAGATAGGGCCACTGTCATATTGCTAAAATAGATGGATAGTACCTTAGTATATGCGCTGCTGAATAGATAGAAACACGTACCCAATGAGAAGCATATAATGTTGTAGGATCCCCGAAGTTAGCAACAGTATACATCCAGAGATACTAAGTTTAAAGCAGGTCAAACAAGTAAATTACTTCAAGTGTGACTTATATTTACCTCCCAAGATATGGCGACGTGAACGATATCAAGGAGCATAACCCAGAAGACAAGTCCACTGCGCGTTACAGCACCGGGATCAGAGAATACCTAAGTTAGGATAAGATTATCGCGCACCGGATGGTCCACTAATCAAGAGTCAGAACATGCAACCCAGAGTTTAAAGACATAGTTTAAAGACATCAATACGCACACCGTCGTTAAACTTGCTAGTAAAGTATGCCACCCATTCTGCAACATGAATCCATCAACTGACAAATTCTAGCTTTCGAGAATACTTGGAGTAATTACGCATAAACAGAATCCCGAAAAGGAATGTGCTGAAGAGAACACCGATTTGCACAGCGCCCAGTGTTTCTGCAACAGCTTGAGTGGTTATGGCGGACATGACGATGGCGGAAACGAGGGTAGATCTGGTACTTTTTCTGGGAGGTCAAGACATATATACCGTGCAGGAAAGAATTGCTGGAATATAATTGAGGGATGTTCATGATGACCCTTCATTGAATAAACAGCATAGTGCGGGATCATAAGAAAATCGTTTCAAGTCCATTTGCGAATCTACGGCCTAAACGATAGCGGTCGTCAAGTTGTTACATATACATAAATACAGTACAGTAGGGAAGAGTAGTGGAAAAGTCTGGAAAAGCATATGTAGGACTGATGTAGGAAGTGGAGCTGGAGGCCTCAGATCTCAGGCCTTCTCAGGCTCGGGAGCCTCAATTTTGTCGCGCGCGAGCGGACCCCTGGCGGACCAGGGCGGACCCCAGGAAAGCCTGAAAGAGTATAGAAGCCGCCCAGATTTCGATGTCAAGATCCACGGCATTAAGAGGGTAAAACATATGTAGAAGACAATAGAGGATATCTGTCGCAATATACAATCCCTGCAATTCCGGACTTTCTGACTTAGCACATTGAGTTCCATTCTATGTAAGTAACATGATATGAGATACTCTATTCTAAAAAGTTGCGTTTCCATGTTACTTCTAAGGGTGAAAGTCTATTGATACCACGCGGCCACTTTGCCAAGATCCAACGAGCTAAGGCCCACATGCGCCATCGAGAGCCATATCTGCAACGTTATGTAACATAATAAGAGAGGTGACCAAGTATATGATGCTTGAATCGCTCACATTGTAGTACAAGTAGGAAAGTCGGTCGTCTTTCGCCGATTTCAAAGTCAGGAAGCGAACTCCAGTGACTGCTCCAAGTGCCATCAATGCAAGCAGAACAAATTGGTTGGCTTCAGAAAACAGGTAAAGCGTTATTGACCAGGCAGTCAACAAGAATGGCATGCTGATTCTAGAAAAGACCGGGAACGAGAGCGTAAATGTACGTCTTCCCAAGAGAGCATCCCCTTCATCATCCCGAAAGTCTTGGGCGTGAATCGTGGTAAAAATAATCAAGGCGCTTCCAATAATGGCACCAAGTTGGTTCTGATTAAGCTTCTCCGAAGAGTCTAAGATTAACAAAGCTTCAAAAGCAATGCCTAAACCGGATATGTTAAGTACTCACCTGCAATCTGTGTAGCGCCATATTCAAATAAAGCATAGAACCCAGCACAGCAGCCGTTCTTGGAAAGCCAGTGACTATGGCCTCCGCCGCTGCAGTAGATGCTGGTGAGAACGCAGATCGCCACTCCTGATGGAACCGCGCCCGCATATAGCGAAAGCGCGAGATCGACAGGTGCAAGCACCCAACCTAGAACAATTGCTGAGTCGACGCTGATACGCTTCGCAGGTATCGGTCGATTTGGCTTATTAACAGCGTCCTCTTCGGGGGACGTGCCAAAAGTCTGATTCGTCACTGTGAAATAAAGAAGGTGCATCCAAATCCAGAACACGACGAGCAAGAATCGAGAGACGGAGTGATGTGAGGCTAAAGCTTGAGAGAAGACAGTCTAATCAACAAGGATGAGTATTCCTGATTTTTCTGAATACCTATATGAATGACTCTCACCACGGGGAGGACGATTGTCTTCATATCAGATTGGTTGAACAACTGAAGCGTAACGAGGAAGTCCCGTATTGTGGTGAGCATTGTGCTTGGAGGGAGAGATAGCAATTAGACCTGTAGACAGACTCCAATATGTAGTCGTTTTAACTCATTACTCTGCGAAATCTCATCAGAAAATTCCTTTCTGATAGTGATACATGCGCATAGCAGTGTTGGTCAAACTCTGGCCGGGGTCGAAGTCACCTATGGTCCTGCTTTCCGTTAGATTTTCTTCCCTGCATTTTTTTTGGATTCGATCCGAGATTCATGATAATCAAACGACGGTGAACCGCATGAATCATGGAATCCCCTTTAATTCTGCAGAACTGAGCGAAACTTCTGTTATTTCTACACTTCCGTCGGATTATAAATTGACTCACGAGAACAAGAGTTCATTAAGGATGCTCATACCCCCGACTCCGTACTTGAATTGATATACAGAAGGTCGGAACCTGTCGGAGCATGTGTAGTTTTGCGTCTGCAAAATTGACATAAGCCTTGTTGATACATAGATAGCAATATACATACTAGTATTTCTGCAGGTATCGCGACGACTTCAAGTCCCAAATATTGTGTAAACGATGTTGGAGAAGGGTAGATAAAATCGGGTATCTACTAATGATATTCAGCATTTCGAAAGAACATTTGAGAGAGACAGGAAAAAATAAGTGCGGTAATAGAACGATGAGTATATTCACCCAGAAAAACTCAGGCTGAAAGATATCACGCACTGGAACTCCGCAAAGATTGTCTGCGCCGGCATGGTCATAAGATGGGGGAGACCAAGAATTTTTCTGGAAGATGCTGCTCAATTGGTACTGCGAAGGGACCAGCCAACCACCAGTAACCGCGTACAGCCGCATACTAACTATTGGTCCCGAATCCCGCCAAAAGTAACGTTATTCACAAGGGGTTTGTATTGCCGGATTGAACAAAAGCGGATTCCGTTCTTGAAGCTTGAAGATTGATATGTACCTTGATTCCTATAGAAATTAGACGAAGTAGACTTTAGAACAGGCTGGAACCTGCCGGAACAGAAGGATCTGTAGATTGAACGGCTACAAAATATCACGCCGTCTGTACTCCACACACACTACAGCACACTACCCGGTTCAGAGATCTAGAAAAATCAGAATGATTATCTGTACAGCGAAGGAACATGAGGGAACACGACAAACAGAAAATGCCAGACTTTGCGGTAATAAGCCTCAAAAAATGGTTACGGCCGAAATCAATATCTCATGATACCAGCAACAGACAGAAAAGCGGGATGGAATCTAGAGGATAGAAAACGAATAGTATGTTCGGTCGGGAGGGTACAAGATACGTATCGTTGTAGATGATGGCGGAAATAAAAGCGAAATGAAGGTTATGATCCACCGTAAAGGGTCGTGAAGCAATCAAGCGAGGAAGGAAACAAGCGAGGAACAGTCCATGCAGAACAGAAGAAAAGGCAATATACTGGACCTAGGATACATTGTATCAATGAAAGATCGAAAGTACTCGGGGTCACAGTTGAAAATCGTATCTTTAGAAGCACAATCAATAAATAAGTTTAGTGATCTGAACACACCGACGAAGTCTGTATACAGACATGGAGGACGAGAATAAGCGTTCGCTAGAAAGGTCTGCCCCGAGTCTACCTACTGAAGCTTCAATTCCATAGTTAAGAACTGAAGATAGAACACGAGGCGCAGTATCAAGTCCAGGATCACGGGTCAATGATAGAGAATGAAATGAAAGACATAGGAAGGAAGAAGTGCAGACTTAACGTTCAAAACCGTGATTGATCATCAGGCCAGATTCTGAAGAAATGTAGCCAAAAAGGTCTCGAGCGACGACGAGCAGGGTCTTCCGAATTCACAGGTTTTGAGGAGTAAAAGTATTGGGCATCCTCCTTGCATCTCATGGTGGCAGAGGTTGCACACAGTACCTCTGGAAGGCTTTCTTTCAAATAGGAACTACGAACGATGAGATTGGGGCGATACGAAAAGGGATACTGGAACGAACCTTGCACAAGCAATCTCTCTTTTCGCAACGGCGTACAGTACTCGTGATTAGCTGACGCATTTAAACTTTAAGCTCTCTTTCGGGATCACGGTGTAATCCAAAATCATGTCGGACAGTGCATCTAAGTCGGATGGTTCATGCGGAAGAAAAGGTTTGTTGATGACGGATTCCGGAGCGTGTGTCCCGGTTTCTCAGGCTTATTATAAACATCTTTCGGACAGCCATTACAAGCACCCATCCTGCTCTTTCCTAGTGATATACGCAAGAATGCAATGGGCAATCTGTATCTGGCTCCTGGTAAATTATTGTAAGGCGACGATATTACCTCACTTCCGGCGTTTTTGCCGACCGACATTCCGTCTTCGAGAATCTTGAATCGAGGAACAGAGGTCAGCACTAGCGCCAGAGTGGTTTCTTAATGTCCAGGAAATGGATAAAGCAACGAGGAGCGTCTATTCTGGCTGCGGTGGCGATAAGAACGACGTCCTGAGTGAGGAAGGCAAGTCATGAATAGCGCTGCCACTCGTGCACTAACTGCAAACCAGTCTCATATATACGTTCACACTACTTGATCTCTAAATCTGATCCTCGAGCTCGATGCCTCAGACACGGGGATCTTAATTGGTGGAAGCGGAAGAGTCAAACTTTCCGGATTCAACGACGTTACGGATAAGGATATCAAGGACTACATAATTTGACCAATATTTCTCAGGCTGGATGGGCTAGTTGTCAGTACGAATCGAAGAGGACGAAGAAGCACTGGGCAGCAAATTATTCGAACAAGGCCGTCTGCGACTCAAGACTCCGAGTTTGTTAAATCGATCCTTAACATCTCCGAGTCGTACCCCCTTCGTATGAGTGGAGTGCTGTGGAGTGGTCATAGTATGTGGTATTGATCAAGCATAAACTTCACCCAACGGCGCCGACGCTAGGTCATATGTATCTGGACTGTGCCAGTTTTTAGCTTTATACTGTAAGCTGCACATCTGAATTTACGGAATGGAAAAGATAAGCACGGTCCCATCGAAGAACAACCGGGACCCATGCTTTCTAGTTTTGTCATCATTTCTCGTCAGTTCGCTGGTTGTTTGACTGCATTGATATCCAACCCCTCTACTAGTCAAATCTAATATCGGGGTTCTCGTCCATCTATCACGGTCCTTTGCACACTTTTTGCGTTTCAACTCTCTCATTTCCGCATCATGTGCGGTTCCTTTGGCTGTTGAGTATTCATTTTTTGGAAATTTTGATCTTGATTGCTCTGACACAAAACACTGTAATATCTATGAAGCTATGAAGCTTGAAGGCTCAGCGAGATAGTCCAGCACCATCTTCCGGCACCTCCTCCCACGTCGACGTCGCCATCGCATTCAAAAAAAAATCCCCCTGCAAGACAAAGACCGTCAAAGATAAAGCGAGGGTTCTAGTCAAGACTATTGCTGCAAGGGAGCTCGGTATTTCGGTGCCCTAATGGGAATACCCTTACTATTACATTGATCTGGTACTCTTTGGACACTACGAAGCCAAAAGGAGAAAAAGAGAACGTGAGCTCGATCTCTTGTTCTTCTATCGAGTGCCACTAAGCTCTTTGTATGATGCTTACGAGAATCCGTGAAACTTGTACTGTCAGGAAGAGGGGGCGGTGTATTCGCCCTTGTCGTCGGATTCAGCGAGACGTTTCTTATATATACGTATTCCGGGTTCCTGACTTACTTCATGAATACTCGACGTATTCTTACTGCGAGTTTCAACGAAGGAACTTGCGATACGTGATTTGGAAAGGTTTGGAATCAATGATATAGGCAATCATGATCATGCCAGTATTTCTGACATACATAGTTTGATATCTCTAGTCAAAATCTAGAAATGATTTTGTCCCTCAGCGAAGGTCACGGAGAACTCCAAACGGCTCGGCCGAGTCATACATTGTAATAGACTCCATTCAAGCTCCATTCCTTCCTCCAGGGTGACCTAGAGCGAGTCGGAAAGCCTTAGTTGGGAGATGTGGATGTGGAAAAGACAGAGGAAGCTTTTGCCGTTTTGAGAAGAGAGATATTTTGGCCTATCTTTGTATGATAGCCTATAACCTTGTGCTGTCGGAGCGATACTTAGTACATCTACAGTATATTATCTTGGACAATTTGCTGATCACGAGTCCAATGTTGAGATGTGTTGATGAAGCCGACGTGCAACTTGAAGGATCTCAACGATCCGACGGCGTATAGTAGCATCTATCATCATGAAACGGTCGAAACCTTCTGGATTTCGCTTCCACCGCTCCAGTTTAATTCCAGTTCGCTTCTAACTGGTCACGATGATACAAATAAACAGATTGAAACACCAACGTTCAAGGATCACTTTCCCCTCCTTCTCCCTCCTTCCTGGCGAGTTGTTTTCTCCTTCCTTGTCCTGGTTTTTTAAATAAAGTTCGATGAAATTTCAGGCATACTCTTTTATAATCATGCCATCCTCGTCAGAAACTCGGGACCACAAGTCGGAATTAGCTAGCCCCGATGGGTCTCTGGAGCAGGAGCAGATTACTGAAGAAGGTTTCAAGGCATGGTGTACGGTGATTGGAGGGTGAGTCGGATACGACATTACTTCTTTCATATTTCGGATGAAGTTATCTCAAGTTTATTCTAGTTTTTTTGCGATCACAGCAGTCTTTGGGTATCAGAACGCATTCGGGGTCTACCAAGACGTGTATGTCCGTTCGGGCGCAGCTTCTGCACAAGCTGTGAGCTGGATAGGGTCAACTCAGATCGCACTCATGGTCGCGCTCGGTCTTCCGGCTGGGAAGCTTTTGGATCTTGGATACTTCAAAGCGATGACCATTATAGGATCTATAATATATGTGTTTTCGTGCGTGTCCCTCCTTGAATTTGTAAATCCTTTCTGGCCGTTGATCCAATTTCTGGATAGGATATTCATGCTATCTATCGCTCACACCGACAAGTATTATCAACTCTTCCTTTCTCAAGGTCTAGCAGCGGGTATCGGTGCTGGGCTCGTATACGTACCTGTCTTAGGTGTGCAGACTCATCACTGGCGACGACGATCAAGGCCTGTAGCATTGGGTATCGTGATAACGGGTAAGCGAAGAATCCTTAATGGTTTGTTCCGAACGAATCCCCTCATTCTGATGATCATTGTTACCGTAGGATCTTCTGTCGGAGGAATCATTTTCCCAATCATGTTGAACAACCTTATCGCGAACCCAAACGTTGGTTTTGCTTGGGCAGTGCGAGCTTCTGCGTTCGTGTGCCTAGGGTTGTTGGTCATTGCTAACATTTTGATGACCACGAATCCTCCGCCTAAAAATCGGAAGAAAACTTTGACCAAATTCAATGTACTCTTCACGGACGTTCCATACATTTTAGGAGTTATTGGGTGAGTACCCTTGTTCAAGCTATCACACGGGTGAGCTGTCCTGTGAGTTGTTCTGATCGACATGATGCTGTTTTCTTGAATAGCGCGGCAGTTTCAGACTGGGGTCTCTTCTTTCCTTGTATGTCGCATCGAGCTTCTTCTGTCTTTCAGTCCAACTAATCACCATCTGTTCGACTTCTTGACCCCACTCGATTTCTGACATCTAGATTTTTACTTGCAACTATTCGCAATCGATAAAGGCGCAAATCCCACATTCTCGTTTTACTTGGTGAATCGTGAATTGTCCCCATACTGTTGCCCTTTCTAATTATTCGTCCATACAGCTTGCCATTCTCAACGGATCCTCCATTCCCGGTCGAATCATACCCAACATTCTTAGTCATAAATTTGGTGTCTTCAACACCGTTGCCTTCTGTACTCTCGCATGCAGTGTACTTACGTTTGGCCTTCTCGGTGTGGGTAATTCAGTTGCTGCGCTTGTCATCTTTGCCATCCTTTATGGATTTTTCTCTGGTGGATGTGGGTACTTATTCATAGTTATGGACTTAAAAAACTGAACATATCTGTAGTTATTTCCCTTTTAGCACCAGTCGTTGCTTCGTTAGTCCAAGACGAAAGCGAAATTGGGTACGTTTCAAGATATCTCATCGGGTAAATACTTATCAGTTTTCCAAACGTGTAGTATTCGTCTGGGTCTTGCATACTGTATTAGCTCACTGGGGATCTTGACTGGGAACCCCATCGCTGGCGCTCTGTTGGGAACGACATTTCCTTGGTGGCGAGCTATTCTATTCAGCGCGGTCAGTGGAATAATCGAATTTGAGATCATGTTTTCTGAGATTCTAGGTATCAGGTAATGTTGCTTGTTGGACTGGTACTTATTCTCGTAGCACGCACAGTTCGTGCTTCTCAAAAACAGACTCAAAGGGTATGAGTGTTAAAACGTTAACATTTATGTAAATATTGTACACCACAAAAGACCACAAACTGTAAGATAATGCGATTTCGTTGATAGTCGTGTACTCGAGCATTTTATGCAAACAGAAGACGTCGCTGTGATCCACCTATGTTTTTTTCCACTCTCGTAAATTGTGGCTTACGAGACTGAACCACCATCCATCCACTGATTGCAGAGCATTGAGCAAGGTGATATCCAGATTTCATGATGGTAGTCCTCCAGTATACTACTATCTATCCTATCCTATCATGTGGTAATTCGAAGAATCCAGAATGATTCCTGTAGTCATCACCGCAGTTGCGGCGGACACTCAACTCGGAAGCGCAAATGCTGTTGAAAGAGTCATCCAAAGACCTTAAAAAGCTTATGATCATTCAACGGACTCTATAACCACTATGGGACTTTTCTACCATTGCCGCCTGTATGATCTTCACACTGGCAACAACCTTCTCCTGGACGGATGCTCTGCTCAGGTATCGATTACAGATGTCCATGCCGCTGTAACAATTTCGCAGAAATTCACTTGCTCATCAAATCATGGAAATCCAGCTCATCAGGTTTCGGGGGTGTTTACGTTCAGTCTCATGAGAGATGCCGCGGTGTGCGAGTTTGAGATGGTGAGAGGCGATGGGACAAAGGTTGAGGGAGTCGTGAAAGAAAAGGAGGAGGCGAAGCGGGAATATGATGAGGCTCTTCGGCAGGGTTACACAGCGAGCTTGGGACAACAGGAAACTGGCGATGGTATGTTTAGTTTTCTTTCACTCTGAGTGTTCTATTCTACAACTATTCGTTTAGTTTTTTCTATCAGCGTCGGCAGTATTGCCGCTGAAGAGACTGTTACCATCAATCTGAAATATGTTCAACCTCTCATCGACGATGAGAAAAAGAATCAAGTCAAATTTATCTTCCCTCGAACTTATGCACAGCGATATGGCTCTGCGCCTACGGTCAATAGCGCATTTGGGAGGACAGTGCAGCAGCCGTTCACGATGAATGCCACTGTACAACAAGCTGGTTCAATAAATGCTATCTCTTGCCCATCTGGACATCCCATCTCACTCGAGTTTGACCATCAAAATTCGAGGAATAACTCGATTGCCAACGTCTTACTCCAAGATCGTTCTGGTTTCCTCAGTAACGACGTCGTTCTTGTTATTACCGCGACTGGGATAGATGCTCCACGTTGCTTTATCGAGCAACATCCAAGTCCAAACCACGAAACGACAGCTCTAGCGCTTACATTTGTACCTCGGTTCAATGTTCCTGATGTTCAAGGTGGAGTGGAATATATTTTTCTCGTTGATCGGAGTGGAAGTATGCATGGACAGAACATTCAACTCGTACGTGAAGCATTGGTTGTGTTGTTGAGAGGATTGCCGACAAATGGGACAACATTTAATATTTTCTCGTTTGGGTCCGAGGCGACGAAACTGTGGGACCAAAGTCGGGCGTATGATCAGTCGTCGTTGGAGGAAGCAACACTTCACGTCGAGTGAGTACAACAGAAAGCTTCTCCATTCTACCAAATTTTTAACATATCCTACATTAGCTCCATGCAAGCTGATTATGGTGGAACCGAAATCGCCTCAGCTCTCCGTCTCGTCTACAATTCTCTCCCAAAATCGCTCATTCGACCTGTCGCCGTATTCCTCCTTACTGACGGCGGAGCATGGGATGTCTCCACATGTATTGAATATACACAATCCGCTCGTACTACCTTACCTAGCCCAAAAACCTTCATCCGTGTGTTCTCTGTGGGCATTGGAGATGGGGCATCGAGTGATACGTGCGAGAGTATATCACGAGCAGGAGGCGGAATGACGGTATATGTCAAGCAGGGAGAACCTCTTACGGGCAAGTGCTCGAGACTAGTTAGGGCAGCAAGAACACCTGAGGTTAGGGTCAATGTGGATTGGGGCTTGGGAGAGAAGGAAGAGCAAATCGACGAGCCCGATGACTTTGAGTTTGTTGACAACCCTACACCAGAATCGGCTTCTCCTGTCAATCCCCCTTCAGCTAACATCAGTCTCTTTGATCCTGATTCTGACGACATGGATGTCGATCCTTCGATAAATCCGATACTACATCCCACTGGTCCACCACCCAAACCCAATCCAACTCTCCCCCCGCCACCTCGTATCCAACAATCTCCTCTTGCCAGTCAAATTCCCAGTATTTTCCCGGGATCGAGAACACAGATCTACGCTATCGTTCGTACACCCAAGAATGATACGGTAAGTTCGATGACTACTGAGATCAAAGTTCGGGGCGTGGTCACTACCACTGGCGCCCTAGTTGAACTCGTCGTACCCGTCTCCAAAGTACTTTCATCGCCGACCATTGATGCTACTTTGGGCTTTCCCTTCCTCCACACTCTCGCAGCCAAAGCCCTCATCAAAGATCGCGAAGAAGGAAAACACGCCTTTCCTCCTTCTGTCTCTGCATTATTTGACTCTCCAAATCTTAACACCGAGCTAAAGGAAGCGTACCTCGAAAAAGACATTATCCGTCTAGGTACAGAATATCATCTTGCCAGTCGGCATACCAGTTTCCTTGCCGTTGACAGAAGGAGTAGTGGGGGCCAGAGTTTTTTGAATATTGTTCCAACAATGCTCTTTGGGAGCGCTTCTAGTTCCACCACTACAGGCAGAACACTTTTCGGAGGTGGGGGAGGTGTCGGTTTTGGCGGATTCGGGAGCAGTGGGGCACCGAGATCATCTAGCGCAAACACGCGAAGTAGGGGATACGGTCCAGCAGCAGTAGCGATGTCAATGACATCAAATACTGTTCATTCTAATGCAAGCTTCAGAATGGGTTCTATAGCTTCACAAGGTCCTATACCATACTCGATTAAAAGTGGTGATCGCGCTCTTTTTGGTTCTTCTTCGCCACCTGCTTTTGGGAGTTCTACGGTCCCACCACCACCTACCACAGCTCCGGTGCCATTTGGTGCATTGCCTCCCCCTCCTCCAGGTCACCCTCCAAAATTGATTTTCGGGCGTATGGCAAGTTTAAGGAACGTATCATCGTCAACACCACTAGCTCCACCAGCCCCTGCTCCATCTTCTCCCAATTTCTCACCTTCGTCTCCGATGGCAAATTCATCGTTTTTCGGTTCAACAGCAGACGATTCGGGGGAAGAGGACGCCGACGGCAGTGTTCAGAATAATATCTCCCCTAAATCTTCAGTAAATCCATTCTCCCCGACAATTTCATCTTTATCGGATTCCCATCACATTCTTGGTACTACTACTCAACAACACCAACGCACTCCCGGATCTCTCCTCGCCGCTGTCGCTCGACTCCAACAATGGCACGGAGGGTTCAAACTCACGTCTACTCTTTTACAACTCCTTGGAGAAGCTCTCAACGTCAACATCCTTCTACTGCTCGGTTCAGATCCTAATGATAACAACATACTGGTGAAAGATTTTGCGAAGAAGCTCGAGAGTCAAGTAGGAATTGAGGATCCGGATGTCGGGGCTACGCTATTTGCTTTGGTTTGGATGGAAAAATATAACAAGGCTAGTGGTAGTCGCGTGGTGGATGACAGTCAAGACGATGATGATGAGACGCGGGATATGAGGGAAAAGGCGCAGGAGTGGGTTAAGAGTCAATTGCGACCTGGCGCCGATAGTGGTGACGAGCAGATTCGGAGGAGGCTCGGGGAACTGAAGGGAGGTGTTGAGAGGATGTTGGGGCTGGAATGAGACGAATCGTTTGCGATGTGAAGTGTGTGTGTATATTGATATTTGTCTTCAGTATGTACAATATATATATGTATGTAACCATCTAGGATCCAGGAATTCAGATAAGTACATTGTCAGCCTCGGCGCATTTCATAGTACTATCAAGCAAGATCCCTCATGGCTACCTTGTAATCAGCATACCATCCAGAAACGAGGACTCCCGCAGCTCAAAGACGTGTTTTCTATGTTGTAACTTTTGGGGTAAATATAGAGTCCCTGCAATTAGGGTCCGGTCGGGGATAGAAAGACGAAAAACGTGGGCTCGGCCCGCCACAAACCGCGCACGTGCTACGCGGGAATTGCTCAACATAACTCATGATCACGACCTCGCTGCGCGCACGGCGCACCAAACGCTTGATTCTCAACACTGATCTGCAGTTTCCCCCTCCCCTTGAAGCTCGAACCCCCGTTCGAGTTTCAAACCTTCTTGTCCATAATACAAACTCTACATATCTTTTTCCCTCTCTCATATTTCTGCTCATAACAGTTCATATTTCTTTTTCGTGTAACAAATGAATACCAAGATGCATGCAAGATATGGCACAGATGGACATCGCATGGACGTGGATGTGAATGCTTTCAGCCTTTCGTGGGCTCCTCGTTCAGTGATCATGCACTACGATGGTATTGTCTTCTCTTTGTCGGATCCAGGTTGTTGATGATTATGTATGAAATTTTGCCCAACAGTTTGTGAGTCGCCGTTCGCACTTGTTCTACTCATCTTACCGACATATTGCTGAAAAGCTATCAAACCCGATTTCAATGGACCTGGGGGGAAGGATATCAATGTTGGTGGTGAGAAGGGGACCGAGATTTTGCAGAGACTTCAAGTGAATATACGTCCTGAGTTGTTTCCGAAACCTGGAGGTGCGTACTTGACTATCAATAGCTTGGTATTCGGTTCTCATCCGGAAGGATCTACAGCTTTTGACGGCAAGAAGAACTTGTATGCGTTTAGACCTTTCAAATTCACATCTGAACGGGTGCGTTGTTTCGGATCCAAATCAAACAGAATCTTGCATCCAATCGATCCACTATCCATTATAGTTCGAAGTTCCGTGGGACAAGGAACATACTCCTGGAAGAAAGATGAAAACAGTCACGATCCAAATAGTTCTTGTCCGACGCGTCGATATATCGTATGATACACCTCCGACTGAGTACTGCCACTGTTTAACCTTTCTACCCCAACAGATTACTCCGCAAAGTTCTCAGCGGTAATGAACAAGGGAACCCTAGCGCGATTGGCCCTGGGACTGATGTAGCATCGTCCCTGAACATGCTACAAGCCTTCCTCCAAGCCGCTCCGAAAATGTATGGTTGTCATATCCCTCTCTCTTACATTCCATCCTCAGTCCCGGCGCTGATTGCAGTTTTCTCCATTGTCCGCAGGGCCAAAGGAAATTTACACAAAGGGAAAAGCGTTTACGTGCAATGGAGCAAAGGATACCAGCAGACATCTGATCAAAAAAGTATGCAAATGTCGTCAATTCGTTCCCTTCTCTGAAGAATTCATCTATCTTCTCTAAAAACAGGAATTGATGAACGCATGCGGCCTTTGAGACTCGTAGATGGATTTTTCCAGTACGCATACTCGTTTCGTCGTTTCGCTTCGGTTCTATCATCTTCAATTACATGTAGGAGCGCACGAATGACCATGGGAAGTCTTATAGTCAATATAGATTTGTCGGTCGGCGTAGTGTTTGTTGATCATTTTCATTACCCTGCGAAGTACTTGGTCGATAACCGTTAGATACTATATAGACTTCAAGAGATGCAGTTAGAGGCACTGTGCGCGGCCTTCCTCAAATGTAGCAATTTTCGACACCTCAATCAGCTCTGCTCCGCTTCAGGTGGAGAGTTTGACAAACTTCGTCATTTTCTTCGGGATGTCAAGGTTTCCATTCATATTCCGGGCAAAGCTTCGAAATCTAAAGGACGGAGGGCGATCCGAAATTTGATTCGTGATGTCGGGGCTCATAGTTTTGACCGGAATGGAGTACCGACTACGATTCGAGTCAGTGATGTCTCTTTCGTGTATTTATCCAAATATACTCATGCACGATACTAAAGGACTACTTCTTGTCTACACATGGAGTGCGCATTCCCCCTCAAAGTATTGGTGTAGTAATTGGAAATCATGAAATATTTCCAATATCTGTATGTGTAGTCCCCGAACAACTTTACAAGGTCCGTCCGCACATACACATCTACCGTCGTTCTTTTCTAATACTTTTCTTCGCCGTCTTAGTCGAAATTACTTCCCGATCATGTTCGGGAAGTGCTCTCATTCGTACCGAAAAACCCCCGAGAGCGTTTACAGAGGATTAAAGCTGGATGGCAAAATCTTGAATACGATAATTCAGAGTTTTTGAAGGGTGCAGATATCGCGGTGCGGCCAGAGGCTCTCACTATTAGCGGGCGTATACTTCCCTCACCTCAAATCATGTATGGGGGAACACACGGGCCATATAAGCTAACACTCGGAGTACGAAGTATTCCTCATCTGTGATAGTTACAGGCTAAACAAACCATTTGTAGAAACCAGGAACATGGGATGTAATGCGAAAGACATTTTGGGCTCCTGCCAAAATTAGTTTTGTGCTCATATTCAATCTGACGGGGCGGCGTCACGGCGAGGAGATGAAGGCTTTCATGAGCTTCCTTTTCAAGACGTTATCAGAGAGAGGTGATCGTCTTTTTGTACTATCTATTCTCTCAATTTTGAAGCTGATCCACGATCCTATGAATGTAGGCATTGGTTTGTATTCTCTGAGATCTTAGGCTTCTACATCTCATCTCTATACTAGCTGTCCCAAAAACCAGCCTTATCCTTGATGACAATGGTGCCGACCCTAAATCACTCATTCGCCGCGAGGCAGAAAAGCATAATGCGAAGCCGAATGGACTCTTAGTGCTCGCTCTCCTTCCAGAAAACGCTGCGGAGCTCTATGCAAATGTAAAGAGGGTCGGAGACATACAACTGGGTGTTCCAACTCAATGTATCGTGAGTTCCCTTGCTTCGTTTCTGTGGTATATAAGCTTGACCCTCTTCTGTAAAGCGCTGGTCTTCGAAGCTCATCCAGAATGTCAAAAGTAATCGCGTCGACCAATACCTGAATAACCTTGCTCTGAAGTGCGTGAGCATCTTTGAGTGTACGAATCAATAACTTAATACAGCTCTCTCGTATAGAATCAACGCACGCTGTGGAGGCGTCAACCACGTACCTTCGTCTATTGCCATGAACTATTTAGCCGAAATGCCTACCATGGTAATAGGTAAGTTCTATATCGATTTAGATTGGTCTTTGGTTGGCCTCATTTTCGTTCTAGGGGCCGACGTCACACACCCTAGCCCAGGAAGTACAGCGCCCTCCTTCGCATCACTAGTGTCTTCCCGGGATCCGCAGTGTTGTGAGCAAAGAAACAGATTGAAAGACGACCAATTAATTACACCATCATTCAGCGATATATTCCGCACAGATGAAAATCCAACCATTCCGCAGAGAGATCATCGAGTCCGTCGATGACATGATGACCGTGAGCTAAACCTAAGCAACTCTTGACACTCGAACACATTGACAAGATTTCTTTTGTAGAAAGCGATCAAGATTTTTCGCATGAATTCCGATGACACGAAATATCCACATTTCAAATTGCGAAGAATCTTCTTCTTCCGAGACGGAGTTTCAGAAGGGGAGTTCGAAACTGTCCGGGAACTCGAGCTGAATGCTTTGAAGAGTGTGTCAATTCGTGTGCGTACTCAAGATACACATTGATCTGCGTTTAGGGCTATTGGAGAAATTTTATGGCCGGGACAGGCCAAGGATCACTTTTATAGTCGTTGGGAAACGACATCACTTTAGATTTTTCCCCAAATCTGGAGGAACCGCAGACGCCTCTGGGAATTGTCCTTCAGGCTTCGTAGTTGATCGAGGTGCAGTTGAATTAGTGTCCGTGTCATGTTCTCTCGTGTTGAATAACTTGAATTCAACCAGGTATTGAACATCCAGTTTACTCGGACTTTTATCTGCAATCCCAGCCCGGGTTGAAAGGCAGTAAGTTGTTTGATGTATTCTCTTATCCATGTTGAAATCATTTTTAGCGAGCATCCCGGCGCATTACACGGTCATTGAAGACGAGAATCTAGGCGGAAATGGAGACCGGTCGGTGCTGTCTTATTTCTTCACAGAACAGACGTTGCTCATTTGCCTAATTTAGTTTACAAAGCCTCGCGTATGCTAAACCTCTCATCTCATTGCTATATATACTTATTCTTTTCTTCACAAAAGATACGCCCTATGCCATACATATCAACGCTCTACTGTGCGTACATGGATAGGCTTACGCTTGTGCTATTATTGATCCTTCATTTCTTAGCGTTCGGTCAAATTACCCGCGCCAGTCTACTGTGAGTGCGCTCCGTGTGATATGAATGTTCATGCTAAGATTCTAACTTGTTCTTAGACGCAGATGTAAATTGCCTTCGTCCATTCCCAAGCGTCGTATACTTATTTCTTGTTTCAGCTCGTCTGTCAACGTGCCAAATTTCATTTTCAGCCTAGGTTCTCGAACCAATTAGACGGTTTCTCCGATGCTGCCACCGACGACACACCTGAAAGCTTGACTCAAGATTTTCGTAACCTACACCAGAATCTAGACATGACTATGCATTTCATGTGACAAGTTCTTCCTTCATGACAATGTACATACATCTGTATGTACCCATTGTGTACCCGCAAATATGTAGTAGTCGCTCACAAATATACTGTTGTAGTCTAGTAGAACTGTTTAAGGTGATTTTTCGAAAATGGAAAAGTCTACTGTGGAATATCCAAAGAAGGCAAAAATGTAGTCCGCAATTGGTGTGGGAGGATAAGGTGTTTGTGTTGATGGATTGGTTCCGACCCATAATCAAATTGCCATTAAAGGCAAAAAAAGCTTCTCGTAAATCACAAGCAGCTCATCACAAAAGGGAGTACTTTTCGTATATAAGATACGCAACTTTTGGGAATTTCATTCGATACAAATCAATGCCAGAGTCTCACTCTTCAATTGCCCTCTTAGCTGAACTTGGGAACGAAGCCGTTCCAAACTCGTCTTCAAGTTGCACAATTGACATGCTTCCATTTTCGTTCTCAAACATTTCACTTACTTTGGTGCTATTCGTTGCAACTATGATTATTCGCTGCATGTTTCCTTGTACCAGCCTCGATGCATTGGAAAGGAATCTCAAGGTGCTCGAAAAGAAATTCCATCTATGCCTCTTGGAGGGAACGTTAAACTATGAGGATTCTGTCAAATTCGAAATCATTTGGATCGGGTAAGTCGAAATTTATCCGCGCTACAAAGTCCACAAGTATATTCTCTCTTCGTAGTCTTATGGATGCATTTTCGAAAATCCAGGTGGAAAGCTACGAAGCGCGTTTATCTTCACCGATACAACGTGTGCTTTTAATGAAGAAACGGTTATTTGATATCGTCGGATGTAATGCAGATGTAGAACAGCTCCAGGTTTCGATCCTCGTATGTACAGCTTTGTCTGATCATTGATTTGATTGACGTACATTCTATCGATAGTATGCATCTGAAAAGACCAAGCAATTGCAGTATAAGTTGGAAATTGACCGAGTACGTGTTGTCTCTTCAGCATCGGCTGCTCTAGGTGAAGAAAATCGCTTTTTAATAGACTGACCACTAGATACTGACAAAAACCGGGCCTACAGGAATGCATACGAGGTCGAATCATAGTTTATTCAAAAGGAGCTTGTATGAGTTGAGACAGGTCCTGAAGAGTATTAGAGACGAGTAAGCAGCGTCCCGCGGTTACTCAAAGAATCATAGCATAATCGGTACACGATCATAGTGTAAATTCATAGTCCCAGATAATATGTACCTGGAAGAGTTGGTCAATCGTATGTGCTGTACTATGTGATAGGATTTTTGCGTCAACAAACGATCCAAGTTTTATGTAGAAACAGGTAGAAACACTACTGAGAATCTTACCTAATCTTACGTGAAATTCGGAGAGAAGAGCTCAGAGGATAAGATAAGATGTGGCGATGAGAGCGAGCGCTTATTGTTGAACTTCGCTCTCATCGTCGAAACTCGTTTCAGCTTGTTTTGAGATACCCACACTCCCTTCCCTTTGCTACTGTAATGTTTAGTCTTCTGAAAAAGACACTACAGGCTCAGCCAAACCTCGTTTCGTGTGTTTCCCACTCGAGCGGGGCTGTGCCCCAGGCAAAACCTCATCCACTAGCATAGAGCACTCAACAGTGCTACACATTCTCCACATTGAGCTCGGCTGAGCGAATCCTTATCTTATTGCGCAATTTATTGGCCCTTGCAACCCCTTGAAAGGTGCGTCCCCAATGAGTTTGAGGCAAACTTCTTTCTATTAGTACGACAACTTGACAGGATAGTGCGTATGAGGAAGAATGAGGGTCGCGGATCTCCTTTGTATCTGTCTCATTCTTGTTGCAATGTTATTCATATGTATCTGTTTGTTCATGGTCATTGGAATACATCCTATTCCCGAAACCAAATGTGAATGGCCACACATCCTCCGACATAGATTTCTTGACCTGGGTACAGAATTTTTGCCTTGTTTTAGGATGCTCAAAAATACAGAATTCGTTCGAATAAAGAAGCACGTCTCAACTGGAATTTTACGTCGCCAGTTTGAGCCAATAGAAATCTACACAAAGCGTGAAGCATTCATGTTCAATGGCGCAAAGGATACCAGAGGATACCAGGGTCCAGCAGACCTTTAGTGATCAAAAAAAAAGTATGCAAAATTCGTCAATTCGTTCTCTGAAGAATTTATCTTTCTTCCCTGAAAACAGAGATTGACGATCACATGCGGCCTTGGGGACTCTTAGATGGATTTTTCCAGTACACATACTCGTTTCCTCACCTTATTTCGGTTCTAAACATCTTTGATGACATGTAGGAGCGCACGAAGATTTTCGTTGCACCTCGAAACCCCCTCAATCGGAGTCGCAAGGACATGAAGATGTTCGACTCTTTCTCCGCCCGGCGTACGCGCAGTCCATGTCCACCTCGAACACTCTACTTTGCCTCCGTCCACAGGATTACATACACACTGTACGATTTATTAGCCACCTGCGAACGACGGACATTACAAGCGGCTCCAAGCGGTCGGCTAAAACGTTGGGTACCTTTTCGATTTTATTTTATCTCATTTTTTACGCTACTGACAAGGTTTTTTGAATACGCTGTAACCAACTGAGGTGACCCCAATGATTACTTACCTGCGTATTACACAGAAGATTGTCAAATGATGTCTATACGAAGCCTACTCGAGCTCTCGCGTAGTTTTCAAGGAGGAAAATCGTGTCAGGAACGGTCCACTCACCCCCTTCCTTTCTGGATTATGCCAAAAGTTGACGAAAGAGTGAAATTTTTATACCATGGCCGGAGGGAAATTCGGACAAAAGTCCCTCCCAAAATTCTACTTTTGGTTCGGACAAAATCCCTCAGGATCAGGCAAAATTTTCATATGGGATCATAGGGTATAATCAGGGGTCCTCCCTTATCGTGGACCTCCCCTGACCTTCCCTAACCTCCTCGGCACACAATCACCATCACCAGCTATAATCTGCTCTGATGTGGCGCATGTGCTGAACACAGCCCGGACCTTAGCGAAGCTGCTTTATAAAGGGTTCCCTCCTGCTGCCCAATGTCTTCACACTCGCCGCTGGTCAGCCATATCTACTCGACTTCTCTTTGCTGGCCAAAAGAAGTTCCAGTCGTCTAAAATTCGAAACGCAACAAAAACACCTATCTTCTTCGACGCCAATATTGCTTTCTTTTACATTTCACCCCGTTCTTCTTGACCTCGACGTCTTATCCTTTTTACACGTACGTTGTTTATATTATTGTTGTCGATGCCAGTCCTCGCTCACCGTCTTCCTTACAGGACATCATGCTTTTCCTTCGTTCTAGGATCGAAGTGTACACCGTCTTGGTCTTTGGGCTATTTTATGCTGCGTTCAGTTGTGCCGCCATGCCGCTGTCTCAAAGTGTAAGTCAACTCCAAAGGCTGTCAAGAAGATACTCAATTTTCTCAAACAAATGTAGGAATTATCAACCCGCGCTGATAATGCTGAGCTGCAGGAGGTATCCTTCTCGATCGAATTTCCTGAACCGGAGGCAAATGAACGTCATCTCTATGACGTACAAAATAAAGACTTGACGGTCAAACAAATACAAACATACATGGACAGAGTTGCAATTGGTTTTGGTTTTCGGCCCATGGTTCACATCGATGATGCGACAGGAACACCTTACAGACAAGACAGAGATCATGCTGTTCTGTTTTCGTTCAGGTTGCAAACCCCCCAATCGGTGTCGGAAAAGATCCAGCGAGAATGGGGATTCTCAAACGATGTATACATCCAGGTTTCTCATCCCTTTGTACCCAGATCCCTCGCGATTCTAAATCCTCAAAATCAACAAATATTCAGAATGAGAGATACAGATTTGCGGACAGTGGGTCAAGGTTGTTGGCTTGATGTACTTGTGTATTAACAATTTCTATTCTTCCAGACATCCAAGCGTTATACGCTTCCTCCCGCGGAAGTGGTTCATCTTTCGACAGAATGACAGGATGGATCGTGAAGAAGAATGAGCATCGCGGTCTCCTTTGTATCTGTCTCATTCTTGTTGCGATGTTATTCATATGTATCTGTTTGTTCATGAAACTCATCTTATTCCCAAGATCCCAAAGCACTTTGAGTTTGAATGGCTACATATTCTACAAGATTGCCTTGTTTTGCGATGCTTAAATACAGAATTTGGTATTCAAATCTTCGATTGAACAAATTTGAAGCACGCCGCCAGCTCTTGATCCTCCTTCACTCTTCCCCACAACTCATTTATTTTCACAAGGCTCCCTCCTTAGACAGCATTCTCCCGTACCCTTCATATGCGTAATCTTCGACTTCCTACTTGCTGCCTTGATTGGAGAAGGGTCACCGATTCGCTCGTAAGCGTCATCAATAGCGAGGGCGTGAGGTCCATTTGTCTCGCGCTTTCCGTTTTTCCTATAGAAATTGAATATTAAGGAACGCAGCACAAATCTTGGGGCGCGCCTCGGATTCAAATACATCAAACCAAAGTCCATCCTTTTCGAACCGTTTGTGTTGCGATTGCGTGGATGAACAGGAAACATACCCTGATACCGTTCTTGGCAAAACCATCTACCAGAAGCTATGACGAGTCGGATCAGTACATAGATTACTAGACACCGAAAGCACAAATCTGTATACCTGGGCGTTCGGTAGCTGTAGTCCAAACACGTCACTGAGGTAGAGAAGGACTTTGTTTCTCTGATATTCACCATTAGAGATGCCAACTCAGGATTCGACACCGGATTTCCCATTTTCCTTCGGGAGTTCCTTCATGTTTGATGCCTTCAAGTTTTCGAGGTTCGGAGGGTTGTCAATTTTTTCTCTTCCTTGTCTAAATGAATAACCCTCCAAGTCTTCCTGGACTTATGTGCGTTTGCTCGCGCTCTGAGTATTGCCTTAACATGATGTACGACGCGCGAAAAAAGGCCTTAATTTGTAGACAGTCTTGGTGCCTTTGTGTTTACCGCTGTTGGGCATGAACCCGACAACAAGAACGAGACAAGGGCTTTGAACGATGTTCTCGACAGCACACGCAAATACTTCCTGCAAATACTCATATCGTCCATCCTTCCTATCCACTTCCAGAGTCCCGGACCAAAAGACGCGTGTCCGGGAGTTGGGTGAGTGGAATGCACCATCGTCCTCTTTATAGATACTATTGGGTTGTGAGGCGATAGCCAGCTTCGGGTGAGTATGGAATATGATCTGAAAGTCAGATTGTTTCGCCTGGTCCGAGTGCGGACGAATGTCAATAAGGCTGCTGAGAAGTCACGGATTTGTTCAAATCCGAATCCGAATCATTGTTGGACGGCAGAAACTTGACTCCAAGAAGTGGATGAAACAGAGGATATTCCCGAAAAGTACTTGCAATACGGTATTGCAGAGAAAGAGATCCGATAGTTGGGAGTTCTATCAATGGAGATGGGTGTTGGTAGAGAAGTATGTGTTCAACTTTGAAGGAACGCATATACATAGAGTAGAGCATAGTATAGTTTTCTGCCCCTCGATCCGCTCATCCGTGAAGGACGGAGCAAGAACATTACATGAAGTCATATCCGATGGAGACTGCGTTGATGTATTCGGTAACAAGGAATGAGGAGCTGGTGCTCAAATCGAATTTAACGCATTGACAGAACCGATCGCATGAAAGATAGCGGCAGCTGAGACTTTGGCACCATTTCAGCTGGGCTGGCCGTGAAATCATAGCCGCCGATCCAATGTACTTGAACCGGGAAATATAGCATCCATTCATTGCCAGATGTTGCCAGACAGATCATTGAGCAGGATTTCGAGGAGATAATCGACTGGCTCGATAATGGTGTAGCGACATTGGAAAGGGCCTACTAGTATTACATCAGAACGATTAAAATAGTAGAAAATCTGTGTACTCACCTTTCGTACCGTCTTTAGACCTAGCCAGTAACAGTCTCGCGGTCTGATATGCGCATCTAGCTGACCGCGTCTTTGATTCCTTCACCGTTCTTCATCCAGCCCTATCCAGCTACAAAATGCCGAAGGGAGGATACGAACTCGACACTACGAATGTTGGGGAAAAACGTCGAGGTCAAAGCGTATATTTAAGGGTGACCCAGCAGGTTCTCGATATCGAAGTGAGCAAAAGGTTTCCATCTGCAAACAGGTAAGGCTGAACCGGACATGTACATTTACTCGGATCGTTTTCTCTGCCCCGAAGCACAATACGCAGGATCTCTGCGTTAATGTCCTGTAGAAGGATTTCCGCATTTTTCGCCATCGCCACACCACCTGCAGGAAACCAAAGAGAAAGAGGGCTTGAAAAGACATTGACATTGACAGCCAAGCATCGAGACCTTGAGGCTTCGAACGGACACGTGAATGTTTCAGTACCGCATCGACATCGACAACGCATCCAAGGAAGCCTCGCAGTACTAGACTCTAGCAGAACCGTTATCTTTTCTTCAATCCCAGCGATGAGCCCGCAAAACTTCCCCAAACAGCACCAAAAATAAGACGGATGTTTGCCCAATGGGCCTCCCACTGCCTTCTCTCACCACTCCATCCTCTCACCACTCCATCTCCGATTTTTACTGGCTTTGAACTAGCTTCTTTCCTGTATTTTAATCGAATCATTGATTCAGGGCTCGAAGTCAGCTCAGTAGACAGAGAAACTATGTCACTTCCTGGCAGTGCATCCATGATCTCTGCGGCGTTTTCTGCATTGGATGGGATTTGATTAGTATTCGCCTGAGGCAAGAGGTGATCTTCCGAGTGTCAGCTAAATCAGCAACCATTTTGACGGATTCCTTATCATAAAAAGCCGGGATTCCGCGAATCTGAATTTTGCCAGGGAAGGGAAGGAATGTAAACATGAATTGGGCATCTGGTGATGGAAGACAGTGCAACAAATCCAGAGGTGAGCAGATGAACAGTAGCGTGTAGAAATAGTCAACGTTTGAATTTGGCATTCAGGAGACGCACACAAAGCCATGTCCGAATAAATCCGAATTTCACGCATGTCCATGCCATACCGAGCATTTGCGGTATGCATACTTGGCATGTCCCGTATCCTCATCCCCTCACCACAATAAGACCGTAACTCACATTAGCCACGCCTTCCCATCGAATTATCAGATGAGCAGTTGGCCTCAGGATCTTAATAGAATTTTCTTTAACGTATCACGTCGCGGCCTCTGTTGATATTAGCATCTGCCCCTTTGATATCGCAGGTCCAGAAAGTTGGAACTGATCATCGTTATTAGGATGGACAAGTTCATAAGAGCAGCCGGATCTCTTAGTGTTCTGTCCGGAAGGCAATTCTTCGGTCAAAAGAAGTGCCTGGTTCGTCTCGGTGGATGGGGAACGTAGAAAAGTACATACTTTGTTCCAAAACCAAAACAGGCAGATTTGGATGGCCAAAGAAATTCTTCACTGTTTCCCCAGATGTCTTCTCCGGAGTATCCTAAGCACAAATAAACGCCCTCCCGCCGCAGATCTATCCTTTCCTTCCAGTCCTCTGATTGAAGATGTGGTTTCTGACCTTCCAAGAACTTGAGACATTGAGTCGGATTCATATATCGATATTGCTAACGAGATGGAATGAGGAACTGATTAGAAAATCAAAACGGATAAACTTGAATGAAACGAGATATGTATGACTGCATCTTTGGCCTCGTCCTAGCCGGGCTCATATGCACAGGCCTTTGGACCGTCGTCGTCATCGATCTGATGAGTTTAAGTCAATTAGGACGCTCGAGACCCGGAATAAGGATGACTATTCTTCAAGGCGTCAGTTCAGATAGAGCAAATTTTTGATTGAACTTGGTAAAATGGGCATGGACGTTGGCATCAGAACTTCAAACAAGAATCTATCTGGATAGTATGTACGTACATATCAGTAGTTAGAATAATAAAGAAAAAAGCAGATCACTCACCAACTCATATGGTCTTTTAAATCATACTATGTATAGCTATCGTGATTACTTTCCGTTCCCGAGCGCTCTTCATCATCCAGCCCTGAAGGCGCGATAATAACAGCAGCGAGAAGCTATTGTAAGTTATGGCCTAGAATTCCAGAATCCATTCCGCATGTGCGCAGAGTTCTGCCGCCTGGGACCCTGTGGACATCGATACACATGCATATACGCAATGAGGAACATCATAGGCAGGAATGAGGGGCCCAGTGTGAAAAAGACGAGCTCGCGGTCCAAAAAGTTGATGTTATTACAGTATTGGGCGTAGAGCAACCAGAGTCGGATGGTGTCGTGAGTTCAGGTCAAAGCGTTGATTATAGCACCGGTCTGATCGGATCTATAGCCGCCCGCTCCTTCGTCTCCCTCTCCCAGCAGCTCCCAGCTCGATTGTCTCCCTCCGTCCTACCGCCTGACGGAACTATCACGTTTAGTCAGACCTACATATATTTTCCAAAACAGTCAAATTGTTGATGGTTGCGGTGGCGCCATTGCCAGCCAGGTAGAACGACAAGATTATCCTAAATCTAGTACCAATAGGAAGGTATGTGTCTTGATACTGATAGTTCACGCACTTGTCTGACACGTCTTCTTCTCTGTTTATCATGCGGATTTCCCTCTTGATTTCAAGCCTCAACATTTCCATAAGATTCTGTCATGAGTACCGATACAGAATGACAATAATCTTAAACTTCTACTTGAATAGTCCATTGTCTACGTACGGCATCATGCACCTCCCAACCGCGGTTATACCGTCTCTTCTCCCGAATTTTTTCTGAAAAGTATCAGCCATGGAAACGAATCATCAATCCAATGAATGGTTTCAGGATAATTTTGGTCGACATATGTACATACATCTCACATGGTGATTTTCATAGTTTGCATGATATGCTTCTACCGTCTGTTGAATGATTACAGCAACTCTGGAAGGAACAACTTGATTTAAGGCTCCAATCGCTTTCCCGGTCTAGATGCACTGCTCAGGTTGTCCTTGAGCTCGCCGTTTATGGAACGCGCTGCAAAGGAAGCCTCAGATTCCTGCCTGATGTGATCCGACATCGTGGAACATCAATGCAATTCCTCATCTGTACAGCTCTGAACCTGTCTGAACGCATGTAAGTCGTTATTTCAAGAGACCGGGTAAATAAATACACTTCTTTCTATGCCTTTTGCAAGTCTCGGACTAGGTGATACAGCATGTTTATGCAGTTTCATTCCACCGAAATTCCACAAAGAGTCACAAAGGTTTCCGTTAATTTTCATGCAGGCGAGAGGAACATCTAAGGGAACGTCTTGGAACTTTGAAGCCATTTAATTGCAACACTCATTGTAGATGCCTGTTCCTCTTCATCAAAGTCTTCTACATAGGATTCAGAATTCAGGGTACTCCGACCTGGGAATACTGTAATTTTGCTCTCGGAAACAGGGACATCATTCAAACATTGAATAACGTTAGGTCTACCTCGAGTCCCTCGCTAAGCGGCCTAGGCCTGACACCCCGTTGTTCCTGCAAATTATTTTGGAACTGAGAATGTTAAGTGAGCGAATGGATTAATATTGGAAAAAAAAACTTCTGATGATTGTATGCAGAGTATCGAGTCAATAAATACAGAAATTGACTGGTACGCATCCTGAGGATATCCAATTCCTGTTCGCTTCTTTGCTAACACGATGCTCAGAACAACATGGGATTTCCTCGTTACGCTGCAGCTGTTCAACCAATCTGATATGAAGACGATCGTGTTCCCTGTGGTGAAATTTATTCATATGCGTATGCAAACAATTGGGGATACTAATATTTATTGGTCAGACTGTCTTCTCTCAAGCTTTGGCCTCGCATCATTCTGTTATTCGATTCTTGCTCGTCGTGTTTTGGATTTGGATGCACCTCCTTTACTTCACAGTGACGAACCAAAGTTTTGGCACATCCCCCGAAGAGGACGCTGTCAATAAGCCATCTCGCCCGATTCCTGCGAAGCGTATCAGCGTCGACTCAGCAGTAACTCTCGGCTGGATGCTTGCTCCTGTCGACCTCGCGCTTTCGCTGTATGCGGGAGCAGTTCCATCAGGAATGGCGATCTGTGTCCTCACCAGTATCTACTGCAGTGGTGGAGGTCATAGTCATTGGCTTTCTAAGAACGGATGCTGCGCCGGATTCTACGCTCTTTTCGAATACGGAGCTACGCAGATTGCGGGTAAGCAAATGATCTATCTCCTTTGTTGTATTGATTTTTCAATTCAATTTAATTTTAGACTCTTCGGAGAAGCTCAATCGGAACCAACTAGGCGCCATTATTGGAAGTGCTTTGATTATATTTACCACAATCCACGCCCAAGATTTTCGGGATGATGAAGGTGATGCCCTCCTGGGGAGACGGACTTTTACCCTCTCGTTCCCGGTATTCTCTAGGATCACCATGCCCATCTTGTTGAGCGTCTGGTCGATAGCGCTATGCTTGTTATCCGAAGCCAATCAATTTGTTCTGCTTGTTCTCGTCGCACTCGGAGCAGTAACCGGAATTCGTTTCCTGACCTTAAAATCGGCTAAGGACGATCGGCTTTCTTATCTGTACTACAACGTGAGTACTTCAAAGCATTGCAAGTTCATGACTATCGAACCTCGTTAACCTCATAGATATGGCTCTCGATGGCTCATGTTGCCTTCAGCTCGTTGAATCTTGACGGAATTGCAGTGTATTTCCAATAGACTATCTGCCACGAAACTTTACAATACGTTACGTAGATTCGAACTAGAGGTCTATGACCTTGTCATTTGTTGTCAAGAGTGGTATGATGCGGCCTTAATTGCGGCAGTGAATGTGTGAGTGAAACATACAAATTTGTCGGAGCCGCGGCGGTAAAAGCAACATCCTACACCCGCATTCTATGCAGGGCGACATTAGCTTGAGGCAGAGGAATTCCATCTTGAATACATGTCGCAACTACGATTCATGATCACAGTCAGATTTCTTCTTGAGAAGCATACTGTAGGGATCTCCGGACTTCTCCAGGATTCTCCTCCTCTGCGCCTGCAGAAAAGCCGGATAAAAGCTGCAGAAGGAGGTTTAATGCAGGCTATGTAGGCGGCTGGACATCTGTCCATCATTGATTATCAAGGTCACGAAGAACTGTGCCGAACCTGAGATCTGCACGGTTAACGGATGGCACGGTTTTTTCACAGACTCCGTTGTTTACTATCATTTATGTTCTATTAACTCTTTCTGTGTTATATATGTCTTCACTTCCCGAAAAACGCTACAGATTCTCTCCATTTCTTCCGGGTCATGTCCACGTTGACCACTCAAGCTATTGCAGAAACCCTAGGCACTGTTCAACTCGGTGTCCTCTTCAGCACATTTCTCTTTGGCATCTTGTTCATGCGTGAGTACTACTCTCTCAAAGTTTGGATTTAGAGGTTGGAATTGACGGATTCGTGTGGCAGAATGGGTGACATATTTCACTAGCAAGTTCAACGACGGCGTGGGTACTTACTACTTGTGGACTCGGATTCTGCGCTGGATAAGCTGACTTTTTGATTAGTGGACTATCCGGTATGCAATCGTCTTGACATATATTGTTTCCTATTGTATCCTTGGACGGCATCATGTAATGTTACCCTTCTAGTGGACTTGTTTACTGGATTATCATACTCGACATCACCCACGTCGCCATATCTTGGGAGGTATGATATAGTTTCTGATTATTCATGCATCAACTTCACATGTGCCACATAGTATCTCTGGATGTATACTGTCAGTAATTTTGGAAATACTGCCACATTGTACGCGGCTCATTGGGTACGTGTTCCTCCCTATTGAACAGTGTTAGTGTATATACAAACTAAGGCATTATTATAGCAATACGACAGTGGCCCTATCTTCATTGTATTGTACGACCAACATAGTAGCTTTACCCACAAACCTGCTGATCTCATTTCCACGTTTCGAATAGGACTGCTGCACCAACTCAAGTGTGTCGTTACTGAAGATTTTTGCCCGAGACACTCATCAGGTTTACCTAGTTCTTCTTGATCAACCGCACTCGAAGAATGCTGGCACTGCAACATCCATACCTTGCCAATGCAATCTTCGCCTTTACATGTACTCTTGGATTCGTACAAGTATTCATGGGATTGTTCATGTCCGGCAGTCTTCTCGCCCTTGATGCCAGTGGTTCAGCAACTACGGAAGGCTATACTAAGTTTGTACCTATCGCTGTAGCTTGGGAGTCTGTTGCGATTGCAACAGATATGACTGTAATGTAAGCACCCTACCTCTCTCTATTGTGTATCAAGTCTAAGTAACTCTTAGGATATCCCTTGTTGCAACGCTTTTGTACAGACGAACCGGCTTCAGACGTGAGCGTTCTATACTTATATATTTTCATTCTTTTTGAAAGGGTTTTCAGAGACTGATTGGATGGTGTACAATCTCATCTTGGTTGCTATTGAATGTGCTTTTCCTGTCACTCTTTTCACTGTACGAAATTCTAGCTAGCGCTGATCTTCCTAATACTGATGAACCGTTTTCCACCAGATCGGTCATATCACAGGAGTTGTGAGTTAATGTGTTGTTCACGATGGTGCATTATGTCATTATTGTACAGGTTGCTAGCCCTACAACAGCAATCCACCAACTGTTTGCTTGGTCGCAAGGTTTGTGCATTTGATGTGAAATTTTGACAATTTCTGAGCCTTTGCCATTCACTAGCGCGCTTATACTCGTACGTTGCCTTCTTTTACCTATTGGAATTGAGCTTTACAGTTCTTCACTGTAAAACAGTAACACTTTGTTCCTCGTGGGTCTCATCGTTGTGTTCACTTCACGAGCCAGAATGTTGTTAATAAAGTTCCCATCCCTTTCAGAATCTCAATGAGCGTAAAAAGCTGCGCCGCGGCCATGACGGTACAGGTAACAGCACCTTCAAATTTCAAGAACTTAACTTCGTCACCGGAAAGGATCGTAGTGCGGGTCGAAACATGAGCGGGAGTGGGCCTCAAGTACGTTCTTGCTCAAAAGCGTTAGATATGCTTGCGCTTACCCTCCCTTAGGTCCGCGTCGATGTTACTAGGGAAGAAGACTATGGCATGGAGTCGATGTCCAACACGGGGAGGGATGCTGACCTGAAGCCCGTCGCCTCTGTTTAACGGGCACGACATTGTGAATGTGGAGTATTTACTGAGTGCTTACATTTGCTGGTGATTCATGTAATGTACTATTTAATTCATTGGCAGTGACTTGGGAACTAATTATAGTAGATAAGTTTTTGACAAGACAGATGGTATATAATTGTAGGACTTGTATGAGTGAGCCAGTCTAAGTTCTTAAGATACGAATGTAAGCAGTTAGTTACAAAATGTCGTGTGAGGGATCAGAATCGGTGATTGATCAGCAATAACTTGAACTTACCTATATATATATAGTGCACTGGCTTTTCCTCAGCTGTAACTTCCTCGACTTTTGGATCCTTTCACTGACCATAACCATGGCTCCCCCCATATTTGTCAACAAGCGTTCCCCAGGCGTACCGTTCTACACGCCTCTCCAAAGCCCTCCTGCAGGAACCGCTCGTTCCACGGCAAAAACTATACTTTTTACCCCGTTGAAGATCCGGGGAGTTGAGTTTCCTAACCGCGTCTGGGTAGGTTTTATGTTTTAGGTAACTTTCCGTGTACTGCATTGATCTGATGGTTTCTTTGCGAAACGATGAGGCTTCGCCCATGCAACAATACTCCGCTGATAATGGAAAAATGACACCCTGGCACATGGCATACCTCGGTGGTATTCTCATTCGCGGTAAGAGTCTTCTGATCAATCTGTGTTGTTAAAGATCATAGAGACACAATATGTTCAGGTCCTGGACTTACGTTCGTTGAGGGTTCCGCCGTCGAGGCGATTGGACGTATCACACCGGAGGATCTTGGACTTTGGGATGACTCCCAGATTGCCAGTCATCAAGAGATAGTGCAATTTGCCCACTCTCAGGACAAGAAGATTGGTATCCAGGTAATAAAATCATCTTTCCTCGCAGCCGTGTCGAGGGTTGACATCATCTACAGCTTATGCACTCTGGTCGAAAGGGCTCATGTGTGGCATTGTGGTTGAGCTTTAGTGCAGTTGCCACTCCTGCGGCAGGTGGCTGGGCCGACAAGATTGTCGCTCCATCCGCCGTTCCCTTTGAGCCTGGCTACCCCGTTCCCCACGCGCTTACTATCAAGGAGATTGAAGGGATTATCGTGGCATTCAAGAATTCTGCACAGCGGGCTGTTACTGCTGGCTATGATGTCCTCAATATTCATGCTGCTCATGGCTATCTGTTATCTGAATTCTTGAGCCCAGTCGCGAACAAACGAACAGACAAGTACGGCGGAAGCTTCGAAAACCGTATCCGACTTGTTCTAGAGGTCATCGACGCAGTGAGAGCTGTGATTCCAGATACGATGCCCCTTGTCCTTCGGTCGGTCTTTCCTCCTGTATCTTCGCTAGGTGGATCTGATGGATAATTGAAGCGTATCAGCTACCGATTGCCTGGAGAATGAAGACTATCCTAGCTGGAAGCTTCCGGACACCATTGAACTCGCTAAAATCATCCGCGAACATGGCGTTGATGTCCTGGATGTTTCTTCCGGCGGCCAATCTGCTGCTCAGACAATCAACGTGTTCGACATCCAGTCCGTATACGCCAAGCAGGTCAAAGACGTGGTTGGAGACTCATTACTTGTTGGCTGTCTAGGTGGTATTACGTCTGGTAAAGTAGCCGAGCAGTACCTCCAGGAGAAGCGTGGGGATATGTGCTTCGTCGGCCGTAACTTCCTGGAAAAACCCGGAACAGCTTGGGATTTTGCTGAAGAGCTTGACGAGTCAGTGCATATGTCAAAACAGCTTGAATGGCCATTCATTGGAAGGGGTAAACGGGTTTAGAACGGCCTGAGATTCCTGAGCAACATGATTGATCATAATTATCATCTTCTCTCGGGTAGAAGCCGGTAGATAGGTTAGGTTAAGGTTTGTTCGGCAAGAAACAATATCATTGAATATGCAACTTTCTTCCATCCAATTTACCAAACTTTTTCACCTCAATCAATGAGGATATCGATATCAGAAGTTGATGAATGAGATTGTATAAGAATCTAGGTGGAAAGGTGATGCCCACACCTGCCTATCATGGCTACTACTGTCGACTTTCTTACCTCCAACTCTAGCATACTTCATGTCCTCATAGCACTGATTGCTGTGACCGGAGGCTACTTGCTACATAGCAGACGAAAACTTCCTCTGCCTCCGGGTCCTAAAGGGCTTCCCATTATCGGGAACGCTCTAAATTATCCAACGAAGACACCTTGGGTAAAGTACGCTGAATGGAGTCGAGAGTATGGTAAATCCTTATGACTTTTCTTATCATCATTCGCTCATCCTCCATCAAAGGTTCCGACGTCGTCTACGCCAAGATCTTCAACACGTCGATGGTGATACTCAACTCTGAAGAGGCGATCAACGATCTATTCGTGAAACGATCCACTATCTACTCGGACAGGTTTGTAATTTTCATTTTACATGAACACGATCTAATCATTCATGATCACAATAGACCTCGGCATATTATGGTGAATGAACTCATGGGGTGGTCCAGAAACCTTCATAGCATGGCATATGGTGCGTTTCAACGTAGCTTTGCTTGGAGAGACTAAAGCTCCACAGTACAGGAGAAACCTGGTAAGCCAACGAGTTTTGTATCTGAAAAATTCATTGAAAATCTCAAAACAGGCGAGCGGGTCGGCGCTTGTTTTATCAAGAATTCAATCCCAATGCATCGACTCGTTTTCGACCACATATGTTGGAGGCTAGTCGCGAGCTTCTTACTCGTCTCCTCAAAGACCCTGAGAACCTAGTAGAACATCTTCGCCAGTATGCCCGTTCTGTGCAAGCCGCTTGACATTGACTATTGACTATTTGAATGCAGCATGTCGGGTTCAGTTTCAATGGACATTGCCTATGGCATGAAACCGCAAGAAAGGGATGATCCGTTCATTGCCTGCTCCGAACGCGCTGTGGCTGGCGTCGTCCGTGCATTTATCCCTGGTGCATTCATGGTGGATATGATACCTATTCTAAGATACATACCAGAATGGGTTCCTGGAGCGGGCTTTCAGCGTCTAGCAAGACAATGGAAGAAGGAAACAGACGATACCTTTGACTTACCGTGGGCAGCCGCGAAGGAACGCATTGTAAGATTATTTTCGCGTCCTCGACATGCCTCTGAATAAGCCGTACACAGGCAATGGGGTCTTTCACTCCGTCGTTTACGTCGTTCAGTCTCGATCAAATTGCAGACAAGGACGATACACCCGAAGCGAAAGCCCAGGAGGAAGGGATAGTAAAAAACACTGCTGCCTCGATGTTCCTAGGTCGGTTTTCAAGCGTCTCTCGTATTTATATGCTCACCTGCACGCCTACAGTCGGATCAGACACAGTAACTATATTGCCAGTGGCGTCATATTTGTGTCTTACCGCGATTCAACGCAGAACATTGCCCCGTTGCAATCTGTCTTTTTAGGTGTTCTCTCAAATCCAGGAGCTCAATGTAAAGCACAAGAGGAGCTCGATCGCGTTCTTGGTCCAGGAAATCTCCCTGACTTTAGCCACGTAGACGATTTACCATACGTCACTGCTCTGGTCAAGGAAGTTCTTCGTTGGCACGATCCGGCACCTATCTGTGAGTGTTTCTTCAAGTAGCTCAGGATCCAGTAGTGATATATATATATTAGCTCTCACGCATCGAGTAACAGAAGAGGACATATATAAAGGATATCGAATTCCGAAAGGTTCTTTCGTTGTTTCCAATCTCTGGTGAGTATACTTTCCGATTTGGACTGAGGTTTGCTGTATCTTTTATATCCAGGGCTTTGTTACACGATCCTGTGCGTTGATACCAATATAGTAGTTTTGGTACAGTTACTCATGATACTATTTTGCATGTAGGATGTGTTTACCGATCCCATGGACTTCAAACCGGAAAGGTTCTTGCGTCCAGACGGAACGTTAAATCCTGATATTCGTGATCCCAGAGATGTCATTTTCGGTATCGGTAGGAGGTATGTACATCACTAACAGAGGATCTCCGAATCAATTGCTCACAATTTCGATCAAAAGATACTGTCCAGGGCGATACGCTGCCTATGACTTTGCCTGGATTGCCATAGCATCTCTCCTCACTGTTTTTAACATTACACGTGCGGTGGACGAGAATAATGTACTGATTGAACCAACGTATGAGTATACTTCAACCGTCATCAGGTATGAACTTTGTCCTTCCAGTGTAGAACTGTCATCGAACTATCGCTTAGTGTGCCATTGCCATTCAAATGTGCTGTCAAGCCACGATCCAAAGAAGCTGAAAAGTTGATTATGTCTGTGGAAAGTAATTGAAATCGCCAGTACCTTCGGATGTGACACTTTGAAAACTGGCGCTCACCGTTGAGAAAGTGATTCTGCACATCACATTTCATCAGCAGTGACTGGTACGAGTCTAAATCAAGATTAAACAAATAATGGATGATGCGGACTGTTTTCAACACACTCCGGAGTTTTCGCCCGAAGTCTCTGAGGTGCAGTATACATCAAAGATGGAACATTGTATGCGACCCACTCTTATATCCTTCCTTGAATTGAGCAATTGTACCAAGCACGAGTGATTTGACAATGCCCCTGGATAGTTCAGAGGTCATGTCAAATCTCTGGGCATAATTGACACATTCTGGGGCTGTACAGGACTGTATCAGTTAATCTTCTTAAAGCAGGAAATTTTATTTTTAGCATAAGTATTGCGACCGACGCGTATCGCAGCAAAACCGCCGCCGCCGCCTGAGGAAAGGAAAGGAAAAACCTCTGCTGCTGTCTGGTTGTGTCTGGAGTATACACGCATTGAAGCGCATTGATCGCTGATCGGTCACATTCAAGTTTCCTTCGCTTACAACATGATTTGCTTTCTCCTTTGGGCAGATTTTCGTCGGTAGCCGACGCGTACTACCTTACTAGCGCCGGGAGTTGGTATTTAAAAATTCATCAACAGAGGCTTTTGATTTTTTCATTTTCTGAACACGCTGTAAGTACCTGGATTTGACTATCAAATCCTACATAACCTATTCAGGAAGAATGGTAGATTTGCAGCCTAGAAGTGTATAAGAAACAGACGGAAACCTCCTACTCTCTTCCATTTTTCAAGTTCGTCTCCGGCTGGACTGGTGACACTATTCATTTTTGCTACCCGTAGAACTCGAGCATAAAACCAAACTTTCCTCCTCATGCGTTTCTCAAACACACTACTTCCCTTGATCACCCTCGCCTTGCGAGTCGCTGCGATTGATCTTCAACAAGGCATCCCGCTAAAAAGTGTTTCTCACCCCGCAAATGTATATATCCCATCCGAAGTGGTGGAGGCCACTGAAGCAAATGCTATCGTCCCTGCTGCACATTATGCCTCGACACCTAATGATGACAGTAATGGTAATGCACAGAAATCAGTGTCTCTCCGTTGCCTGGAGGAGGCGAGACAAGAGGTGCTGGCACATACTACGCTACAACAGATGCCTCATGGAGCGAAGGTGCAGGTGTTTGTAGAAAGCCTTGTATTTGCAAAGAACAAGTTGCAGAATTATGTCAAGGGGACAATGTCTAAGTGTGCTGTCGCTGGAGCTGTCGCCGGCTTGATCATTCTGATAGTCTATTCGGAAATGGAGTGTCACAGGAAGGACGGAATTCCACACTGTAAACCTTAGCGTCAGAATGATCTTAAGAATGATCTCGAAATTGAGCAGTGCGAGCATTTGCAGATAGACGCTTGTAGCAACCCATCGACAACGGTGAGTTAATGCTTTGAATCATTGTCAATACTCGCTCAACATTAGATTCTCAACTTAGGACAAGCATCTTTCACCCGTTACTTCCAAAGCTCCTGGAGGACATGTAAAGAGGGATACTGCGAGAATGTCATATCGCCGTCGTCTTGAGCTGGAGTAATCAAAAGAGGGAGGACGGCTGACGGAGATGGAGGTGCTAGTGGATGATTGAGAAGACGAGGGTTTGCACCTAATCCTTGCTTGTAGATAGATAGATAGATTGTTACACGGCCACACCACGTTAATGGTGTGGTCCCCTAAACGGAACGGCCGGTCTTGTAGTGTTGAGCTTGTGCGGGAATGTGAACAGGTGAACGATGAAGGTCAAATAACACATGTCTCACGATTAATGAAGGGTCAAAGTTTCGCGCTGACAGAGACTGACTGACAGCGGCCCATGGAGCATGAATCATCTGGAAGAGGTCGCACAAACAAGGACACAATTTAAACTCATATTTTCCTGGTAGTATGTATACCAAACTATTTTCATCCACCGGTAGATATCTGCAAAAACTCCACCACCAGTCATGGCTCTCCTTGCGTCGCGCGAGTTACCTACTCGTCAGTCCAATTCCTAATTCTTCGCCGATAGGACATTCTAGCAGCATCCCTCCCTCCCCTAGTAGTTCCCTTGAGAGGGGCATCATTGGTATTGACCTGAAAGAAGGAGAAGCAGTGGGTTTTCAGTATTCTGTGGGCAATTCGAATTCGAACGAGGATCACTTTGGGACAGTTGCATTTTTGATCCATGTGATTATCCGTAAAACCACGCGAATGCTTGTTATTGGCGGTAACCCCAGCGATGACTCCGACCATGGCAAGCCCTATCACAGCGCAGACGCATTGCCCGAACCTCCGATTATAATCTCCCAGCTCAAGGACGGCAGTGCCATTGCCCATGTGACTGGTTGGCTGCGAAGGAGGGCGATTCCGATGCCCACTCTGGGGCTGATATATCGGATCCCCTCGATGATGCTCATACGAGGGAGGAGGCTGATAGACGGGGGGAGGAGAGCGCGGTATATCCGAATAGGAGGGAGGAGCGGCGTCAACATAAGACAGTTCGTAGGAATTTGGATCAGAGTGTAGACTTGGTGGTGGAGTTGCGCCTGCGCGCACGGTGAGGGTGATTAGCGGGAGAAGTATATCAAAGACTCGCATGGCGCTTTTATCGTCGGACCAGCCGGTAGCGAAAGTTAGAGATGAGCAGGACAAGAAAAATACGGGAGCAGGAACAGAGAATGAAGTTTTTTTAAGGCCGGTATACAGGTACGGCGGCAGTGCGATTGAAAATTTTCAGCATTACATTCGTACAGCTTCCGGAGTCAGATTGGTAGGCACCTTGGGATAACTCCTAAGGTGGATGATACAACGTTAGCAGCTATTGGAATAATGTACAATATAAGACAGCAAAAAATTGTCCACAGGGTCAAAACAATGTAGAAATCCAACCGCAGATAATATAGTATATGTATAGATCATGGATATCCGAACAAACTGCCAAATTTAAGTAGTATACACCTACAGATTTTATATCAGCGTAGATACAACATATTGGTCTACGGATCGAACCTTAATTTCTCAACGTGAGTTTCTTTAACATCTCTCCCCAACTATGAAGGCTTTCTTCCTCCTCTATACCATTGTGTAAAGGTGGGCCCTCCATGTCGAATGAACCTGGCATCTGTAAATCCTGTTCCAAAGGGTCATATTCGCGATGTCTATCACCATGACTAGACTCGTTATCCAGGGGAGACGGCTCCTCCGTCAACAAGGAATCCCGTTCATCGTCATCGTTGATCATAGATCCCGAAGAGGCGTGTGTGGTGAAATTGTTGTCTACACCGGCGTGTGAGGTCGAACTTAGATCATCGGGAATGCTGGATGCGGACTGAGATCCGTTGAGGCTAGGACTTTCCTCCTCTGGAGGAGCAGTGACCGTGACGTTAACATTATCACCAGGGCCACTCGTGCTATCGCGGCCATTACCAAGTTTCACCTCAGACGCAGACGCAGGATGCCATCCGTCGTCCTCATCCTCGTCGTCCGTATTAGGAGGACCACCCCCGGCACTACCACTATTCCATCCTCCAGAGGACGCAGTCGCATCTGACGCGGTCGAGAGCTGAGACTGGGTACGACCAAAGGATGCCAACCTATGTATCGCTCTCGCACCAGCGATCGCATTACGCCATTTAGATCTGGGATCGAAGTGGTCTCTGAGTCCGTCAGAGAGATCGTGTTCCTCGGATGGATCGTGTGTCGTGAGCCAGGTATCCTTGAGTGCTTCAGCGGCAGTTGGTCTGCGGGTAGGATCAGGGTTAAGGAGGCGTTTGATGAAAGTTTTGGCCTCGGAGGAAACATTTTTCCAATATTTGTCGTGGAACTCGATTCGAGCTTCGGTCGTTTCGCGGATGAGGACTTTGACTTCATCCGATCGGAAAGGGGAGTAACCGCAAAGGAGGACATAAGCAATTATTCTGGAGACGTAGATTCAGCACGGGAATGATGTTAGCAATAATTGAGAAAAGCTTACCCGATACTCCACAAATCGACCTGCTTCCCGTGTCCTTCATTAAGCAACACCTCAGGAGCGACGTAACCAATGCTCCCGGCGAGCGAATGCAACTGCTCTTCCGGCGTATCAAGATGTTTGGCTCTAGACAAAGATCAATGGTTTTGTCTGAGATTAGGAGAGAGGAAGGAGACTTACATCCCGAAATCTGCGATAACGATGTTGGAATCCTCTGCTGACGTTCTGTAGAGGATGTTCTCCGGTCTGATGAATAATGAAGAAAACGGAATCAGATGCTTGTAACGGTCAGAAGAGAAGCACGCACTTGAGATCTCGGTGCACGATATCATGTTCGTGGAGGTATGCGACGCCTGAGAGAATTGACCTACGAGATACGTGGGTATTGAGCATTCAGATATGGCACGAGTGGACATGAGTTTGATGAAGGAAAAGATAAAGATGACGCATTATGCGTATGAAAGTCCGCAAAAACTGTTACTACTCGATGGACGGAGGAGTTCCAATGTCGCTCATAAGAACGAACAGGACGATAATCCTTACCTTATGACGCCACTAGCATCTTTCTCCGTAAATTTACCCTTCTTGAGTATCCGGTCGAAAAGTTCTCCGCCTACAGCGAGCTCGAAAGATAGATAATATTTCGTTCGCGATTCAAACCATTCATAAAACTTGACCTAGATTGACATTCATGATGTTGAGCTCCGAAAATCAAGACAAATCAAAAGGGTGACACGTACGATGTTCGGATGGTCTAAACCTTTCAATACCTCCATTTCACCCCAAACACTAGCCTCGTTCCCCTTCACTTTCTTCTTGGGAATCAACTTGAGGGCTACTTCCTTCGTGATGCCTGCCTGTGATGATGAAGGATCTGAGGATGCTGGCGATGTAGACCTGGAGGAAGGTTTAGAGCCGGCGAGATTCGTGAGCGTTCGTTTCATCTTCGGTTGGGTTGTAGTAAAAGGATCGTCGGGACCAGCGGCGGCGCCGCGTTCGGCGATGGCGACTTGTTCAGCTGGAACATGCCATGTTGCTTTCTGCAAAACGACATTGGATGGGTTTAGTTATCAATATGGGCGATCAAAAGGGATAGAACGGTGAAAGAGAGGAGAAAATAAACGATAAGCCCGATTCAGACTAGAAATCGGCGTGAAGAGCAGATAAAATCTCGGAGCAACCGAAGTCGCCCAAAATGAATTCGAAAAAAGTAATAGACTTACTACAACTTTCCCGAAAGTACCTTCACCGAGAACCTGATGCACCTCATAGTTCTTCTTCTTGACAAAACTTGGTGGTTGAGGAAGAATCGCGTCCTTTATCGATAGATGCATCACGGAATACTGGGACGCTGCTTCCGAAGTTGATTAGAGTAAGAAGGCTTTGAAGAACGATAGATAGCCGATTGAACTCCTGACAATCGTGCTCAACGATAATCTTCAATTTACGTGTAAGGAAGAGAAGGGAAACGAAGTCGAAAATTTGATAGCCAGGATGGAGAGGAGTAGAGAAGGACGCAGGTTGTTGGTCGTGGTTGGTGTTAAACTTGAAAGGACGAATGAACAGTTGATGACGTCCAGGAACAGAAAACTGAGAAGCACTGCCCCCCCGCGCGCTAAATTCTTCTTCGGTGCCGATTCCTCTTCAACTTTCTGCAACAACCAGGCTTCCAAATAACAGACAATCCTCGCTGCAGTTCTCAAAACTCTCTAGACAAGGGCGCGATGCCTAATTCCCCCGTTAGCAAATCAACTGGAGAGTCGGAGACTTGGTGAGACCGATTTACTACTACGAGTAAATCGAATAGTCACTCGATTCAAAAAAAGGATTCACGCCACGACATAGCAGCCCGTTCGAGACAATGCCCGCTGTGCCATTTACCCACAAACTTTTCACTTTCTTTATGCACTTACCTGGCACTTACTCTCCAAATCATCATTCAGATAATTCCGCTGTCGGTCATTACGCCCTTCATCTCGTCGTCGCTACACCTCTATCCGAAGGATACGTGTCTGGAATATCGCCTTTGGATACGTGTTTCTAATATATTAGGGGCTCAAGTCCACACACTTGAAAGTCTCAAACTGTGTTTACTCCGCTGTTGTTGTGACATGTAATATCAAAACTGTAATGACCAGTAGGCAATGCATACTCTATCTGGTGTCCAAGTAAGAGACATCCAACAGCGCTTGGCCAGGCAGCTGCTGCTCCTCGAGAAGCTCAGTAATCCCATCAGACGAGTTCTTGCAATATCTCCTGGGCCCACATTCGAGCGTTTGATCCCCAGCAGTATTACCCAACCTCTCTTTGGTGCGCTGGATCGTTGACGTTGGACACTAATATTTACTGGATACGCGATGCCTATCCGTCACCACGTTGAGTCAAAAACTTGTCCACGGTGACAAACATCTAACTTCTCAAAGTAAGCGAGTGATAAGCTTAGAAAGCCCAGCGAGTGTAAGTAATGATTCGACCTCCTCGAAAGTCTGAGAAGCGATAGAATTAAGGTCGATAGGGAGGCAAGTAAACATATACATATATTGAGGCATATCTACATATATCAGGATACTCGACGTCGACGCATTTCCACCGATTTCCCGAACTATTGGGATTTTTCGACAATGATGCCTACCTTTATCAGATAGCTTTTTACAAGCTCGATATAAGATTCTTGACTGTCAACCTGGAAATCCGGAGTCCTCATTTCTTCCTGGACTTTATTAATGTCCTGCAAGAGATCCCAGACTGTGGCGTATCCCTCAAGCTTCCACTTTCTGAGTACGCTCCAGTTGAGTGAGAGCGTCTTCTCTGCGGTAAAATAAATTGAATCGGGCCTGGATGGTCGAGACGGCCGCATTTTAAGGTCAGTGACATGCAAAACTCGCATGCTAGTAATATCGTTTTCCGCCCGGGGCCGAAGACCAAAGCAGTTGGCGTTTTCAATTCCGAAACAGATGCATTTGATGTCTTGGTCGCGTATTTGGACTTTTCGCAGCCATCCACTAGTTAGGGGGTCATTTGCTCTGGATTCACGGTAATATCCAGTCCTGACATCATTGGCGATGCGACGGCCAATAACAGAGGTGGTACTGAGCAGGATGCCAATGAAGAGAAGACATAGGGAGCATGATTGAAGCAGCATCATAGAATCCAGAGGTGAGTGTGATATTGGACTCGGAGGGGATGAAGAGGATGAGGGCGAATGAAGTGATATCCTGGAAAGACTGCCACGAGGCAATTGATACGACAATGGCGCGAGGGACTAGGACACAATTGTAACGGAGTGTCACGCGTTACTGGTTACTTAGCGCCTGATTTAGCGCTTCATTCTGACTTTACCTATGCCTGCTCGTACTTATGCTTACCTATGCTAGATTATGCAGTATGAATATGCTACCATATATGGAACACTGACTCTTGTAGGGTATATAAGGATACTCGATTGTACTATGTACCCTAGGTTATCCAGAAAACTCCCCAGTTACAACAGTTCTCTCGACGACCTACCCTAAGTTCCCATCTCTCTCTCGTGTGGTGTTACTGTGATTCGTCACGCTACCGCTACATATTTTGAACTCGATACAACTGGTTCTCTTCTCTCTTCTCTAAAAAACCTCTCCTCATTGTTATCTCCGGCACACTCCAGGTCTGATCAACCAGGAACCCCGACACGGAACATTTCTCCCTACATATTCTACACTCCTTTTGATGCCGAGCTCTTCTTTCCCCTCTCATGACAGTAGTCACCGTCATGACCTCCGACGAGGACCCAGACACCTTGAAAAAGCTCCCAGAACTGTCCATGACAATGACAGAGAAACTGCTATGTACACTCAGGAAACTGAGGTTGGAAAGAAAAGTCAAAACTATGCTGCCTCTGATGAGGAAAGCTTCGTTGGCACTGTTGATAGTGGCCAGAATGAACAAATGGAGAATGCTGAAGACAGTCCCTCCAGTGAAGATGACAACCCGAACCCTTGGGTCGCGGCTGGTACCCGACGTAGGGCATTTAGTTTGGACAGTAGTTCCAATCAGAATAAATTTCGGTTGAATGCTTTAGAACAAACGCGCGTGAATTCGGATAAAATCCGGGGCAATCAGGCCAAGAAACCTGTACCCCTTGCCATGGCTACCATTGGAAAAGCTGAGAGAAATACTCGAGCCCAAAAGAATGAAACCCGTCGTCAAACGCGGTCTGATAAACACAATTCCACTCATAAGAATCTGAGTGACAACTCCTGGAATGAGGAAGGTCTCTTCAAGGACAAAGGAAATGGCATGGACCCGATGAACTGGGGTGCCTCTGAACCTGACACTGATATAAATCAGCACGGTGCAATCGAGAACTTCAGGGCTGTCCGTGATAACGCCCAGCAGCAACAGATGCCAAAGAAAAAGTCGTCAAAAAAACCTGAATGGGCTAAGCTGCATGAAATTCCTGAAGCATTTGCTAACCAAGTCGAACCCCGCGTCCGGGACATTGTGGGGCAGCACCCACGAAAATCTCATGCTATCAAACGAGTTGCGAGCCCAAGTAGCTCGTTGACAACAACCAACCTAACCAAGGGCAAGAAACAAGCTGTAGAACAGCAGAGCAAATGTCGGAGGGAACCATCCGAATCTTCCTCTAGCTCATCCGGCTCTGAATCGAGCTCTTCGTCACCTGAATCTGACCTGGAATCTAGTTTTGAGACTAGACACAATCATGGACATCGAGGGCGACAACGTCGCTCACACAAGAAGAAATCAAAGAAAATGATATTGAAACCCGACCCGCCCGAACCTTACGATGGATCGATTGACATTAATGCATACATTAAATTTGTGACCGAAGGTACTGCATATGTCCGTGATGGACATGTACCTCGAAACCGACGAGTTCTGAAGCTATCAAAATATCTGAAATCAAAAGCTTACCAGTTCTATTTGACCACTGTAGCAAACTCTCCATTCGATTGGAGATTGAAAGAGTTCTTTGTTGAACTATACAATTATTGCTTCCCAGCGACGTACCGTATTGACCAACGCCGAAAGCTGGAGCATGCAACACAGGGTAACAAGTCTGTTCGGGACTACCTTGCACAAATTAATAACCTATTCAGTACGGTCGGAATTCTTGATGAACGCGAGAAGGTCCACAAACTCTGGACTAGTCTGAATGCAAATATTCAGAAAGGACTGTGGAAGGAGAAATTGAATCCGGAATTGTCCACTTACATTGAGGTGGCGAGCACAGCTGAGCTCATTGAAATCATGGAGAATAATATTACTGACAGCAGTGAATCTGAACACTCTTCTGCACAGAGATCTGAAAGTGAATATTCCTCAGAAGAGGAAGATGATTCTGAAATTGAACAGGCCTCAGACAGTAATTTCTATTCAGAGAACCGCTCCGACGAGGACCAATCCGATAGCAAAAGCAAAGACCACAGTGAATCTGATAATGAATCCGGCAGTGACAATCAGTATGAGAACAACGAACCAGATGACTCCAGTGACTCTGATCATCCCCGGAATACATACCAACATCGTTCGCAGCGACGACGACTTTCCGAAAATAAAAGAATTGAATATCTTGCGACCGGCAGATGTTTTCGATGTGGCGGGTATGGCCATATAAGCCGCTATTGCCCGAATGGATACATTACCGAAGCTTCATGGAAAAATAGAACGGCGGACATCGAGCTCGGAATGATGAGCTTTGCACTCAATGAACCAGTCTCACCGTTTGAAAATGATAACAGAAAGACCGTTCGAGAGGTTGGAAAACACTCTCGTAGCATGGGAAAGAAAGATTTCGTCTTCAACGGTCACCGTGAAGAACGAAAGGAGGGCGGGAGAATGGATATGGCTCCGACGTCTCGAAAAAGACATACGAAAAAGAGGAAACCTACCCCAGGAATAGATTTCGCACTCGAAGACTTACCAGAACGGCACCAACATATCATTGATACGAATTTCCTGCCAACAAAGAATGGAGGGTATGAACACCTCACCTCGCTAAAACGGGTCAGAAATAACAAAATCCTCATCAAGCCGTACGATGGATATACTCACTTTGTCACTGTTTCTGATGTTCGCACCTGCCTCGACTTTGACCGAATCCTGCGGAAAAGAAGCTTTAGATTGCAAATGGCCGACATCCCGGCCATCTACCCACTTCTTGCTGAGCACGTTAATAGCGACCCACTCATTCATCCCTACCAGCTCGCTACATTCAATGTTGATACCGGAGTAGTGTATACGCAGGCTCCACCTATTGATCGGCGACTATTTGATCCATTCACGCGCGAAGATGATTTGAGAATAAACGGATTGGATAAATTGACTACGGAAGGACGAGGTCTACATCGGGAGCTACAGAAGAAGCATTGGACGGAAAAACATGTAGAAAGGAAGGACTGGAAGAAGGGATATCAGACAAAAGTTTCAATGAGGGAGGAGGCTAGCTCACCTGGATCTTCCCATGAAGCCCGAGATCCTTCCGGCAGCTTTGTTCATCCATCTACACCCAGAGATTCCACTATCTCGACTGCTTCTAAAACAGCCTCTCATACAGACCAAACACATCTCCCTCATCCTACTCATACATCCTTCGAAGTCTCCTACAGCCCCACTATCATATCATCCAGTCCTAATCCATCTCTCCTTATTGATGCGTTGGCCACAGAGGAAACGCCAGTCTTGACCAATGAACCCACACACAACAGTTGTACCCAGTCTTTTGACAACGATTTGCTAGACCCTCGCGTTGGACTTCGACCAGACAGAAGCAGGTACCCTCGGCGGCGACGATCTTCAAGCAATTGACGCATCAGTTGACGACGATCGAGATGATTGAGAGATCCTCGTCATGAAGGATCTCTGGAGGGCGTATGTAACGGAGTGTCACGCGTTACTGGTTACTTAGCGCCTGATTTAGCGCTTCATTCTGACTTTACCTATGCCTGCTCGTACTTATGCTTACCTATGCTAGATTATGCAGTATGAATATGCTACCATATATGGAACACTGACTCTTGTAGGGTATATAAGGATACTCGATTGTACTATGTACCCTAGGTTATCCAGAAAACTCCCCAGTTACAACAGTTCTCTCGACGACCTACCCTAAGTTCCCATCTCTCTCTCGTGTGGTGTTACTGTGATTCGTCACGCTACCGCTACAACAATCTCCTCGAGCGAAAGCTTCAAGCAACCTAGTAGTATAAGTTATATTTTGAGAGAGAAATAAAATTTAAAGGACACATACCCACAAGGACAATAAACGAAAGAGTGCTGATTAAGATTGCTTGTGCGTAGGAGTTCTGAACTTGGATAAAATCAACTATACAAACTCATCTTCAGTCATATTGGTGAGCAGGAACATGAAGCAGCATACCGATCCAGCGTTGAGGAAGTTTTTTGGTTCGAAGGGGGGATTGTTCGATGAATAGGCTGATGGTCACACGTCTGATTATAAAGTTTCCAAGGGCAAAAAGGGCAAAGACGAAGGACATTCAGATAAGCGGAACTGCTACTTTAGGTCGCATTAGGTCGAGCTCGATCAAACCACCTCAGCGACTCATCCTCAACTGAAACCCCTTGTTCGCCAATGTGACCAGTCGTCTCTTATCATATAATCTCGGCCTCTTATCCATTCAAAGAACTCACTAGAAACAACTCCCTCCATGATAAATTTCTTCCTGTATCCTCCATATCAAAACAGATGAAGAACATCTGAAATGTTCCTTGGACGCGCCGATTGAGACGACGAAAGTCTGTTGTCTAAAGTCGAGTATGAGATTTCGGAGCTGAGATGGAACCTCTCATCTGATTTCGCAGGAGGATATTTTAGTTTTGTCCGATGATGCGAAGGAGCAACATTATCTATCTTTAATGAAGGTTCAAACATCTTCGGTGTACATTCGTCTCGCCATATACACAGTGGACATCCCGAGCGGTCTCACAATGGCGTGGAAGATGCCTGGGGCCATCTCTATCTAGCGCAAATTATCTGGTTGGAGGACGAAGTGTGCGACTGGGTTGACAGCGATTCAGTTGTAAAAGCCGCCATTGCAGGCTTGTGATCGGGTGGAAGAGCGCGTGTATAAGTGGATGAAGTGTTCTCTAATCACTCGATTTACCATGAATGGTTGTGATTGGTCCTGGCAATGAGGCCTGAGGACTAACGACAAGTTTCTAGTTTCTAGATCGCTCATAGTGTCGTTTATGAGGAATTAAAGGTGCGTATATTGATAAATCTTATATGATCGCTAATGATCACAATGAACCTGCTACAGTTTCAGGACACCGGAAGTTATCGCGCTTGTCTCTGATCCCTTCCTTCTGAGGCCACGGAGCAACCCTGGTACCAGTGTAGGATTTACGGGTTCTTGTAAGCTGGATAAACAATGGTGAAATGTCATTCGCTGCGATAAGGTAACAGCTCACGATCTCCGTCATTCCTAACTATGCCCCCTCTCGCATTCTTGACGATGGCATCCTTCATTGGTGTCTTGTGGCTCATGACCACTTTGTAGGGACCGAGTTCATTCCACATAACATCGTACATGACCGGCTTCGTGCTATCATGGGTGGGCACACCAACCCAATGAAATAGCAAGGCCTCTCCGGCTGGTGCACCTAGATCCCTTGCGGCGACGTTCTTCAAAAGGGCTCTCACATCCTTCTTAATGGCATTCGTATATGCTTTGCTGAAAGACTCGTTGTCCTTTTCTGGGTTTCCCTCAAAGGTCACGGTGATGTCGACATGGGAGGATGGCGCTCGAATCTCAAATGCTTGATCCCGAACCTTTATGACAGCAATTGCGTTAGAAAAATTGAAATTAAAATTCATGAAAAAAATTCAGTCAACTGCCAGAGGGGCTGCACACGCCGTGAACACAAGAGCAAAGACGAGAATGAGCTGAGTGGTGGGCCGCATAGTGATATAAGATTCTGAAAGGTAAGCGTATTAGAAAAGATGAAGAAGTGATCTAACTTTGACCAGCAAAGAAATAGACGTAGTCAGTCGACCGGCGAATGAGAGGAATAGAGACATTATTCTGAAAGGTCTCTGCTTTATAGCCTCAGTCGGGCTTGGCTTCATTGAAGTGGACCCGAGTTGCCTCCCGCTGGTCGAAGATTCACACTGATGAAAAATATGTGGGAAGATACTTCAAAATTCTGCGCATGACGAAGTACTGAGTACTGAAGCATCCCGCATTCTTGCGAGACTCGAGTTCTGGTCTGCAACTCATTCGAATCGCTCATGCATCAGCGTTGATACGGATTTTTTCTCGATTTTGAATTAGTTCCAACCATGATCAAACCCATCAGTAATCAATTTACACCCTAAGCAAGGCCCTTCCCTACGCAAGCCGTTGGCTAGTACTCCTGTTTATAATCTAAGCAGCCTAAGGACCCAAAGACTATGGGTTTCGGTAAGCTGATTAACAAATAGTCAAAACACTTTGCAGGGGTAAATTTGAACTCCAGAGGCAACTCACGATCTCCTTGTGTCCTGACTGGGTGCCCCAATGAATCTGTGACAATGACATCGTGCATTGGTGTTCTGTGGCTCATTGCCACCCTATACCGACCATGCTCCTTCGTGGAAATGTCAAACATCACTGGCTTCGCAGTGTCTGGAGAGGGAGTACCAATCCAATGAAATAAGAGGGCCGAGCCTTCTGGTGCACCTAGGTCTCTTCCGGCGATGCTTTTGACCAAGGTCCTTACATCCTCCTTCACAGCATTCGTGTAGGACTGAGTAAGATGTGTGTGAATTCCTTCGAGCGGGTTCTCTTCGAACGCGATGGTAACGTCAATGTGGGAGGACGGTCTTCGAGTATCCAAAGGAGCCGCAGATGCAAGTGACACAAAGCCTAAGATAAAAACGAGGGAGGAGACAAACCGCATAGGGGTGCAAGTTCCAAACGTAGGATGGTGTAGATTTGTGTGTTACGACGACTTTGATCAACGATGGAGATAGAGGTCAACTCGACCAGCGAATTGACAACGATGAGAGGGATCAGACTATGTTTGAATGTTATATATATACGTCTTAGTTCCAGTTTGACTGTGGGCATTTTCGGGAGACCCCTCTCCCATCCCGCATGACGACACTCAGTTTGTAAGCCCCGAGAATTATCTGAAGCTATGAAGTCGATTTGCGGGATGAAGACCATATGGACGAGACGGGAAGGGTTTGCGGCTGATAATGATCATCGCGGTAAGCAAAGCATGCGCAGTATTACCGAACAATCAGTCGAGAATCACAGATGCTGGCCCACTCCCATGATACGTCCATCGGCGGTAACAACTACTCAAATGTCCATCCTATCAAGGTGATGCAATGGTTCACGTAAAGCCAGTAGTAAATTTGAAAGTGAACACCATCCACTGCACACTGCGTTCACTGTCGACGTTGGAAGCTGCGAATCCTGATGGGTATAGGCTAGATTTCCGGATGAACGAAGTTCTAACGAGTTCGGAGTCGTGTCGCAAACTCGTATACACAAAGTTCGTCGAGGATATGCGTCAAATTGGAGAGAGTAGAAAACATATTTTTCTGTAGTGATTTTTCCTCTGGGCCTCGATGTAAATTGACTAGAATTTAAGACGACTGCCCTCGACGTGATAGCCTGCCGCGTCTTCCGCGCAACGACGAATCAAATCCTCGGCTTCGCTGATTATCGCAGATCGATGTTCAAAGCGAATTCTCGCGTAGGTGTAACCAGCCGCCGTATTGAAGTAGAACCGAATCCCTGCACCTTGTTAGGAGATCCTAGGAGAAGGTAAACTTGGAGACTGGTAAAGGATGTGTACGCACTCACTGACCCTCTATAGACTACCAAATGGTCGAAGTATCCCGAGCTCCCAGAATTCTGGAGTTTATACTTCAAATGCAGGCTTCAAGCTCCAATACTTGTGAGTGAAAGAGAGGGTCAATGGCGTTACCAAAAAAAACCCGCTGGACCGGACCGATGATCCGACCCATGACTATTCCAAGTACGCTGGATTTATATACAACGGATCACTCGCCTCACTGAAGTCCACACCCTTCCACACCCCTGTAGTAGCGAGGCTACCAACAGTCATCCAAAAAATGACCATGAATAGGTGCAGTGCCAATATACATGTCTACGAAAGTCACTCCTCATCAACATCCGTCACTGCGATGAAAACGGCAGGCTTTCATTTCGACATCTTGTCCTGGCACTCCTAAATCTACGTTGTCCCCAAACTTCTACCCCGTCCCGCTTTCATGATTGCTACTTACTTCATGTACACCCCCTTACACTTCTGCAGGTTGGCGATTTATCGTGCGACCTCTTTGACCTAGGATCGTTGTCGATAGATAATAACTTGGTATACCACCGACTCCTCGAGGCGACTACGTACACAGCGAATAAATAGGGACCCCATCCACTCCTGAACATTCACTTTTTGTCGAGTCAAATTCTGTCAGCCATCCAATCGAGGCTGTCCAAGTCCCATTCTTAAATTCTTCTTCCATGAGGATGATATATTGTCTTCAAATTCGTTGACCACCCGGAAGTCTTCTGATCATTCTTGTGGTCCATTGATAACCACCATACAACTCTGCTCCATATCTGTACTGTTTAGCACATGGTGATTCATATGGTTGAAGCAGATTTAGAGTGCTCAGTACAATGAATCGGGCAGTAGTCATATTCGGTTCGCATCGTCGCCTTCTCCGGTAGAGGTCTAGCCCGACTCAATACTTGCTACTTTAGTTCCGACACCGCTCAAGAACCTTCAATCTCTCGTACTGAGAGCAAATATGGTGCATTTTTCCAATCGCTATGTCACTCAAAGCTTCATCCTAGTCTTTGGTTTCACTACCAACGTTGTTCAAGCTGTTCTTACACCCAAGCGCGCCAGCTGTGCATGTGGGTTCGTCGATGATCAAGGACACGTCTGGAGGGAGGCCATTACCACCGATTTTACTCAAGCCGCCGGTGCCATTGCAGCACTTGGGAGTGACTGGATCATGGCTTCCGACAACGAACCTCAGTCTGGGACTGCAACTGCTAACATTCAGTATGTTACAGCAAATGTGATGCAGTACAACGATGCACTTGGTATACAAGCTAGCGCTGTGAGTTACTCTGGTTATTCATGCCTATGATTTCTATGTGTTCATCTTTCAGTACACTAGTGGCAGTGGCAATGTCAATTGCGGGGAAATATTCACAGAACGATCAGATATTCTCTATGGCTCCTTCCGCATGCGTGCCGTGGTTCCAACCGTTCCCGGTGTCGTTTTTGGTAATCCCTGTAGTTGTTCATCAGCCTACATCAACCCTTAAACAGCATTCCAGGTTTCTTCTCTTATAAATCGGACACGCAAGAACAAGATATCGAATTCCTATCCTCAGACATTGACTATTATCAACATGTATATTATACCGACCAACCAGGGACTGTCGATGGAGTTGTCGATCCTAATGCACATAAAGATGTGGAGATCAACGGTGCAGATTTTACGTGCGGATTTGTCTTATCCCTTCTCACTGGTCATTATACTCATCTCATAACCTTGCCAAACAGTGCCTTTGGTGAACACCGCTTTGACTGGCTGCAGAGCTCCACGAACTATTACTACAACTCTGCGTTGGAAGCCGTATGTTCCTTCTCTTCATTGTTTTACTTAGTGACACTCAATTGCTTGTTAGGCAATTACAAAGAATGTTCTGACGGAAGGCTCCGAAATCATCTTGAACGTCTGGTCCAACGGCGACCCTGCCTTCTCTAAAGGTCCTCCGACGTCGAACGCTATAGCCACGATCCAAAACATTGAACTGTACTTTAACTCTACAAATTTCAGTGAAGCCGAGTTCAATTCTGCTTGTAGTCTGGCAGGAAATATTGCACAATGTAGTGTATGAGAAAATAGAACATTGCTGTTTCTCGTAGCACAACGCAGTTAAAAGATGTAAATTTTGATAACGCGATGTACAATAAAGGAGTCGAGAACCGTCTGAAGACTCTGAAATACCTTAAACATGGAATAAATACATAGATATCGGCACATTCACGACCAAATGGTCGTACATCTTTAGTTAGTCAGAAGTATGAACGCAAAATATCATTGCAAGATGGGAGAAACTCAATCATATTCCCCTACAGCCCGGTCATAAAATATAGCCATAACAGTAGGGGATGGGAATTTATGTGGGAGGGGCCGAGATCCAGTCTGGGGCATCGATTTGATGACGCGGACACGTCGAAGGAGATGCAGGTCAGTGGAGGCTGAATTGGATTGTCGCGTCAGGGAAGATACTGAGTTTCCTTGGAGTTGTGGGGAGACGAGTTCTGTTACTGACTGAGACAAAGAAAATTCAGAGCTATACTCCTCCTTGTACTTGACACTGTCTTCATTGAGCTCGGGAGGATCATCATAGTTGGCGTCAGTGGAGGCGTACTTGTCGTAATCATCATTGGACTTGCTGATGGGAGCTGGAGCGGACTTGTAGTACCCATCGACTCTTCCCGAGATGGCGAACCAGACTTGACAACGGGAACTAAGTTTGGTTGTTGAGAGATAGCCAGAGCCAAATATGTATATAGATTACTGAGCCATACCATGTAAATCCACCGACCCAATCTCTCCTCCAAACCTCATTGTTGTATCCACAATTTGGACAGGTTCTTTTAAGGATTGGCCAATCTTGCAAACATACATCATCCGGGTCACTATACCGTTCCGTTATGATCACGTCCATGTTCATCGTGGAACCAGCATATACATGTTCTGCCCAACTTGTTTTGTCCAAAGTTCGAGGATGACCACTCGGAGTGGCGAATGCGTGAGATCTCGCAGGTGCTGAAGTTAGTGTAACGACATAATCTCCGCGTTGAATGTATTGTGAGCCTGCTCGGTTTTTGAAGTACACCTTCATCATACCATCGAAGAGCTAGAGGATTACACAGAAAGTGAGACCGCAGTCAACAGCTTGTACACATGTAATGGTTATGCACACCTCCCAGCTTTCGCACAACTCGATAGGCAGCCTAAGGGTCTGGCCCAGAGCATCCGTCAATATAACGGGTCAGAGCGGCGGGAAGTTCAGTCAGACAACGATGAATATCGGCAAGCGTAGGACGTTGATCTTGACTGACTTGGACGTCCCTATGTAAGTGGATGAGCTATAGATGTGATAACAACTGAAGAGACGGTGTTACATGCCTTGTGTAAATTGATAGATCTTTGACAGAACTTTCCACGGCGACGAGCACGTCTCGTTGTCGTTGAGCATCTTCCCTGTGTTTATATCAGAACACCCAGGTTGTTGGAATTGAGTATCATATTTACCTCGAAGAAATGGACAATAATATGTTCAATATCTCGACTTGGTCCATCACCTTCCTCCTCATCTGCACCAGTTCGGGTTTTTTAAACAAAGCCCAGCCTATCTTCCTCCAAGAGTCCCGCATGGCATTTCCTGATCCACCAGCCCTCAGGCTAGATTGATATTTCCATATCTTCCCGTGAATATCCTTCAAGAGATCATGACTTGACTGGACTGCTTGTCGATGGGCGTTGAGGAGCGACTCGGACTGAGGAGACAAACGAGTATCAGAGGAAATACTACTTTTGACAGCGTCAAGGATGTCGGAGAAAACGTCCAAATCGACTATGAGAGCTTGATATTCTGCTGAAGAGCCTGTAGAGTCGCAGAGTGCTTCGCGAACTCGGTTCAGCAGCTCAATAACTGTTATGATATCGCCTATAGAGCCAAAGGTGAGCGCGAAAGACATTGGGAAAATGAAAGGAAAGTTACTGGAAACCGCCAATAATAATGATGATTATGTATATCAGAGTTACTAAGAGCAGAAAAGAGTAACCAAGAACGGTGATTGTTTGAATCTGATCAGTGATGTGCCAAAACCGTTACCATCAGAAGCGTGATTATAGAACGCGCTGGTGCACTCTGTTGAATAAAATCTAATTTTACTGAAATGTGAAATTTGAAGGCTGACGATACCGAGCTAACCTCTTGAAGCTGCAGAGTCATCCCAAGAGCAGTCAAGTTTTCTTGCAAGTAGGTACACGATTGGACCCTCAAACCTCCGTGTTCATTGATCGATTACATCCTGATCCTAGGCGATCTTCGACATAACTAAGGCCTCATAAAAAGTGCCGTTTGCTCATGAACAGCTCACTGCGTTGCAGTATTTGATGCTGGTTTCGAAGCGAAGTTGTGACAATTTTTGGGACGCATGCATTCCAAATCGCAGTATCGCATTGCCAAAAGGCATGTCGCGAACAGAGATCCGGAAACATACGAATTCGAGCTTGGGTATGTCGAGCGAATTAGAGAAAAAGATTCAGGAACCTGGGCTATGGAGATGAATAGATACAAAGGAATGCAGCGATGAATTGAGTCTCTCGGACATTCGACGGTGCCTGAATCTTTTACGAAAAAATTTTTCTGGAACATCCTCTGTTGCCCGACTGCTGGATGAACCGACATCAGTGAGGAGAGAAATCGACCCCGACATATGACGCCTTTTGGTTCGATGAAATGGTGCTTAGGACGATGGCGCGTCACTGCCAGATTGTATCTTATATTTTGCATTGCCAATGACAAGATTGAAGACGGCGCGCACTTTACGTATTGGTTAGATATGTCAAGTTACATCCAAAAAGACTTGAGCAAACATCCCTGTTGAAAGATGTGATTGAAGTTGTGTCTTTTCTCTGCGCAAAATTCAATTCTACATCTAGAACACCACGGTTGACCCGAGGGGGCTTCCGCAAGACAGAACTTCTCCTCATCTTTGGCTCCTTCGCCAATGGATGATGAATGAATGCTCAAGTACGGCCACAGAAATTCCTGCATCGAGGCTTCAAGTTTCATTCGGAGAGATAGAACGAATGAGCTTACGCCATTGATGGAAGCAAGCTGCATGTTTGAACATGATCATAGTTTATGTGGCGTCGAAGGAGCCACGGAGAAAAAAGGAGATCCCAAGAGTTAGTCTACTCGGACGCTGATTGATGAAAACCTTCGAAACAACGCAGTGTTGGGACATATCAAGTATGTCAGCCAAATTCGTTCTCCATCCAATAACGAGATAAACGTACCCGCATCGATTGTAACAGAAAGAACCAGCCCTATCCGTAGCGAAACCTGGGGACACGTAACTTCCACAACGAAAAGCCCTCTTCATCTCCTAATTATTCACCAAATCTTCCAGACGAAAAATCAAGCGTAGATATAGCCGGAAAAGCTCAAGCTACCAGCTTTAATTCACATCCAGTAATGCCTCCAGTACAGATAGGCACAGATGCACCGCCAGCGTATCTAAATTAGAAGGTCCAGTTCTGTTTGTCGGTTTGCATTTCTTCCATCTCTTCTTGTCGCGGTGGGTACTAGCAATGCTGATTCGAGAGTGTTCAATGAATTTTGATCCAAGGGTTCTTTGGTTCTGGTCCCTGAAGTGAATAGAAATCATCACGTGAATGATTTTTCACAGCTCGTTCCGCCCTCTATTTAGTAGTATTCTAGATCTAAGATACTACTGCCACTGGACAACACTTGAGATTCTGAGGTTCCAAATAGGCGCGTCAAATTCACTTATATTACACTAGCTACTGCTTACATTCTGACGCAGGTACAATCCCTGGTAGTCCCTACATGCAATAAAATAAAACCTAGATGCTCATCATAATCTCTGAGATGATTGCTCCCATCTTCGGCCCATTCCGACCGTCGAACATCATTCTATGGGATGCCTCAATACTTCTTCGTTCTATTCGTGGAATATATTCCCGCCATCCGTTGTAGGGGTCTTCTGGATGCGGGTAATCTGCCTCGTCGCCTTTATCAATCTTGAGTGCCTTCACCAACACAGATTTACCCATATACGCCTCCATCGGAGCCTCATATCTTGATATCAAGGTTCGAATCCTGTTGAACTGTTGAATCCATGCCGACTTGTCCTCGTGGACCTGCAGAAGGTGCTGTAAATCATCACTCCACTCCACCGACCGGAGCGGCTCATGATAGACGTAGGAGTCAAACATCATCAGGATAGCTATGTCTTCCCCCACTTCTTGCATCTGTCTAGCTATCTCGAATGCTAGATATCCACCAAAGCTCCAACCAGCCAGGTAATATGGACCGTTCGGTTGGAATTCGCGGACTTGATCCAGAAGATTCCGAGCTAACAATTGGATAGAATCACCTTCGCGGAAAGATTTCCCCCAATGCTCGTCGCCGAATACTACCAGTTTATATCGGATGTTCTCAAACGCAGTCGCATAGACCGATGCAAAGCCAGTGACCTCGGGAAACATGAAGATCGTAGGACCTGGACCTTGTTTGTTGGCCACAATAGTGCTACCCGCGATTCCTGTGGAACTGTTGTCGACAGACACTGCGTTCTGAGAGCCTGGACCTTTTTTGTTAGTAGCGATAAGCTTCGCCACTCCATCGACAGAGGGTTCGCGGTAAAAGTCAGTCATCGATAGACTTATCCCCAGTTCCCGGCGAATGGCGCTTACCACCAACGTAGCCATTAAGGAATGACCCCCGAGTGCGAACAGACTGTCCCTAATGTCAATGGTTTCAGAAGGTCGGTTCAGTGCTCTAGAAAAGAGCGCCAAGACTTTTCGCTGATATATCGTGCTATGACAGGCAGACGTCAATATCAAACGAAAAAATATACTTGGAACTGTACTCACGAAGGGCCTTGGATTGCATGGGATACATGGCCTATATCCGATTCATATTGAGCTAAGAAATCCGAAGAAGCCAACGATGCACGGTCTATCTTTCCACTTCGAGTCAATGGTAACTCTGCAACGCGGATGATTTGGCTTGGGACCATATACGCTGGAAGCCTTTCGCGTAAAAAATTCTCCATGGATACTACGTTCGTAGTCGCCACGGTAGTCATGCTGTTCGATGGAGTGTTGTGTGATGGACCATGGAAGGCAACGTCTGGGAAGTCTCCGACAATAGTCTCGTCATTGGATGTGCTCTTACGCTTGAAAATCGCTCGGAAGGAAGTTGTAGGGCTGTGTTGTAGGGTATAGTCGAATACGACATTCCAACCTTCCTCTTTTGCTATCCGGTCTATATCTGCAGTTGTAGAGCATTTCGCCGATGGATCCTCAGCAATTTCTTGACGGATCTCATTCACGGACCTCTTTGAAATCAAGTTGCCGCAACTATCCAGGACCTCTCGTATACGTCGAATGCTAGCGACCGGGATAGCAAGAGCCCCTACTGTATCATCTCTGGATGAACGCAGTTGCATGCGTAAGTCTTCTGTTGTCCATTCCGGAGAAGCACAATCAAACCAGGTTGATGCTCTAGATAAACGAGGTTGTTTGTTGACGTGCAGCACAACATTATATCGATACCGACTGAGCTCGTTCTGCACCGACATAAGCTTTGGTTTAATTTCAACATGTACAACTTTTGGCAGACGGCGTTCGATATCGAAAAAGAAAGCAGGGTCCACCAGAAGTTCCGTTTGGCCCTCCGTGTAATGGCTCAAGTTGGATTGGATTTCAGTTGCAGTTACGTCCCCTTCGAGATTTGCCAGAGCGCGTTCGAGGTCGTGAAGTGGAATAAGGGAATAGCTGCGTACATCTCCTACGAAAATTCGACCACTCGAATCAATCAATTCCACCATCTTTGCCAGAACTTGAGCCAAATATTCTCCACTAGGGAAATACTGGAGAACTGAATTCAAGATGATGAGCGAGAAGGAATATTTCTCTGCCACTGCACCGAGGTCATGGGCGGGAGTAGCAAATAAGGATACCTTGGACGAGAGTCCATTGGAGCTAAGCTGAGCGGCAAGCGTCTTTAGTGATGGAGTAGACAAATCAGTCCCGACGAAAGATTGGACGCGAGGTGTTATCTGGAGAGCAATCATCCCAGAACCTACACCGACTTCCAGGACCCTATCATCGTGAGCGGGCGCAATCTGGTTAATCGTATCATCTAGCCACTGCACCATATCGTAGGAAGGGATAGGTTGGGCGTCGAACATGCTATACCACTGAACAACTCTTTGGCCTCCATTTTCTGCGTGGAGCGAATGATACGTGGAATCTTCATTATTGAAATGATCGTCCCAGAGATCAAGAATCCGTCCGTCTGCACCCTCGTCGTTCTTAGACTTGAGAACGGCGTACGCCACAACGTGGTCACTGTTATGGACCTTGACGAGAGCAGCGGCAGCGGACATCACGTTCGGATGCTGCTTCAATACCTGTTCTATTTCTCCAAGCTCGAGACGTTGCCCTCGTATTTTCACCTGCCCATCCTCCTTACGATGAAGGAATACAAGTTTGTCTTCGGCTGTCCATCTCACAATGTCGCCTGTCCGATACGCACGATTTGGGCCAAATGGATGCGATGTTTCGAGATGAATAAACTTCTGCGTAGTGAGCTCAGGCCTGTTCAGATAACCCCGTGCAAGGCCGGAACCTGTGAGCAGGAGCTCACCACACACGCCTCGAGGCACTGGCTGGAGCGCTTCATCGACAACGTATGCTCCGATATTGGCCATTGGCCTACCAATTGCGATGTGGGTTCGACGATAGTCGGCGGGAACCTGGAATGTTGTAGCGTATATGGTGGACTCGCTGGGTCCATAGCAGTTGTATACTGCAAGATCTGGCCGTGCAAGAAGAACCGGTTGTATGAATTCCAAGTACGCTGCCTCTCCCACCAGGTCGACTGATCGTAACAAGGGAAGACTTTTTTGCAATGTATCAGCATCGACGAGAAGCTTGAATACTGCTGTGGATACGGCAAAGGATGTGATTTTCTCCCTTGTGAGGAATGAGGCCATATCATGGATATCAACAGGGGAGGCTGGAGTGTGGACATAACAGACAAGGGTTGCTCCATGAGTGAGTGGGTACCATATTTCCCCACTGGAGACATCGAATGCAATGTTAAGCATAACAGCAGTGCGGTCCCTTCTTGTGATGGGCTTGTACTCCGTACTGACGAAGTTGAGAAGACAGCTATGCTGAATCATAACAGCCTTTGGAAGTCCAGTAGAGCCCGATGTGAAGATCACATGAGAAAGTCGATTGGAAGTCAACATCGGCAGAGTTGGTCCGTTCGAAGTAGGGCCCGCCTGCATGAGGTCTCGCATCTCGTTTTTTGCAAGATCAGTATAATTTACCACATCTGCGCATGGAAAATCATGTGTGTATCCATTCATGAGCACCATGGGACAAAGAGTATCTGTGAGCATGTAGCGAATTCGCTCCTTAGGAAGTGTCATTTCAATGGGCTACAAAAGTCATCAAGGCCCAGGTCATTCACGAAGCAAATGGACGACAACACACCATATACACACAACCAGCTTTGAGACATGCTAAAAAGCTCACTACAAGAAGAGTGCTCCGAGTCTGCCATACACCGATAACGGTTTCTTGTTCTCCGCCATAGCCTTTGCCAATCAACCATTGTGCAAGAGCATCCGACCAGCGATCAAGTTCCCTGAACGTCAATGGCAGACTTCCGTCGCTGTTAACAATGGCTAGATCTGTACTCTGTTGTCTAGCGATCTGTTTGAAAAGCTCGCCAATTGAAGCAGTTTCAGGGAGCTTCTTGTGGGTATGGTTCCACCTATTGATTTCGTGTAAGTCGCTGGGAGTGCATAAAGGTAGTTGATTGATATGCATTGATGTATGCAATGTGAATGCCTTGAGAACCCGAGCAAAGACACCGATAAACATTTCGACTGATTTGTGGTCGAACAGCTCCTGAGAGTAGTGGACGCGAGTCTCGATTCCCTGTGCGTCAAACCTGATTTGCCATTCACACCCTAATGGCATCAAAGGCTCATCAGTGAATGAATTTATGATGGAAAGCAGAACCTGATATGGCAATGGTGAGTAAGTGTTTTGTATTTCCGGAGGCTGAACTCTCTGGGATAAAATCTTTCGGACTTGATTGTGCAAATCCATACTGTGGATTGAAGGTTTGTCAAGGTGGGGCAGATGTGGAATCGGGACAACTTACGCAGGAATTTTTGGGTTAAGAGCAAAATTGATAATTTGAGGCTGGCTACCTTCACTACTCCTATACCCCAATGTACCACCTTCCTGCCCTGTGGTACGGAAGATTGTGACGTACAATGCAGAAACAAGAACGACTGAGAGCGGTATGTTCCGATACTCCTCGGATAGAGCCGCGATGATCTTGTTGTTGGCTACCGTGCCATTTACCACCCCATAGTGATGATGAGGATAACTTACTACTCGAGACAAAAAATCTGCTGGAAAAAGCACAGGAGTTGTATTGTCGAAATCTAGATTCTCGGTTTTCATGATAGGAGGCTGATACTCCACTGAAACACGTTTATTTGACGCTTCATCTTGTTGAAGGGCTTTAGTTCTTCGCAAATGCCAACCACCGCCAAAATAAAACTCTGCAAAGACACTTGGCAATGCGAGGATACACAACCCGCCTAGGGCGGTAAAGGTCCACCCAGGACCAATAGAATTGATCAGGGGTTGGATGGATGAAGACCCCACGGCACCCATAAGGCCCTTGGTCATAATGAATGTTGCAGTGGCAGTCGAAGATTGATCCTCGAAAAGATCAACCAGAAGAGTGGCTGTGAATGATGTTGGTAAGTACTCTCATTTCCTAGCTTATCATTCGGGTCGATAGGACGCAACTCACCTAATGCAGTCAAGATGCTTTGTACTGACCACCCAATCAAGAAGGCCAGCACTACGGGCACAGCTATATGTACGTGTACTTGGATGACCCACCCAAAAGCAACAATACTTCCAATGAACATTGGAATAGGAAGCCGCAAGGAGTACAGTCTCGCTCGCCCAATTAATACCACATTATTTGTTTCCTCGGCTGCTTCGCGGCGCAGCTGTTTCCTGTATTCGTGGTCGAGAATCTTCCCCATGAGCAAGCTTCCGACAAGTTCACCGATGCCGTTGGAAATATAGGTGAGCCCTATTGCAAACTCATTGAGGTGATATTGACTGGAATATTGTGCGGATGTCGCAACCATGCTCATTTGCCAGACCATATAACAAACACCCGTCAACGCAAGGCAACACAATACATCGGGCTGTTTGAGAAGACGTATTGGCCCGAATATGTCCAATCGGCGAGCAGGTGAAAGGCTGCTCGGATCTCCCGCTGTCGTAGCTTCAGTAGGCAGAAGCACGGGAAGTAGTGGTCTTCGATACCACTTCGGGAGGATACTACCATTCCCTACAATGGAATGGAGTGTCTCTGGAAGAACAACAACAACAAGAGTAAGTAGGGCTGCAGATACCGCTAGAAGGAAGATGAAAATTCCATGATAGCCGGTGAACTGAGCAAAGGCACCACCGAGAACGGGACCGACAGCATCCCCCAATCCTATTCCTGCATTATACAAACCCATGTATCCTCCACGTTGGCTAGCTGGAACTAAATCACCAATGACTCCCGCACCAAGTGCAGTATTAGGTGCGGCACCTGCTGCCAACAAACCACAAAGGACCAGAACAACTGGGTATGCATCGGTGATGCTCAACCCAATGCAGGCGCCAATGTAGATGGTAAGTGTCGCACTGTATAGCATTCGACGACCAAGGCTATCTCCAATAGAGCCGCTGAAGATGGGCGATAGTCCTTGAAGGAGCAAGTAAGTGGTGATCGTGAAATTAACGGCGGAAATGGATACGCCAAGAGTCACGGCCATTTTGGGTAAAGCAGGGGTGTACAAAGCTGAACTGAGCGAGCTAAGAATGCTCGCAGAGCTAACTACAAGGATGATTGTGATGCGCTGCCGTAGTGAAAAGAGACTGTACTGTACAAGAGAGTCAGATGAAAAGGGCTTATCGTCTACCTCGATGATAGGGGAAGCATCGATGTAAGATTTTTCGGAAATGGAGGTCATAACTTTGAGATTGGAGGTATTTCAAGTTCTGGATATGCGAGAACGTGAAATTGGTGGAAGGAGGATTGCAGGAGCATAAGTAGCCTTTTCCAAGGAGTTTTAAATCAATAGTTGTGGAATAAACAAGAACCCGGCGAAGTCGGGACTGACTCGGAAACGCAAAGTCATTGCAATTCACTGTAGATGGATCAAGTCCAGTTATTCTTCAAGTAATTGTAACGATGGCAGATGATCTTGGAAGCGATATTCATCTTTCTCCCGGAGGGAGGGAGAACAGGAACATCGAGAAGCTTATTACCGTATTGTCGCAAGTTTGCACACTGATGAATTGATTCACAAATGCACGTATACAAACAAGAGGGCATTCAGTGCTCCGTTCGTCCAGGGGATTCAAATCAGAGAGACAGGAACTTACTGTCACTCATAATTGGATGTTAATTCCAGGACTGGTGGAGTACGGAATTTCCAAAAGGCGCATACAAATAGCCAGCGACTCCTGACCATAAATGCCCGTCTAGTGGTTAATTGAAGACTCAGGCAAATTGTGAATGCCGGAGCAGCCGATTGGCAGGCTACCAAACACCCAATGGAGCATCCTCAGCCAGACACAACATTGACTACCTATTGAAGGAGGTCGCAGAAGAATGAACATCTTAGAGAACCTTCTAAATAGACCCCGGAGTCGGAACTCTTGTTCCGGACGTTATACACTTCAAGTGGTATGACCTGGTATGTGTGACCGTCGCCAGCTCTTTCTTTAGTCCCTCACTTTATCGTTGCCCCCCAACATCTATATTCCGTACTTGCAACAGACCGTATAACCCCTATTATGTAAAATTCAATTTGAGCAGATCGCTTTGTCTTGCTAATCGTTGATGAGAATCTAGGCGTAAGACATTCTGTACTCGAGTTTAATCACCGATACCTTTGAATGAACAAATTGTGATGTTTTTTACACCAATAATTATTCATTGGAAGATCCATGAGAGGTTTGTTTAGAGTCAGTTCATCATATAGTAGGCTTCATAATGATGTGATAGGTGTGACAGTTGCACTATGATTTTGCAGACGTCAACTTTCAAGTTTCCGCTTCAAGAAACATTGAAGAGACACATTATTAGAGGGCAAACATCTCCAGTACATTTTCATTGACCGCTTATACAGTATTACTGACATCCTCTTTACTACCATTTTATTACGTGGTGCGTTGAGTGATCAGGGCAAAAGGTGGAAACATCATCATCGAGGACCATGATTAAGTACATATTACCTGTAGGTTGGTTCCCAATTTTAGCGCTTTGACCTTCAGGTAATGAATGTGTTGAATGTCAGATGATAATAACAGAAAGGAGAAAATCAGAATCCCACCCACGGCCTCGAAGTTTGTAAAGCGTCTGTAAAATTCCGCCGCTACAAACACAAGACGGAAAAAAGGCAGTCATCTAGTATCGGGGCCGCGCATAACTCCAGAAAACATTTGACATCTGCATGACTCCACTGTCCCGGAATCGATAGAAACAGCTCACGAATCCGCTGCGGCTTTTGAGGGAAATGATGATTCTCTAATTCTCTAAGAGTACGATGATCATGACTTGCACACAGGAGGAATGCCAACTATTTGTCATGACGGCGTTGAGATTGCGTAGTGTTTGCGCAGTAAGACTCATCAGCAGAGGTTTCAACAGAATCAAAGAAGAAATGATAAACCTATACTCCGTGTGATATTTTTTAGGCAATACTTTTCCAGTGTACAGAATAAATCCAGTTCAATATAGGAGTCGATTTTGATGTGAACGGTTCTATACATGTACCGGAGGACGTGGATGAGCTTATTGCAGCTTTATCATTACGCCTGGATCCAGTTTTGGTCCTTGGACTCGAAGTAAGCCAACAGTGCTTAGCTTGTAGACATGATTCCACACGTCTCTACATGCAATCTGTCAGTTCGGAGGCCGTCCTATCAGCGTGTCATTCTCACTGATGTGCGTCAAGTTCTCCGTTCTCCGTTCACGCAGTAGAGGGTCGTCTCGCTTTTGGACAACTCACGCTCGACGGAGACAACGTTCAAAGTAGTATCAGTCAGCAATATCTTTAAGCGAGACTTCTTTACTTACTTCACACTTGAAGACCCCGTTAGTCTAGACAAGGAATCTCTCTCAGAAATCAATTGTACAAGGACGAGTCAAACCTCCAGTATCTAGAACATACTAGGCCTGTCAAGGGTTGCATAAGAGAACTTGAAGGCTGATGATTTTTCGGTAGCCTACCGACTCCGATGTCATTGAACTTCGAAGAAGTTGCAAAGTTCCGAAAAACACCTCTATAAAAGTAAATCCGCAAAACCGCTTAATAGAAGAACGGCGCAAAACTACCAGACGGAAAGTTAGAAGAAAAAGAAAGTAGATAGAGAATAAACGCCTTCGAATTTCCCATGTATATTTGGCGCCCTAAAGTAGTATATGGACACCCGGATCCGGTACAAGTTCACGGGAAATTTTGGAAACCCAGAAACTCGATATGACTAGCAGTTTACGCAGATTTACAGCGAGACGACTAGTGCTGGCATAGTACGCGATAGATCTCACTCGTGAAGCGAATCTCAGAGCTATCCTATTTATGAGTAACCTCATTAAATACGGAGATGATGACTTTGAGTGACATAGATGTAGGGTGTGTAATATGTATCCTAAATACGACGGACCGTGGAACTTGACGAGATGGCGCCATTGTCTGCGGTTCATGGTGAATGAGATTCAAGGTCAAGCTTGTCCCAATCTTTATTGTATGTAGGCGTTGAACTTCACTGGCACCACCGTCTTATAATTACTTTAGGATCCAACGTCTCGATGGCTCCTATCAACATTTGAAAATCTAGAACCTCATACTAGGCTCGTGGAAACTGCTGCTCTAAAACTTCGGAAACAGCTTTTTTGCAGAGCGATGCAGAGGGTGTGAGTTCTTGAATACTACTAGTGCATCAACCAATATTAATATTTCATGAGATTTTCCTGAAACATTGTGTCACATAGCTAGTATTTATTCTTCTTCAGGAAAGGTTGATGACAAGGCTCAAGAACCATGTTGGTGGGTTAAATATCATTTTCCTTACTATCAGTATATATATCGAAATTCGACTGAGAGAAGACCTCGAGTTCCTTTTCTTCAACTCTTTGTTCGTCTCTTGAGTATTTCAGCATGTCCGACACACATCTGCAAAACATGGATATTCGGCTAAGGGCTGAGAGCAGATCCCAGCAGATCCCAGCAGTGAAAGCACTCAGAGCAGGCTAAAACCGAATGTGCGAAGACTGCTGTTTGTGAGCCTGTGAAGCTCAACTGGACGGAAGGATGTTGCCGATAAACAGATCCTGTTGTTGATTAGTTTTCGAACACTTTGCGAACATGTAGATTTTCGTACCCGGTGAGCAATAAGGTTATCGTGAAAAAACACCACACCTTGAGATTTGGATCAAATAGATGTAGAGTTCACAGCAAAATAAACACACCTCTAGGATCTGGTAAATTGCATCTAACATCTGGTTTAGATTTGCGAACCACGGATGTAGAAGAGACATTCCAATCAAAGGAAATACACCAAAGGTGAGCTTCTCATGCTCGATGATCCTCAACAGTGGAAGGACATGATTCCTATCAATCCCACCTTTAGTACCCATTGCGACGTCACGTAAAATCGCAAGTTCGACAGGGTCCTTGATTAGAACAAGCAAGACATCTTGGTTATCAGGTGTACGAGCAGGCCAGTGTTTCTCAACCTAAAGACAATATAAATAATCCATGGACTGCCCAGACAAACCCTTGCAGATGAGGCCAACTCACGGCCGCACTGAAGTAAGGCTTGCAGGCAGCACCTGAAGGATCATCGTAGCTGAAGCCATCTGGTGCGCGGGGATTCGTATTTGGTGGAACAAAAGCCCTCGCCAGCCCGGTGTTGTTCCACAGTTCATACCCTTTTGATTGGAAGATATCCTTAAATGACAAAAAGTTGCTTCCTGTCCAGTAGTAGTCTGACAATACACATACTAGACTTTGATAAGAAAGAGGAACAAGTCTTACCTGCTTCCAAAGTATTAAAACAATCCTTCATAGTCGGCAAACCCTCTTCGTCCGCCCATTTTTTTCTCCAACGTGAAATTGAGCTGAGAGCATACCTCTTAACTTTATATTGTGTAGCCGGACTTCTCAAGCCCTGCGGTAAACGCACGCGAAGCAATCTCCCTATTTGCGGTGCCACCACAATTTTTGGATAGGGCATCGACAAGAGAAAGAGCGTTGAGTTTGTTGTGCGAGATCCACTTTAGGATAGATAGCACGACGGAACGAGCACTGAAAAAGGATCTTTCTTAGAACAGAGCGGTAGTACAAAATGGATGTGGAAATGGAGACTACTTACGGGTCGGACCCTTCATCCTTGACTTTATTACACAGATCGAGGGTCAACTGGTCATTTTCTGGGGTGAGTTCTCGGTTTATGACCTTAGCTGTCATTACAATGTGGTAGTCAATGAAATTACCAGAGTCGTAGGACAGACATAGTTGCAGGAAGGGGGACATACCAACGAGCTCATTGTATACATTATTTTCGCCTCCACCAGACAGTTGTTCGACACATTGAGACATACGAGTATAAGCGTTGAAGATGGGCGCTGCATTACGATGAAGTAGATCGAGCAAAAAAAGAAGAGAGAATGAATCTTAAACTTTGATACGGCGAAGTAGCCTCAGTATAACAACCAATGTCATTGAAAAAGTCATGACATTCTTTCTAGTCCCTGTCACCCGCCCCGAGCCGTTCATTCGCCCTCTTCCTACCATTCAAACACTTCAAAACAATCTCTGCGCAACCGAAATATCCATCTTCAAGATGGCGTCCAGCACACGGCTGCTGGCCGCGAGTCGGACGATGATAGATAGATACTGGAAAGGACTGGAGAGTTCGAAAGAGTGTGGTCTTCGAGGTACCTCAAGCTTAGATCCAGTCTTGGGGACAGGGGATCATGAACTCCTGTGCATGAGAGATAGTGGCAACACATGCTCATCATCGAACTGCAAAGGCATCTGGCGACAAATTGAAAGTGCGGGAGAGGCGAATGGTGTGTTGAATGTTAGTGGATGAGGGCGGTAAAATGTAATGATGTCGTCTTCAGCGAAGAGAGGGAGGAAGAGACGAAAAGTAGCCAGTGCTGATTTGAGACAACACAATGAGAACATGGCGGAGCAGGGGGCTACAGAACGAGGACAATAAAAAAAAATTATAGCGATCCTGCTGCCGATTATGTTGGTCCCCCAGCCGCTCCTAGCAAATAACTCGAACGAGTTCTCAACCTTACACTCGAGTCTGCAGAGCAAGTGAAGGTTAATGTCAATCTAACCCAGTGTCTCTCATGCCAAGCTCAAGTTCAGTACAGGTTCCCGACTCGATTTGGAAGCACCATGTCCCGAGTCAAACCGAAGATCACCATAATGTGGCGAAGAAGGATTCAAAGTCTCCAGAACTCCGTAAACACTCCTCGTAGTAGAATTTCATGGAGGCGGAGACTGTACACAGTCGTCTCGTCAAAGTAACAAATTGTCAAGAAAACAAGATTGTCCTTTGTGGTTTTCGAGGTCGGTACAGTCGAAAGAGATGTAGGAGATGATACAGACAGAAATGAAGAGCTGAGAGCGAAGTTCAAATGATAAGGACTGATATGTAATGGTGGCTCCCAAGAGACATGGAGGGGTGTTGTGGTTGATGATTTGGCAGTCATCGATGCTGCTGCGTCTGCGGAGAACGACACGCGAGAACGAGGGAAGCGATGCAAGTTCGGTGCGGAGGAAGCCTCCCCAGTCCCCGCATGAGTCAGTTATCCCCATCGTATTGGCACCGTCCAAGGTTTCCTGACGCAGAGAGTGTGGCTACAGGGTTGCGCTTGGAAGCGCCGAACATTACAATGCCTGCAACAGAGAAGGCTATATGGGTCGTGAAATCCAGCGCTTAGTAGACCCGTGGAACCTCCTTCATCTCGTTCTCGTTCTCCTTATCCTCCACCATACGAAGCTATAGAACGATTCAGGCTTCAGGCCCAGGGTAATCGTTATTTGTGATGATGTTCAAGGCCACGAACTTGGGTATAAAAGCTATGTACAGCCAATCAATACCGATGAGTACATAATGCATGAGGCATTACGCACCAGAATAAATCTACTGAGCATCAAACGGATCCCCAAGTTCGATACGCGCTCTTGCAAGCGTTTTCTGCATAGCGAGATACTACTGATTCCTGACCTCAGTTGTGTAAACGTCGCATTGAGGGCACCGCGGACAGCCGAACACCTAGGAGAGAGCGAGATACAGAGGGCATAAGAGACGAAATGAACGAGAGCAAAGATGCACTTTGCTCATTATGTAAACTTCTGTAGAGAGCAGACACAGTGCTGATAGGTGCTGATCACTCGACTCCTGTCGTGGTCGGTGACATAGATTGACTCCTGGGCTCTCCTCAGCCTGCACTCATGATATCGCGATTGATTATGTATCATCTGGATATCTAATAAGGCAAATATATGCTCGTTGACAGCATGTTTATTCTACGCTATATAGATCGTCTGGTTTTCGTGTACGAAGATGTGATACTGCTATGATGAGAAGTATACTACCTATTGAAGGGCTAAAAGTCCAATACTATGAAATGCAATCTACGAGGTTCAGTTGACGAGAAGTGATCAGGCGAGAACAGATCCGATAACCACAAAGCTGACAACTGCAGCGAGGAAAGTCGTGTAATGCGCGCTAGCAGATAGAGCAGCAGCGCCGTTTTTGCTTCCATTACTAGAGGAGGAGGAAGACGTCGAACTACCACTGGCCCCGGTCGCAGTGGCCGATATGACACCAGTCTCGGACACTAATTTGGTTGCTTCAGAGGTGGCAGAGTTGTACCTATTTAATATCACGAATGAGTAAATGACTACTGGAAAGCAGAAACGTAACGTACGCGGAGCTGGCAGCGGACATATCGCTGTCGGTGTTCAGGAAAACATTGTCGATAACGTGCACGACACCGTTCATGCAGAGCATGTCCGTGCTAATAATTCTCGCAGTGGTAGAACCTGAGGTGACGTACGTTCCGGATGAGTTGGTCGAAAACGTGAGCGGTTCACCAGCTGCGGAGGTCATGCTGGACCCATTGACAATTTCGCTGGAGTACAAGGTCGAACCGTTGATGATCTATGAATCGGTGATCAGGTAAGGCAAGGCGAGGACAAAAAGGAAACATACATGGTTCTGTAGGACAGTGGTAAAAGCAGTAAGGTTACCCTCGAGAACCGGCAAGGTACTCGAAACAGCAGAGAAAGCAGAGTTACTAGGAGCGAAAAGGGTGATCCCTCTCTGAGCGTCCAGAATGTTGCCAATAGTATCATTGGTGCCGTTCGCTGAAGGAATCATCGTGCTGTTCAGCAACCCGGCAATTGAGGTCGTGTTTGTGGAGTTGGTAAGTACCGAGGACATTGAAGGAGGAATTGAAAGGATGCCGTTGAGCACATATACGGCGAGCCCCGTACCGTTGATACGAGTGGAATTAACAACAGAGACATTGGTCCTGAAATTGGAATTGTTGAGGAATCGCCACAAACGTAGAAAAAACTTCAAGTACTCACGCCTGATTGAGGAAAGTGATTGCACCATTTTCAATGGTCCACGCCACAACCTGCGACGCGTTTCCTTCTAGAGTGACATAGGTCGAATCATTCAACATAGATCGACCTATGGTATGGTTGGGCGATGTGGCACTCGTGAGGTTCAAAGAGCTCGAGTTGGAAGGAGAAAAGCTGCCTCGAAGGATATGATAAGCGAGGGTGTCGAGCAGAAGGGTGCTGTCCGATGTCAGCGCAGACGCGTCTGAGACTGTGGATATGTTGGTCAGTCAGCATTGTGCTACACGCAGTAGGATCTTTGAAACGTACACGCGTCGTTGTTGGGGGCAAGAATGCTATAATTTCCACCAGAAAGGACCATTGAAAGAAGAGCTTGCCCCTCAGAAGAGTCATTCAAAGCGGTGGCTGCTGAAGCGAACGAGGTGAGTCCAAGTGAATCAAAAGCTTCACTGATGGTATTAACAGCGAATGAAACTGAAGAAATAGCAGCTACAACAGCGAGTGATTTGAGGAAACCCATGATGGCGGTTGAGAAGGAAGACCATTGACGAGAGTTAGCTAGCTTTTATATCTGAGAAGAAGTCCACACGTGCAGAAGTTGTCTCAGTGGTCATTCTCGTCGACTCTGACGTCGATGAAGACTAAACTGACAGTGAACGATCGCGTTCAGAATCGAATCCATAAGACACGTGACATTCCGGATACGGATGTCGTCGAAGTTCCTCTTAGCTTGTTAAATCGTTGAGTCTTGTTGAGTACTATGTACTCTGGTACTACTTACACCTTAGTTTTCTTCTTGACGCGTCTCATCTCAGGTTAAACTCACTTTCCTTATTCGCCATATACAATACATCAATAGGATCGATACCGCCTTCGTGGTATGTTTGATTTTGAACCAGTCAAATTTTGAATGGCAGGATTTGCTAGACATATACGGGGAAAATAGTCGGTACTGCTAGTCAAAAATCGAGGAATATCTACCTCTTTTAGCGTCTACGGGCCTTATCTTGCTGCATTTCCACTGTCAGATCCCCGTCATATATTTCAACTCTCACATCCTTACCTAGGCCCCCAGAATCTCCTGCAGAACCCCGCCCGGCCTGACGCCCTAATTGACGCTACGATTTTGCCATGATTGACGCTATTTCGGACCAGGATCGTCACGTGAAATCGAGAATTTTTTCTAAAATTTCCTTTAAAATTCAAATGTTGATGTTCTTTTTCCAGTGCTCAAAAAAATTTTGGTTCGGTGCTGGTGCGCCGACTCCTGCCGACTCAAATGACGCTATAAACGGACAAGGACTACGGATTTTGACTGAAAATGACGCTATTTTAGGACCAGGAAATCGCCAAAATCGGGTCCAAAATGACGCTATTTCGGGTGAGGTTCTGCAGGAGATTCTGGGGGCCTCCTTACCTTAAAAGCTTACTAGTTGCTTCTTATTCGGGCTTCTCTCTTTCGTATCCGCTGCCGCCTTACCCCTTGCTGCAACGGAATCTTTTGTCGATAAGAAACTTTCTTGCAGAATTTGTTCTTCGTTACTTACTCAAGAGTCTAGCTTGCCGCCGACAATGGGACAGCGAGGAGTACCGCCAGTATAAAAGTCGTTCCGTCTGAACAGGCCTTAACTAATTTCAGGCGCCGCACTGCTTCTCCCAGTTCACGGACTCCTACTATTCATACTCGAGGTCCTATTTCCTCCAATCCAGCCACAGATACGGCTGTACTTGTTCTTAGAAGAGTACGGTAAAATTCAAAAGAAAAGACGACAAGAAAGATCAGGAAGTGGTTTAACCTTGCTGTAGCTCATTAGGCCTTACCGATGGGCCAACATACGCATGAAGAATTAGGCAAATCTTCCTACAGTGAATAGCAAGAACTACATGCACATTCCCAGTTCAGGAGCCTCGTCCAGACAGAGTGAAGAGCTGGTGTGTCAAGGAACAGTTGTAGCCGTTGTGACGAAGGGAAAACTCAGGATCAGAGAGGTGATTCACGGAAAACCTGGCGTGACTGTGGATATGAACGCGGATGAAACGATTGTCATAGTGGTCAGGTCTAGTAAAGTGGTCCCAGATGTTACTAGTGACTAGTCGACTAAGCCTTGAACATAGAATGAGCTTGCTTATTCTTATCTTATATCGAAGTCAGCCTCTTCCACAAATATCTACTAAATTCGAGTCTGCATCCCAGTCAGAAACGAGTCGAAGGAGTGGTACTAATGTGGTCGATTCCGAATCGAAAAAGTTCAAGCAAAGTAGAGCAGTTGATGCGCTGGTATTCATATTTTGAGTATCTTATCGCCATATGTATATGTCCTTCGTGAGGGTGTCTGATGGAGAGGTAAAGAGGAAGAGGCGATAGTCTATTTCAAACTTTTGAGTGCGCTTAAACAATGATTAGATTAGCTGTTTATCGATTAGCGCTCACTATAATGACTCTTCCTCCCGAACTTCATCTTCTCATTATAGACTTTCTATGCGATTCAGCTCTTGACTTAAAGAGCTGCTCGTATGTCAGTCACTTATGGCGTCAACGCGCGATTTTACATTTATTCCATTACGTGGTAGTATCAACTCTCTCACACACTACCATCCGCCTTCGCATACGCAGTGACACTAGGACATGGGTTTCTTTAGCAAACTGGGATCTTTTGAAGGAGTCCACGCATTTGACGGATGTCATTCAGCATTTATCCTTCATATTTGACGCTGCTGATATCGAAAGCCCAGAGGATATGTTCCTCCAACCGATTCCTCATTCTCTTCCTCGACTTTCAGTCCTTGAAATTCGAAACTGTCATCCTCGGTCCACCATCCAGTATACTCGCTTCGTGCGGAGCTTTTTATCGCTACACCAAAGTCTCGCTCTCACATCTATCGGGAACTTGTTGAAGCACCACGACGTCTCTATCGAGGACACGTCGGTCACCGAGAATGGCTCTCACGTTCCAATCCACTCTTTAACGTATGGGGTTAACTCCCTAGAGATTGATCATGCGCTGTTCCTGGACCGAGCTGCTATCTTTAATCTGGATAAGCTTCAACGACTAAAGGTTCAAACCTTCAGTTCAGACTGCATCCCGATTCTCCAGAGGTTCGGTACAACGCTACTTCACCTGGAGTTGTTACTTTTTCCCGACGGAAGTGAGTCATTCAAATCTGCTCACTCGCATAGCACTCCCACTGACTAAGCTCAAGTTCATGTCCCATACGGCGTTTATCCGTCCTCAGAGGACCTTTCTGTCGTTTCACTGGCTCCCAATATAACTAGTCTCACTCTTCATACTCAATATCATGTCAGCAGTCAGAGGACGCTTTTACGCCAACTAGCACGCATAGCGTTTACGAAACCATGTATGGAACTACGGAAAGTTACTCTCGTACTATCTGTGGACGACGTCTGGGCAATCGGGTCGTATTCCCTTGACAAAACGCTCACTTCCTTTGCTCAAGAACTGCCAACAATCACGACCATCGAAGTCGCACTCTCTTGGCGTGTGCAATCCTCTATGAACGATTTTTTGGTTCTAGTACAAGAAGTCAGGGATGCATTGCCAGAAACAGATAACATGAAAATCCTGGATGTGACCCAGTATGAGCACTATCCTTGAAGCTCAGAGACCATGAGTGTTTGGTAATCAGCGTGAGATATTCACTTCTTCGTTATCCTGCTTCCATTTTCTCCGCCTTCCGTTTTGCAATATCGTTGATCATCTTCGAAAAAAAAATTAGGGTCTACTCTTGGTCGTTGGGGCTCGGAGAATTATTTCAATGGATGACCGTAGTCATGAGCTGCGTACACAGACCCTGGTACCAGCCCAGAGCGAAGGCATATACTGCGGTAGACCGCCGATAACAAGACTTGCAAAGTACTTGTTGTAAATACTGTACATGAATAGAGAGCTCGCGTCTATTCACAATCGGGTGAGCTTTGTCACGTCGTTCTATCAGGGTTTTTCTTGTTTCTGTTTCCTCAAGTGGCAAGGACACGCCGAACTTGACGTGATCAACTTTGAGTACAAATGATTTTCAAGCCATTTTGGGGTTCTATTTGCTTTTTATTTGATGCTTCCAAGATCTCCTTGTTCTAGACTGGTTTAGCAACTTGTCACCAGGTCCCCACCTGTCCGTGCCAATGGCGGAAAACCCCGTGGGGGTCTACTTGGCCTGCCTGAAACGTACGGTTTTTCCTAATCGTAGCTTCGAAGAAAAAATGGGTTACATGTTTTTCTTCGGAAAACAATCCAGTCTGAGCGGACCTGGACGGAGTCTGTCTATGTACGAAAATTTCGGACATTTCTGAAAGGAAATCTCAGATAGGGTTTGCAGCTGGGATGCATGTACTCCGCCGCTGATAGAATTGTCCAACTATCTCGGCGCTCTGTATTTGTGACTCCAGGGATTTAGTCCATTCAATGTCAATGTAGCGTACGCCGTATGAGCCCACGCCCTGTGCAGCATACATTTATTACGGCTGAAAATCGAATTTTAAACTATTTGGTGAGCACCTCATACAGCGACTCACGACATCACAGGGCCACAGCCTAGCACCCGAGTGCAGGATTCTTTAAGGAGGCCGTACAGGTGTGTGAAATCGGATACCCTTCCATGGCTTTCCCTCAGCAAATTTCTGATTATTTAGAACGCGATTGCGACCCTTCCTTACGACTCTTCGATCAGTCGGAAGTTGTACTAGGAAAGGACAGTCTCTCTCATCTCAAATACATCCCAGGTATAAACCTATTCCTTTGATGTGGCAGAGAATCTCATCAAGACCTCCCTCAGGCAAGGTATCTATACTCGTTCTAAAAACGTTCTAAAAATCACAGCGGTCCACTGCCTGAACCTTGAGTCCGATAACATTTCTAGGTCGAGATATGCTGATCTTGCCCTTGTTGCCGCTATGTAGAGCTTTCGATGTGCGTTATGATACGGAATTTTGACCAGAAGTTCCCTCTATTCGGAGCCGCAGAATCACCAGTCCAGGAATTTTCCGAGATTCTACTCTCAGAACATAACAATCCTTCTATTCGCCACTTTGTTCCAATTATATGTTTTACTAGTGCCTCTGACGTCTCCTACAAGCACGTTTGTAGCTTTGCGCAGTTTTCTAAAAGTAATCATTTCTGCGGGGAAAATTGGCACTGAAGCATTCATATTCTAGTAAATACAAATTATTAGGTACATCGTTGGGCCACGGTGCTCTCTTTTTAGGTATGGACCAGACCAACTAAGATTTAGAGCTTTCCTTGTATCATATCTCGAACACTTCCTGGGTCCAAAACAGCCTGAGGGTAGGGAAATTGGAACTGCCTCATATGCTCCATTGCACCATCAACAACAACTATCTGGCCCGTAATATACGATGCAGCTTCACTAAACAAAAATACGGTGGCGTTGGCAACATCTTTGATCTCACCGACGCGACCAAGAGGAAATAGGGAACCGATTCCATCTGCGAGATTGGATAAACGTTGCATGCCTTCGGTATTGCCTATAGGACCAGGTGCAATCACATTCGAGCGCACGCCATGCGGACCTTCTTCGACAGCGAGAACAGCAGAAAGGGCATCGACTGCAGCTTTGGCAGAGGAGACGTGAACTTGATATGGCGTTGCTGTTTTTTTGCGAAGGCGTTTCAGATATTATCTTTTGAACAAAGGACTTGACACTGACCTTTATAGTGTAGAGTGGCACTAACATGGATATAAGAACCCTTCGACTGACGAATATGTGCGATGGTGGCCTTGATCGTGTTATAAGTTCCGAGCTTTAAACAGGCGACGAAATAAGGAGGGGAATCGAGATATTTGAATGAAGAGGTGACGCACGGTATCGATCTCCATAACGGTCTTGAAAGCATTCTCCGAGAGACCAGATATTGGTGCCAAGAAGTTACCAGCGGCACCTGTACCATACACAGTGAAACAAGGAATACAAGCAAAGACTCTCGAACCATACCACAAATTACGAAGTCTATCTTTCCGAACTTTTCGATCGTCTTTTTGACTGCGTCTTTCAGCATATTAGGTTGTCTTACGTCCGCTTGTGCGGGAATACATGTTCTTCCAGTCGCTTCAGATAGCTCCTTCGCTGCTTGGGTAAGACGATCAAGTCTGAAGTGCTGTCAACAAAACAGAGTAAATTGTTGGTTCAGATGCTAACTTTCGTCCAACTATAACTGCATCGGCTCCATGGCGCATCTAAGGAGAGTACTCTAGCAGCAACAAAACAAGGACATTGGGGGTTGTATGCTTACCACAGCTTCTGTCATTCCTCTGCATATTCCCGAACCTCCTCCGGTACAAAACAAGACCTTTCCTTTGAAGATATCTTCCTTGAACACAGAAGTTGAGTCGCCAAGCGGTGCAATGTAAGAAGTAGGTGCCATGGGCTGTTGTTTGAAGTAGAATAAAGTGATAGGTTGCGCGACGCAATAAATGAAGCCAGGCTTTACCCTGGCTTCACTACCTGAGGTTCGAAGCTCCGACGAGGCGTCGCTCTCCGGCGATCGGTGATGACCACGTGCAATTTGAAGCGCGACTTCAATTTCGGACTCCTATGATTGGCGCCATATCGGATTGAACGGCTTCTGGATCTATTAACCACCCCAGTGCTCCGACATTTTTACCATGATTTATAGTATACTCGCCTCATCTGCTTTTTCGTTCTGACACGACCCCAACTGTCTTCACTCATACTCGGACTCACAGGAACGTCCTTCCAATGTACTTTGTAATACTTTGTGGTACTTGAAGCTCAGCGGGTGCTGGAAGGTTTTCCACCTCGTGCACGGGGTATAGAACGTACGTATCCCACTCCCAATCTATAGTGTTCCGTTTCATCTTTCCAGGTTTGGCATATTCTTTGAATAACGGTTTGTCCATATCTAGTGTTCTCAACATAACATCTATCACTCTAGATCTCATGGTCATGGCCCCGTATCCCCTCCCGTTTTCCATCTTCCATTTCCATGATGAACGGATTTATCCCGCTGGGAACTGGGATAAGGCACTTGCCGTCCAGAAGGTAGGCTAAGGTAGGCTGACGATGTTAGATCGCAGTAACCGCTTTTTGATTTGATGATTTTTCACAGGACGTTTCTCGGGCAAGCTTCGGAGCTCGGTCGTCGCCGATTTCGTTCCAGGCTCCAACTTTGAAAATAAGGACGGTTGACTGCAGATATCCTTATTGCTGTTGATCTCAACCTGGAATTAGACACGTACGTTCAAGAAATACCAGCTTATGGTATGTCTATCAATCAAGCCTCTTAGGGTACGTATTGCCTTACGCATTTCTTTCGCCACACCAAGTTGACGGGGCTTCAACCAATACGGAAAAACGTTTCCAACGGATTTTTGCGGCGTGTTCTGGACCCAATAATCGTATCCTCCTTTGGATATCTCCTTCAAGTTGTCAATGTGATCACGAATTCGACGGTGACGGTGTCGTTTCTGTCTGGGCGCACATCTTCTGTCGAGTTTCATCCGTCCTCACCCAGCCTCATGATCCATCTCCACATCGGTCTAATGGAATTTCAGCTTCCATCACTCATTCTGTATCACATTGATCATCATTTAGCTCCTTATCATCATGGTATGTATTTACTCTTTTTAGGTGTTGTAAGTAGTATCGGGTGTCCTAGTCCCACTTTAGACGGTCTTTCGAAGGGAGGTCCGTTTCAATCTAGCATTCTGGTTCGTCGAATGAGAAGTTACGGAGCCTGGTGGATTGTTTATAGCTAATGATGCTCTCAACTGGTACAGTATACCACAAGGATCTTCACCACAATGCCAATGCGGCTGGCGCTTCCACTATCGCACTGCACGCATCGAACATACAAAGATACCAGAATGTTCTGTTCAGCGTTGGTGGTACACGGTTGCAATTATATTTGTTCGTCGTTGTGTGATCAGAGTGGTGAGAGAAACACCGAAGTAAGATTTCTGGGCCATAGTCCATAGAAAATACTTGTTTGAAGTGCGTACTACAAGTATTGACGAAAATCAGTAAGAGAGTTGGGCTCCTTATCATGTTAACTCCCTATGTTGCAAACGAGGGGCAAACGAGGGATCGAGTCAAGATAAATGCGAGTATCAACAAGAAGCACGAAATCCACGGTCTTTGAGTTGTACGAGATAAAATCCGGGTGCAATAGTCTTCGTTTTCAGACGGCAAGGTTACTAGTTATCCAATGATTATCTACGGGTTTCTTGCATGAATATGGGGACCGTTGGTTTTGATCGTCTTTTCGTGAATGATTTGCATAAAAACCCACTTCCAACCATGACCTATACCCTGAGGTCGGTATATATCATTTTGACCCATCAAACTTCGATTGCATTTGAGGCAAATAGTGCACATTCATGTACGATGTGAAGGGGATTCAGAAGCCCTCAATGTTCATAAAGTGAGACCTGAGATTATAGCTGGTAGTAAACGGTGCCGCCGTCACTAATGAAGCTTTTGGCTTTCATGATGATTTCGGTGACTTCTTCAGCTGGATGCGCTATGCGGATGATCCTCATTTACGTTCAGTGATCAAGTTTGTCGAGCGCAAATAACTGATTCACCTTGGTATATCCAGCCCGAGATGCTGATACTACGCTGCCGTCTGCATCCGGAATTTTTGCCACAGAAGAATTGACTACCGCAGTTAACATTGCATATTTGACAATCATGATTATAATAGACACTCGGGCAGCGGGTAAACTATGCTACATATAGTATCGAAGAAAGTCCAAGTATATATGATGTTATGGATCATCGTGAGCTGCACCGTTGAATGGTTTCTACATAGGTCTTTCTTTCCCCACTGTAAATATACTCTACAGTGACCACTCACTAGGATCACCACGAACACTTGTAGGATGAGTGAAGATTGCTTTGATTTTATTGGTCTCAATGCTTCAGTATTATCCAGTAAAGATCATCCCGGGAAGTCAGGGGTCAGTGAGGTGGATTGAATTGAGGTATACAGTCCACGATAAAGTCAACTAGGATCCAGTAGTATGATATCGCCTACGAATAATTTATATACACGAAAAACCATGCGCTACATAGATAAGTTCAGTATTATTTTTTGGAACTCCGCGGTTCTGCTCGACTGAATTTATGCTCCTGACAATAGGAAGAAGAATTCGTATACATACTCCAATATAATATCATAGAACGAATTGACAAGAGAATACTAAATAGTAATCATTAATGAATGGTCAATTAGACGGGCGGAACGAACATTATACAGTCAGCAAAACGCGTTCCTTCAGACATTGATCTCGAGAACCGAAGGAACAATCCTCCATTGAATACTTCTATTCAGACTGTTGTTATTCAGGAGGGTACTGTATTATCAATAATATACATTCATTCATGCATTGAAGGTGCAAAGTTGTTGTTCCTCCAATCTCTTTCACTGACACAGGCCTTCATCATGATTCATACAATCTTGTTTGTGAGTTGAATGTATGCTCTCGAACCTCGACGGCACCCTTCCAAGTTCCCCATCCCTCAGCCCCTTTGTGTATTCAGTTCCGGTGTTCAACAATCGAAGAAGTAATTCAACTAATTGATTTCGGAAGAAAAATCCAATTCAATCCATTCAAGAATTGCCAATTTGTATCAATTCAGTTGACTTGCTACATCCACTGTACGTCCATATCTTCTGTATAAAGTAGAATGCAGTGAAATGGACAACAGCATACTTCTATACGTGAAGTTGATATAGGATGTGTATTCCTATCGTCCATGAGTGTATTACTACTATACATAGATGAATCGTGCTGAATGTTATACACAAAGCAATCATTGATCAATACGATTCACAGAACATATGCAGGAGATGCAAATATAAGTAAGTATATACTGCTGTAAGTGACATACTATAGTGATATACTTTCAAACGTGCATACAGTCCGCGAACGTTGAGTTGATAGACTTGAACGATGAATACAAATGCTAAATCATTAATCTCAGTAACGACCGCGAGTCCACGCAAAAGGTTTAAAACGGGCTATACGGTTCCCTGAAATCGACTTTAGACAAGAACGCCTTCTACCGTCAAGATCATTATTGATCCACAGTTCAAAGTCGCATCCCCTCTCGTCGCTACAATCTCGCCCGAAACTCTCATCAAAGGCCCTTGCACTGATTGATTTGTTTCAGGGATCCGGCTAGCACTGTATGCAGGGTTTGACGTATGGTTGGCTGGTGTTGGTCGGAGATTGTCACTGTCCTAGTCTTGCATAGCATAGCATAGGCTAGGATCCATTGTGTGGGCAGAGTCCATGTATGAACCACTAAATAGCAGAGTCTCGCGGAGGTAGCCCGTACGTCACTACACCTCTGCCTGCCTGTTTTCTAGCCGCCAATACCTTGGAAACAAAGCGAGCTAGCCTCATACGGGCGACTTCGTGTGGAATTTCAGCAAAGAACGAAAATATCGTGATGTACCCCTGCACTAGGACTCGCCTTGTCAAACTGAGCGGGAAAAATATAGCTGGGGAGATGGAAGGTAGATGGGGAAGGTATTCATACAGTGTATAGAGCCCGAATCAATGCCCGAAATAGAGTGCGAGAGCCTCCGAAGGCAAATGAGAAGCCGAGAAGTGCAGTTGGAGAAGAGAAGAAGAAGAAGCGGAGGGGGTCTTTTAGAAAGACCGAGAGAGTCGGGGAACAGCCAACGGTCGAATCACCTTGAAGACCATAATCCCGTTCTTTACGTTTTTCTCAGGTTCATTCCCCTGAAAAATCACGTCGCATCGTTCTCGTGGAGGACCAGGTGGATACTAAGATTACTGGAAACGAGCGCAAGAGGTCAGGCTGGCAATCCTATCTCCGGAGGTCATCAAACCGGAGGCTCAGACACAAGCAGACTCAAGCAATCAAGGAAAGAAAAATAAGACATTTTCTCACCTGTTGCATCCTCCCAGGAGTTGGAATTTTCCGTCTCGTTGTCAGAAGGCTATTAACATGTGAAAAGTCCCTAAAACGAAGTTGACGCTGTAATCTCAAATTTTGCTTTGGTTGCGCTTCCGAAACAGTATGTACATGGAAGAATTGAAAAGACCTTTGATTGGTTGAATAGATGAACTTGAAGACCCTCGTGTCCCCCACGTTCTTCACATATTCCACGTATCATTATCAAGTATCGTGGCGGTTTATTTAACTGATTGATGATCATTTGGGGTCGAATTTGTAGGTGTCCGTGGGGTACAAAGGTTTTAGAATTCTTCACCCGGAATGAATCATGAATCACCTTTTGCTTGGTGATCAAACACGAAAAAGCCACTGATCGTAAACTAGGAGAAGAGAATAGGCAAAAGCGGAGCAGGTGAACCAAGTACTGGGTGACAGGGACAGAGGTCCAGGTCTTCACAGGATGCTGATTCGAAACTAGATGTCGTATGATGGGGAAGGGAGGGAGGAAGGCAACAAGACTACGAACGCGGGGCCAAAAGAACACGGAGATCTCGATGTCATATCTTCCATCTGCAAACATTTACCGAACCAAGGCAGAAAGCTGACAAAAGCTGGCAAAAGTCAGGCAAAAAAAGCAAAAGCTTGGGAACGAGTTTGGATTTGGAAGGAAGGAGAAAGGTTTATCATTTACGTGAGTAGAGCCTCGTTTCCACAAGGCGGATTGATGCCGGCATGCCGTAATTGCCGTAAGCCCGTTTTGATGATTTTTTTTGTGATCAAAGAGTCGATTTTTGGAGAAATTCGGTCAAATGCGAGCTAACGTTCCCGAGCACATGTACAGAGTAACTCTCCGTAATTACCATATCCAGGGATCTTGCCTCTCCCTCTGTCAATCCTTCGTTTTGACAAAGTCAATGTTAGTTACAGTAGAACGTTCTACTGCTTGTGCTTTGATTGGGAGCAATATTCTAAAATTTCCAAGAGCCTGCGCGCGCCAACCGGTGTCATCGATTTGTTTGGTCACAAGTCAAGCTCCGTGCCTCCGTCAGGGCAGGGTCCCCAGATTCCACCGTAGATGTTAAGATTTTCGTGCCCAGATGAGTACTGTTTACCTGATTCGTCCGGTTTGGATATTTGGGCACAAATTCATGCAGAAAATAGTTGAAAAATAAAGTGGATGAGTAAGTACCGAATAAAGCGCGTGTCTAGTTTATAACTTTCCTGAAGCGTTGAGCGATCCAAAGCTTCAAGTAGAGCTTGTTATACTCCTGACCTTCCTTCCGCGTTTAACTTGAGTCACTGTCAAAAGAAAGCCGAGCCCGGAGAACGGAGAGGATTTGTGGGAAAGAAGGTTTGTATAGAAATTTCGACCCGCGTGCCGATCATACCGCAATTGGGATTTGTGTCATTTTTGTTTCGATCAAGATTTCATGGGGTTATACAAAACAACTCAAGTCAACAAGGTTCTTGATCATTTCATTTCTTTACTCTCTCTTTAAGTCTTTTCTATTCTGTTACAGTATACGAAGATGACCTCTCAATACTCTCCCATCGACGCGCCTGGCGCTGCGCGTAACTCGCAGTCCCCTTCCGATGATGGCTCCAACTATTACCAGGGAGATGCAGTAAAAGACGAAGGTACGTCGTCTAGTGGCTGCATACAAAATTTCATATGTTGATAGCTATTTTAGACGTTGAAACTAATCAAACTCTTACTTCGCAAACACTCAATGCCGATGGAACACCCAAAAGACCAATGAACGCGTTTATGATCTTTGCCAGACGTCGTCGACCGCAAGTTTCCTCAGAGAACCAGTCGATGCGCACGGGAGAGATCAGCAAAATTCTCAGCAAAGAATGGAACACAATGCCTGCAGTGAGTTCTCTCTAAGTTAGTTGCTTATACAGTTTAGTGAACAGGCTTTAGTCTGAAAAACAATTTTACCTCGATCGTGCCAAAGAACTCAAGGAAACATTTAACTCGAAATATCCAGACTATGTTTACCGCCGACGTCCGAACCACTCTCGAAAGCGCCGAAAGACCGACACTGGAGTTCACTCAGTAGACGGCCCAGGAACGCCCGACGCGATACATGACGACGGGCTGCCCAGAGCACCGTATGATGACCATCATGGCAGCGTACACCCTAGACCTTCTCTCCCATCGTATGGAAGCTCAGATCCTTATGGACGCGAATCTGCACGACATCCGTATCTAAATGCAGACAGGCCGAACCATCATCATCATTCCATGTCTCCACCGTTGAACCATAACGCTCCTCTTCCGTCGCCCCGACTCCCTGGTCAATCTAACACGATACCTGCTTTGCACTCGTACCTTTCTTCTCAAAATATCCCTTCAGCTGGTCAGTCTCATCATATGTATGGTCCCTCGTCTTCGCACCATTCAAGTCATGGAGGAAGTTCCTGGGACCATCCACGTTTGGATACCTCAGGAAAACTAGGTAATGATCGTCTCGATTCCTCCCATGGTAGATCTTCCTCGGCTGGGTCGAACTCTATGTGGCCTGGCACAGAACGATCGTCGTCTCGTGGGTATGCCGGTCAATCCGGCTCCCCTTCAGGCTCCGGACCCAACTCGTCGACAGGCGGCGGGGGCGCAGACAGCAACTTTAATTTCCCTACACTCAATTCACCATTCTTCCCTACGCCGTCTCAAATGTTTAATTCCAACTCTGGTTCTTCGGCGTCTTCAGCCGGTGGTAATTCCTCCTCTACAGGAGGCGGTAGTGGAGGTAGCGTATTCGGTGCTGGCTCAAATCAACTCCCACCTCCAGGAAGTTTGAATACGAGTAACAGTCGTAACGGATATGATCATCGTTCTTATGCACCGTCGCCTCCCCCCTTAGGTGGAGCATCTTTTGCCCAGTCTGCCTCCCGTCATGGACTTGGCTCGTCTAATGGGCTAAGCTCCGGTGGCCTGAATGGGATCGGTGGCATAGGTAGTTTGGGTGGTTTGGGCAGTGGAGGCAATTCCGGCTTGCAGAGAAGCCTGCCCCCCGTCCAGAGCATACCTGGTTACTCACAGGCGGGATTAAGCGGAAGTGGAGGTGGTGGAGGTGATATGGGTGACATCTGGTCAAGAGGCACTGTCAATGGTCCTTAGATGACATAAATTTCGATGAACGCACAATGATTTCCTTTCACCTCAACTGATCTATACCTCGTTCTGCCTCCGGTATTTGCTGTTTCCCTTGTCTTTTTGATTCTAATGTGTATAGCTATCTTTTGATCTTCAAAAAATCCGGTGTCGTGGGCGTAGCTGTTTGTTCAAATTCTCCCGATTTTCACCTCCTACCCTTCTGAATCCTCCTGTTGTCCATTTCTCCTTGGCCTATTTATCGTTGCTGCTTCCTATTCTTCTATCGCGATGTCCCCTACTTGCTGGATTATCTGGTCAGTTTAGGCACGCTACTCGGCACCAAGAATGTTCATATTATCCACTTATAATCATTCTACTACATATCTACTTTTACAGTTAACTCGTGATGTATAAAGTTTTTTGTTTTGTCTTATTTTCCTGTTTCCTCTTCGCTATCGTCTACGCTTTCTGGCCATGGTTCCCGTTTTCTCTCTGCTATCAATACTTTCTGCTCCTGCTCCTGATTTTTTCCTGATTTCCCCTGCTGTAACATACTCCTCCAAATATATATATAGACGAAAAATTTTACGGATATCTGTGGATAAGCTTTGGAGCTGAACCCTTTTTTAGGTGTCGATACAAGGTGATATGTTTGAGGAGATTCGATTCAGCACCGCGCATGACGGAAACCACGGATACCATGGCCTGAACAAGGACAACAGGTGTCAAATGTTCATTCCAGTTTAGCGCTCACTCAAGCTGCGCCTGCCTTTTCAACGGATATGTCTCCGACAGTTGGGGTATGATGGATGATAAATAAACTCAAAATGTAATTGGGGGGAGTTAGCACCGTCTGATTAAAGAGCTCTTTCATTCTTCCTTTCATGCTCAATCTTCGAAGCTGTACCTTTCCTGAGGACGTTCGAGTTCATCCAATGATGAATCGACGACATTTGTTTCGTTATGTTAATTATAACCGTTCGCAAAAGATCATGTCGAATGTCGGTGCCGGGAGGCTGTTTCGGTGGTGTTAAATTCACCACTGATAACACTACTTACTGGAAAACTCCGGTCATCTTCGGAGGAGGGTGCCCTAAGGTGCCCTAATGGACCCCGGTGCCAGCCGGTGCCACTGCGACTTCAGCGGGTCTTGCATACGTAAATATTGTTCCCGAGTCCCAAGTGTGGTGGGATGTACGAGGGAGATCGAGAGTTGGGGTTCCGGAACTTGCTGGGTAAAATGATAGATTTACTCTGTATGTATATATTTCAATGGGATCGACTCCCTTAAAGACTCTTCAAAGTTACATAGCTTGAATGAAGTCAAAATACACCAGTCAATGTTCTTTGCTCAATAGCTGACGAGAATTTAGGAACATGTTGTGTGCGGTCAATCAATAAGTTCATATGGCAAGTCTTGCCCCGTGAAAGTCAATACAGCATGTACAGCTTTTAGGCTTGATTTATTATTCCACATAACATGTGGTTCTTCTCCATCTCCAGCTCCCCATCGTTGATGAGGTTTCCATACATTATACTCAGGGCCAGATGTTAGAATGTTTGTCGAAACACTTACAGTGGATGACTAGATTTGAGTCCAACGTGTTATTACCGCGAAACCGGTTCACCTATCTCGAGGGGAGATATTTATGAGTGTGACACTTGCCGCGAGACAATAGTTGGCAATATCACCCCATTTCACCATGACTGATGATGCACATTAATTATAATCAATAGTAGAATCAGTCAGAAAGGCGAGCTATTCAGACAAGGTTTGGTCAGCCAATCAGTGCAGAAAGTACTGTACATATACCTATGGTAGTCATCAGGCGGAAGACATTTTTACGCAACAGGTGCAGCAATATAATGAGCTTCCATAAAATGCTATACCAGTAAGTATCAGGAAGTATGATGTTGTGTTCCAAGGAATCCTCAAACGGTCAGGAGTCGCCGGTGGCTACTCAGAGGAAGAAACCAAGACCTACCAGGATTGACCCCAAGCTCTGGATGTCGACATCCGTTGACGGGAAACTCAGAAAAAAGCTGGCATCCGGCTGGCATCCAAAAACACAACGTACGATCAAGATATCGAATAATGCTTAACGTTGTGTCCGGGCAGCGGTTAAAGCACTAGAAGAAACTAGAAGAGTATAATTTAATGGATGTGCGGAATCGAGAACAACTCAAAGGTCATGGATGCATTCCCGGTCAGCTGTGTGTTGTTGAGCTCGCTTTCTTTGAAAATACCGGCTGGGACTGGGCCAAACTTCCGCATAGAAAGGAAGGAGATCCATTACGGCTTATGTGATGTGACCCCAATAAAGAAAATCAAAATCGTTATGACCGAAAATGACTGTAAGTATGACTTTGTATGACTGGGCACAAATCCATTCGATGTGCATGCATGTTGAAATGATTTCGGATTGGTAGTATCTGGCGCTTTGCCCTCTGCAAGAGACAGTCGTTCATTAGAAACACAAGCTAAAAAAGGACCAAAACACACACTGACGGTCCTGAAGATTTTTTGTCGTAACTGGAATCAAGTGTGAGTCAAGACAACGTTCAAAACATAGCAGACCATTAACCTCTAGCGCAGAATCGCGCGCTAAGCGTTCAGGGACCAGAAATAACGAGAAGACAATAACACTTGTGCTTGTGACTTTTAAAGTAGTGATAGCTCAGTGGGTCCGAGAAGAGCAGAGTTCTGAAATTTGCTTAATACCATCTTAGGCTACCTATTTTCGGCACTTTGGCAGTCTGGCCAATCTATAATAGAGACATTTGCGGTCTAAGGCAGAAGGGCGGGAAGGGTGCATTTTAGAGCATGCACACCAAGGGAGGGCCTTTTGACATCGAGGCCCTTGAGATAAAATATCCTGAATCGACGGCGTTTAAATTTTATATTCCACCTACCACAGAGCCATCGAGGAGCGACGAGTAGATTTTTAATAGAGTGTACGAAGCACACCTCCAATTAAAGAGCACGAGTTTATTGAACAGCGAGGCAAACAGGCCAAGATTAGATAGAATAAAAAGCTAGAGGGGCCAGTCTAGTTGGTGCAAAATGTAGCTGAGACTTCAGATCGGTCAGAAAAACTAGAAGATATTATTAGCAATCTTACTCATCGGATTACAGAATTCTCCACGCATCGCCATGAATTTGTTCTCCGTTTACAAAAAGTTCGATGCGAGAATATCAACAATTATTGATGACGGAAAGATAGCAGCGATACACATTCATGAGCTATCCAATCGTAAAAAGGACTCCTTGATGAAGATGATTTAGATTTTGAGCAACCGATAAGACTAACAGCGACTCGAAGGATCATGGAACAACTCTAGGCGCATCATAAGAGAAAAACACTCCGACGTTCAGCCCCAGATATAGCATCCAAACCACTGCTATCATGCGAGGAGCAGGGTAATAGAGGAGAATTACAGCGAAAAGTGACAGCCAACTGCATTTTCCCAGCGAAGATTTCAACATGGAAGAAGTAAGAAAGAAAGAAAGAAATGCGAGAGCTTACCCGGCAAGAGCCACGTAGGAGCACAATCTTCGATACGAATTCAGGATAGGAAAAGTATATACCAAGTGTGAATTGGTGCAGATAATGGTTGCTGTACGTATGAAACAAGACAAGCAGGCCCGAAGACATTAATTACATTCCTGCTCAGGGTGGATGGATCATCACGAGGTTTAAGATAATACGGCGTATGAACCATTAGCAGGAAATGAGGTGCCCCTTGAGCGACAAACGAAGCATTGACTCCAGCATCTTTGAAATCCCGCAAGAAATTTTCCGTATAGGTTTGAGAATAAGCCACATCGTCGGTCCCATATGCCAATTTAACTGGGCATTGTAGGCTTTCAGTTGAGCTTTTCGATTGGCCAAGAACTCAAGCGTGGCAATGCAACAGTTACTAAAATATCCCTAAGGCCTTTTCACGCAATCAATGGACATATTGACCATCCTGAAAGACAAAAATGACTGTCGGATTAATGGTTGAGTGAACAACTTGCGCTTTCGCTAAATCCGGTATGCGGATACTGAAATGAACCGTGCATAACCATAGGCTGTCTCCATTATGCGCTCACGATGAATTTCATCTGCGCCACTGGGGAAAGAAGCACCAAGAATCATACACGGTGGCCTTCACGTACATCCGGAGGCTATAAATCGAATAGTAGGAACCAATGATAACAAGTAATGGGATTCACTTCTCCCAAACAGGTTTGCGACATGATGAAAAGTGATCGAACCCGATGACGATGAGAAACTGCTATCTGGAGAGCAGTAGGATTTCCATAGTCCATTGCAACAAAATGAGGAAGGAGGAGAACGTCCTGAGTAGAAATGTCAAAACTGGGACGCAGATACCATGTTTGATACACTATACCATAAATGCCACTACATCCTCTGCTGCTTGTTTGATTCTGTACACTGAGGTTTGTGGTAAGTCGTCTCATTCCGTGTCCCCGTGAGACCTCGATTCGAATACGATAAGATTAAATCTCTGAAGAAACGGATCAGAAAATTGAGCTATACCGAACCGACTCACGATGGATCAAAATTTGTACCCAAAATAGAGGAAGAACATACAATGTAATAGATAGATAGCGAATATGTGCGTAAATCCAAGCGAATTGAACCACAAGAGTGTCGGGAGCGTTTGTGTCCATCCTCGAATCATTCAATCCAGGAGAGCTGATGATCGAATGTAAATCGATTTTTCAAGAAACGGCCTTGACTTAGGAAGAAGGCATGTTTTGAGTAAGGGTGAAATATGACAATGCATAGCGGTAAAAAGTGGGATAGAGGGTGGTTGTTACAGTCCAAGATGGGACAGACAAAGGAACATCAGACAGATCAGAGAGCAAGTATCATTGTACCGCGAACCTGTTTCCTTGTTATACCACCAACGATGTCATGTACCCGTCTATTTATCCAGTGGGCTGATATACATCATATTGTAAGATTGAAATTGTCGTTCGTTCTATGTATCTGGTCGAGTCGGAGAGCGCCAATATAGGTTAAACGTTAGACGTCGGAACCCAAATAACAGTCACATACTGGTCACATACATCGCGAGACAAATGTACGTACACCCAAAATTGTCAAAGCTTCACTGGATGATGTGCTCCTTCGCATCTTCGGACGAAACTCCCTCCTCCCTCGAAATCTAAGCAAGCAGTTCCACCTCAGCTCGACTTCTCAAGATCTCAAGACTCATACTCGACTTAGGACCACAGACTTTTGCGGTCAAGGATCACTCGAGATGTTCTTCATTCGAGGAATCGATGCAGGGAGAAGTTTGCCACGGAGAGAGTTCTTTTCAGTGAGTTCTTTTGAACGGATAAGTGGTCGGGATTATATGATGACGCTTCTTGACGCTACAGAAAGACCGGATAATAGTTGATCGCCGTTGACCAATGACTGTGTTGACTACAGCTCATAGTTCCAAACATGCAACATACAACTTGCAAGCCAGTGGTGCGGCGAGTCATATCTTCGATGATGAAAATAATCTTATTGTCCCGCTCCAGGTTTTTCCGCAATGCTAACACACCACGGCATCTTCCAATCGAACTTTTCGTCGTGGGCGCTTCAATGCTTCAAGCCTTTTTTTTGGATTTGGACGTGGCATTTGGTTTCAGTGCGTGCGCTTGCATGATCACCATGTATATAGGCTTATAGATTTTTTCTTCGTTCCAGTACCACAATCGTCGTTTAGGTGGATAGCGGTGTTTTCTCGTTCTTTGACCATCATAGAGTCACTCTACGCTATCACAATTCGGCTAACCTACGGCGCAAATGGTGCAACTCGTTCCCTTTGTAGACTCAGTAGTGACCTCGTAGTATTGACACACTGCCGACCTCAAGCTGCATGTGAGGCTTTCCCTTAGCATCAAAATCTCATGGAATTTGGTGTATGTTGTCGGAAAAGACAGAAACATACGTCAACCATCACAAGTAGAGCAGATAAACTGCTCTCTTTTGCTTGCGCTTCGTTCGGGACATACATTGTTTCTGGATATATATCCGCGAATATCATTGGTACCGATGTGCTCGCAGTAGATCACCAACTCTTCGTACGCGGGATCAGTGATTATTCGGATATTAGTAACTAGCGAATTTCATCCAGGTCTTGCTATTTCGTTTCTGCACCAGGTCTAGTGTCCCTCGACTCACCGCTACGACAAGCAGCGGTTCCCCGTTGATATCTGTCAGTGGAAGGAATGCTGAAATCTCATATTGTATTGGTTATGAGTGGACAATCTCCGTATAATGAAATCACTTCAGGTCATTTTGGTGTTTGTAAAGAGAAATTTATTTGATTATCCGGACATGTGATAGTATCAATAAGATCTAAATGCTTTCGCAGGTTATTGTGACATTAACCTCATACACCATTCGTATTCAAGGAGGAGTACAACCGAGTGTTCTCAGAAATGTCGGAAATTCTGGGTAAAGGTATAGATATCAGTATGAGGATTGGAAACAGAGGTAGGGATCGTATTTTGTGTTTGAGTCTGCATCGGGGTAAATGTTTTGGGCTGGATGTACTACTTGAAGGAAGTGTAAGTGTGAGAGGAAGGGAGGGGACGTAAGATGTATTTGCCCTATCTCAATCTCACAGTCGGTTCTGCCGCCACTATCCACCATATCCACCTCCGTATTCAAAACCTGGCCATCGAAATCCTCAAATTTATCAAACCCCTTTCTCCCAGCCTCATACGATGCTATCGGCGTCGCATACAATGGGTCCGAGTCCAAGGATGTCGATGAAATCAATTCAACGTGAAGATGAACCCGAACCTGGATGAGTCCTAGTATGTGATGGTGGATCCGGATGAACAGTTTGTGGTATGTCGACTTGGCGAATCGGAACAGGGAAGAGCGAGAGGAGGAAAAGGGAAGATGGATACGGAGAGGAGGGGGTGGTGATGGAGTAGTAGTAGGAGAGAACGAGTAGTCGGAGGCGAGGACATGAAAAACGATATCTTCCTGCGGAATCTTTCACAGTATAGTGGATACTGGGTTTCAGCAATACTGCCAACCTTTTTGGTGCGCGGAGATTGTTGGAACGTCCGCCCAGGAAGCGTGTGCAAACCGAGATTGATGGGTCTTGTTTTCTTCAGGATCCTCGACTCGTACATCCTTTACAACGTCTTGAGCCTCTTGCTCGACGGTCAAGAATAGAGGTATGACGGATCTGTTGATAACGTATGTGAAACATAAGGCATATGAAGACGCGATACTGAGCCTCGATTTCTCCCCGCCGCTCCAAAGACTTGGCTGAGAAGTGTGGTGGGGCATGGGCTGAAACGTTGAGAGATGAAAGTGACCTCCCTGGCTATTGGAGCAGGCGAAGGACATGCTGGGTGGAAGTCGTGGTTATGAGCGACCGAGGGAGACAGAGCGAGGCGGTCAAGCTTTTATTGGCCTCATAGGCTCTCTGAAAGATAGAGTCTTCGCTCGAGCGGTTTTGCGATATATCCGACAGCTCAGAGCACCCAGCAGATATACCTGATTCGGTCCTTCGAGCTTGGACATCGCCTTCCTAGCTGACAAGTTCCAGAATGGCTAGTGTGCATCTTACAGGAATTGCACGAAGCTGCAGAGCTAAGGTGTTCCAGTAACGCCGGTGTTTACCAAGAGCATTGTTGCTGTCCCCGTCCCTCAAGATATTCCCGCCGTCCTCGATATTCTCTAATTCCTAACTGTTTTCCAACTTTTCGAAACGGCGTCTCGTGAAGAAGATGAAGGGGCGTGAAGTCTGTATTAGAGCTGATGGCAAAACTCGTGCCGTGAAGAAACGGGAAAATAGGAATGAGAGTGGAAGTAGAGTAATAAAGGTGGCATAGAAGCGGATAAGACACTCGGAGCCGCCGACGCCTGACGAACTTTCGAAACATATACTTTCCACAACGATGTTGACCAGCGAGAAGTCAGAGAATTGGATGGCAAGAATCATTCGTGCCTTCGAAAACTTGTGAGGGATAGAAAAGGGTTGAATAGACCTGATAAGATATCAGGATAATTTGATGAAGTAAGGTGAACAAGTGCAAACAATTCGCGCCCAATCCGAGGCCACTGCGCAGTGGTCGTCATCCAGGATTCTCCTCTCCCTCCCTCTCTCTCCCATTCCTCCGCAAAGCTAAAGGTAAAACCATTTATTGTTAGTATGGTGTTAACGGTTGGGGTGACAGGATCGTCGTCCAAGAACAGGAATCTTTGTAGCTTCGGTCCAGGTCCGGTCCTCCAGCTGAGTACACTAAAGGGAATGTCCGGATATTGCACACAAGGCTATTATAGGTGGGGCATGGGGAGCAGCATGGAAGCCGTCAACATTGAGATACAGAATTGGATGTTGTTGAGCGACGAGGTATGATTTCTCCGAGGCGGCAAAAACCAAATCGCGAAGAAATGTCGAACTAAGCAAAGATCGCACTAAGGACAATGCGATACGGCGAGGAAATCTGTTGTGTAGAGCAAGGTAAATCGAAGTTGGAGCCAAGAGATCCTGGCTGCATCTGCGGATCCCTCTTACCCTCTCTGTATACGGATGAGGAAGAGGCAGGGGAAGAACCGCATGGCGAGGATAAAGAGGGATAAGCAGCAGTAGATGCAGCAGACTGGGAATCAGTAGAGCTTGAGTTGGAGTTTGATATGAGCTGTTGAGCTTGTCGAGCAACTCGTTCAACCCACATCCTCCATTCGCTGTTTGGCTCATATTCTTCCCTCAGCCTCCGCGCAGCCTGTGGCCAGCCACCGATATATGTGGGATGTGCGACACGAAAGAGCTCAGTAGCAGTTTCGAGAAATATATCGCCAATACGTTGGATGATCGGGGACTACACAAAGACAGACGCGGTCAAAGAAAAATTCGATGGAATGAAATAAAAGAAGCGGAGTAGAGCGACTTGCCTGCTCTTGTTGTCGAACAACAAACAACGCTTCACGATCTTCACTCCCACTGCCATTTTGCACGTTTCCGTTCGAGTATCCTTCCCCATCGACCCCATTACCAATCGTATACGGATGGATACCGTTCGACCCATTCGACCCATAGGTCGAGTTCAACTGGGTGAGCTATGGATTCTAAATCAAAGTAGGAGATGAGGAAGCCAGTTCTCCTGGACGAGATTTTATTGTAGGAGGATTGGATTCCCAAAATGGCCGGATGAAAACAGCCTCGATGGCATCGAGGTCGGCGAGGAATTGTTCTTTTTTGAAGGTGAATGATGAGCGATATCAAATGGCTCAAATGCGCTGAGAAAAGCTACTCACGTCTGTCGATTGACCTCATTCTCCGGGAAATTCACCAAGACCTCACTTGGGACGCTGTTGATCCATTCTTCGCCTCTGTCGTGCACCTTTGATATTGTGGAAGAAGACGAACCGGGATCGGCAGCCACAAGTGAGCCTCCTCCACGGGAAAGAGGGTTAATTGAAGGTCCGAGGATGGAGTCTCCCTGCATTAGAGTATAAGTATATGCTTGGATAAGGAGGAACGAGAGCGAAGGGTTATCCGAAATGAAATGATCAGGGTATAGTCGAATTTATGATGGAATGACAAAAAAAATTCACCTTCTTAGGGCGTCTTGGGCTGTAACAGGTCATTCCCTCCATGCAATCCGGCGAGTAACATTTCGTCAGTGCAGTAATGATCCCAGTAGGTAGTCCTGTGAGTTTGGAAGGTGATGAAGTTTGAGCGGAGGATGAACCTGAGACAGGATAGAGGTGGTGAGTCAAATGAACAAAGGTGTACGACCACAAGCAACTCACTGGCACCTCCGTCTAAATCATCTATGTAGAAACATGTAAACGTCCTCAACACCATCTCGCAAGACCCTTCCACTCCGTTCGACTTCGTAAAAGAATAGCTGACTATGTAGGGATCTTGCTACCTGTATAATTGATACAAACGAACTGTGTAAGAAACGAAGCCAAAATAGAATGGGTACACATAATGTTACGCAAAGAAAATAGAGCACCTGTAACGCAGCCCGTCTGTCAAAAGCACCATAGTTGATAAAAATTCTCGTTGGATCAAAGACTGGATGGTAGACTTGAAAGCACGCAATTCATCAGAATACATCAAGGATATACAGTACCAGTGTGTACTCACCACTCTAACGTATACTGGGTCGACCACTTGAGATATCGTGGGTGGGGTGGTAAGTTATTGGCCAGGCGCGTCGGAGATCAGATCATACTCCTTTCACTGTCAGCGCCTAAATCGCACTCACCGTCACATCCTAGACAACCTATTCAGCACCAAAAAACTCAGATACTGGCTGAACTATGCTTGCGTCGACTTTGTTTCTTTTCGTCTAGTGCTAAGGAATGAAGAAGTGAGTACAATATCGTGTTTCATGTAGATTCATTGAAGCTGCAGAACAAGCTGTTGGCAGTGTTCTTCTCCCGAGTCCCCTGTATTCTTCCTTTGCCATGCCGATCCCGTGTGCAGCTCGACTTATTGCACAGACTGATGGTGTTGCGTGACGCGGGCGATGGAAGGACAAAAGACCTTGAGCTTGAGGCGCTGGATTTGTGGCAGGGTCAAGAGCTGGGGATACGAGGACAATATCACGCTTCAAGGGCCGGATGGGGGTGCATTTTTTGATATGGCAACTTGCCACAGGATCTCACGTTTCTCTCAACAGTTCTGGATAAAGCTCTCGGAGTTTCTATAACCTCCGTCTATTTGCGACGGCAGAGCGATACAACCAATGTTTCGTGATCTTTACGCTCAATACCTCTCTTGGATGTTTATACATATTGCTTCAACGCTTTTTATCGTCTTGCCGATGTATACGAGATAGAGACGGCTCTAGCTTCGTTGCTTCCGGATTCGTATCACGATTCCAATGCCACTCGATTTTCTCCTCCCTGGCCTATTCACCTGACTTCCATGCGCTCAAAATGCCTCAGGCTCTAGGGTCTAGTCTTGCCGCTCCTTTCAATGCCTTGTCACGAATCATTGAATATCACGAGGTCGGTTATGGTCGATTCCAGGTCGACTAGTGAAATTCTAGTGATACATAACCTCTAACTATCTATTTCCCAGATCCAGGCCTGAGTCCCTGCCAAAAAACCATCCAATGAGCACCAGAAGCAACAAATCTGCCCCCAAAATTCCCTGGATTGGATATAATTTCAAAAATCCCTGGATTCAGGAATTTTGCCCTGAATCTGTCCAATTAACAGACATTCCTCTTAATTGAGCCCCTCAATTAGCAGACATTCCTCTTAATTGGGCGCCCAATTAGCAGACATCCCTCTTAATTGAGTGCCTCAATTAACAGGCAATTCTCTTAATTGAGTGCCTCAATTAACAGGCAATTCTCTTAATTGAGTGCCTCAATTAACAGGCAATTCTCTTAATTGGGCGCCCAATTAACAGGCAATCCTCTTAATTGGGCACCCAATTAACAGACATTACTTGATAGATTGCTCAATTTGTAAGGGGGTTAGGATTGGGGATCAAGTGAGCTGTCAGATTGTGTCAAGAGATTGGTGATGATTGTTGTGCATTCTCCATTTCTGCTTCATCAATCTGGTATTGCTGGGACAAGACTGGTGTTACTGGCTGTGTCTGTGAGTTGACTCTGGGAAGGCATTGGGTTATGCAAAAGGACATGTATGGTTAGGGTGGTCCCCAAAAGTTACCTGAATTGCTGATTCCAGGATGCTCATTATTTCTGGGCAATGAATGTTCCTGCACAAGGAAATGTCTCTTGGAATTGAGGAGCTTCCTATTCAGGTCTAGTTTCCCAGACAACACTCTTGGCTGCCCCTTCTGGTTCACAGTGAACTAAGTACAAGGTTCCTTGGTTAGGGGGGTTCCTTGGTTATCCAAAACCAGTCTGCAATAAAATTAATAGTTCTTTCCAGATTGGATCTGGAAAGTTCCTCTAACAGTGTTAGAGTGTCTCATTCTACTAGCAAGGTCCAGTGCTGGGTTTTTTCAGAATTTTGCTTTGCTTTGGATTCCTCGCTCCTCACCAGAAGGGGGTGCATTTGCCTTAGGGGAGTATACATATATACTGTTTGTCTGTTGTGGATCCTGACCAGACTATTTTGATCTGGCATTGATTCCACTGGAGCCAGAAGGTATGCAGTTGCGGAACTCATATGCCTACAATTTTTTGCAGCGATTATGAATTCTGACAACTCTTTGAAATACTGCAAGCGTCATCTACAATTACCTTGGCAATATGTGCATAAGTTACATAAGTCTTGACCAAGTTTGCATTCAGCTGCCTGAAAATTAAGAGTAGCAGCAATGAACTTAGTGCTTTGCAACTCAAGAGGGGAGGGTGGAGCACCGAGGCTGGAAGAAATGATCTAAGCAAGAGCGTGTTTGATGTGCTTGCTCCCATAGACCCAAGGGTACGTCCAGTGGTTGAGTTACAGCTTGTGGGTGCTTTAGATCTTTTTGCGTGCGCACGTCTCACATCCCTCTACGTACTTTTCCACGAAGGAGCACAGTGTTGGCCACCAGAAATAGGTGCTAACTAGATCGAGTGTACCATGAAACCCAGGGTGTCCAGCAGTGGGATGGTCATGACATTGACGTAGTACTTATAGAATAGCCACACGACAATGGGGTATTGTCATGGGAAATCTGGGAAATTTTGTTGGTCAAAGATAACAGGAACCACTGCAGCGATTCATGAAATTTTTGTTGGACCATCTAGATATACTTCCAAATATACCATAACCAACCTCTGACTAGCCATTAGTCATCCAAACTCATGCGGGAAAGTCCGTCGGAAACTGCCTGTTTTTCAGTGGTCGGTCCAGCACAAGTCAGCTAGAATAACAGGATCCAGATATTGTATCAACTATCTGAGTCAGCCAAAATACTCGTAAATAGTCCTTTTACACCCACCTGACACCATTTATTTTTAGGTCTAGTTTCCGTTCCTTGACGGGCCAATCTTTCAATTTGTTTCGAGTCTCACTCGAGCGAATCTTCTTACGCAAGAATAATGAGATCCAGCCAAGATACAGTCATTGTGCCTGGTACAGTAGGTAGATATATATCTATTCACCTTGCAACCAACCTCCGTTAAGGGATATACTAGCTATCCTGGAAATGTAGCCTATGCCAAAGTCACAGGGGTGATTTTTGTGGTGGGTCATATAAGTTGCTCAGGATAATAGGTTCCATACATGATACAGCTAATCTGTATAAGCCAAAATCTTCCATTTACATTCAGAATATATGAACCAACCTTGCTTTTTCCTTACTTTGACTCTACAATGTATCCTGAGTATGATTACATTCCAGTACCACCAGGAAGGATAGTCAAGTATTAGTTGAACTGGAATACTTACACAGGTAATTATACTAGGCACATCTACTGCTTGAATAAACATTGTCAAGGCTATATAATACCACCTGTACATGTACAGTTGTCGAGGACGTACTGAATGAGTGAGGTACGCGGGCATAATATTATTCTGCGGCAGTTTCTCGGGTCGGTCCGGACTTGGCGCTTGATTTGGTTTGGGCGCCAAGTTGCCACTCTCGTTCTAACTACGACGTTCAACTCTGTATATAGGTGAGTGCAACGCCTCCTCCCTCTAATCCTTACACCAGCTGACATATATTATTTCTTTGTGAAGCTTTTATTCTAATTTATTCTTTTGCTTGCTCTGTATTACGCGTAAGTATAATAAGTATGCCCAAAAGGTAAGATTTTCGCTTTCATTCAATCTATCAACCTGACATGTCGTGTCGAAGACGTTGTGATGAACCCACTTGCGCCTACCCATTCGCTGGCACGACCAAGGCTAACCATCGCGCGGAGTATCATTCGGGAGGACACGGGTTTGTCTACCTAGGTGCGTTCATGATCCTCTCTGTAATTCTCTCTCTAATTTATGACATTATCACAGGTACCTTGGTCCGAGTACATCGTCGCAGCGATGGAAAGATTCCCTGCCCCTGTGGTCTCGAATCACACGCTCGGTATAGCTTCAAGAAGCTAACCGCTCTCAACAAACAACTCCCACATCCTGGACCCGAAGCTTCCGAATGGTCCGACCATCCACTCAACTCACGAGCAAATCCTTCGCCAGCACCTCCGTCGTCATCTCCTATACCTACCTCACCTTATGTCGAACACACCACTAGTTCTTCCAGTCACGAACCTCAACGCACCTCTCAGCAACATTCGCCTGGGCAAGATACGCTGTCACCCCCACCCAATTCATCCGGGTCTGCTCTGGAGACTCGACAGGGCTCGGACATGGCTGAGGAAGGATCTGAGGGGGTGCACCACGTCGATGACAACGTCGAAGGGTTGGACTTGGGCTGCCGGGCTGGGATTGAGGTACATGAAGATGTCGAGATGAGGGACAGGGTCGGAGAGCTTGTCGAAGGTGCGTTTCACGTAGGCCGGTCATAAATACGAGGTCTAATGCGTTCAGTTAGATGGAGATTCCACGGGCGATGAAGGACTGTCGGAGGAAGGAGAACCGTCGGATGAAGAAGCTCAACAAACCGACGATTCCATGGCTATCGACTGCGTCTCACGTCAAGACGCTATCAATAGTCTGGCTAGGTTCAACACTCTTGTTGAGCCTGCCTATCATCTTGTCGTATGCACCGAATGTGCCATACCGGTTCGCATGGACGACATGTATACACACCAGAAGACGAAACACTTCCAATCCTTCCACCTTCCTCCAGAACTGAAGCTGCCATCCAGAGCACAGTTCCGATCTCTCGTCGTCGCCCTCGATGCCGACAAGCCTGTAGACGTTCCAGGAGGCCCCATCCCACGTATTCAGGGTGTTCAAATTGTCCAGGGCTTGAAGTGTGCGATATCGGATTGTGTTGGGGCTGTCTTTGGCGTCTCGCAAGGGAAATCCAGGCCACTTCAAAGGCATCAACTTCGGGACCATCCTGAAGTTGCTATTGCAGACCGGCGTTCATTCGTGGTTCCATCCCATCCATTATCTAACAGTAGGAAGGACAGACGGTTCGTCGAAGTCTTTCCTACTACCAGCTCCACTGCCCCTTGTCTGCAACATATAGTGAAAGCCGCCGATTCCTGCAACCTGCTCGAGCACGAGCAGGTATTTACCGTTGCATCGAACGAACGGGAGAAGAACGCTGTTTTTGCACAATCTCGTTGGGACGAAGTGCTTAACGGCGTCAACCTTAGCTTGCTTATGGCCACCATATCTAGTTCCAAACGCGATGCCTTTCCTATCTATATTACACCTCTATTACCGGTCTAGTTCCTTTGCACCTATACTGGCCTAGGTAGTGAGTAGAACACTCTACACAGTGAGTAGGATACTCTACACAGTGAGCACAACACCCTCTCATCACTCTACACAGTGAGCTCACCACTACTGTTGCCCACAGTGACCTCCACACTGTGCTCAATGCTGCTGCTCATTGCCATACACAGTGAGCTCAACACTGTATACAGTGTCCTCAATGTTGTCTCAGACAGTGACCTCAATGCTGTCCACAACAAGCTCTATGCTGTCCTACACAGTGAGCTCAGCACTGTATACAATGAGCTGGTCATTGTCTTGGACAGTGAGCTAGTCATTGTCCTCCACAGTGAGCTCAACACTGTATGCAATGAGCTGGTCATCATCTCCCACAGTGAACTCAACATTGTCAGACACAGTGAGCTTGTTGTTGCTGTTGTAGACAGTGAGCTCGATGTTGTCATAGACAGTGAGTTTGTTGTCATCGTTGTAGACAGTGAGCTCGACGTTGTCAGACACAGTGAGCTTGTCATCGCTGTTGTAGACAGTGAGCTCGACGTCATCATAGACAGTGAGCTCATTGTCATCATTGTAAACAGTGAGCTCGATATTGTCATAGACAGTGAGCTTGTTGTCATCGTCGTAGACTGTGAGCTCAACGTTGTCAGACACAGTGAGCTTGTCATCGCTGTTGTAGACAGTGAGCTCGACGTCGTCATAGACAGTGAGCTTGTCATTGCTGTTGTACACAGTGAGCTTGACGTCGTCGTAGACAGTGAGCTCATTGTCATCGTCATAGACAGTGAGCTCATCGTCATCATCATAGACAGTGAGCTCGACATCGTCATAGACAGTGAGCTCGTCGTCATCGTCGTAGACAGTGAGCTCGACGTCGTCATAGACAGTGAGCTTGTCATTGCTGTTGTACACAGTGAGCTTGACGTCGTCATAGACAGTGAGCTTGACGTCGTCATAGACAGTGAGCTCGTCGTCATCGTCGTAGACAGTGAGCTCGACGTCGTCATAGACAGTGAGCTCAATACTGTCCACTGTCAGCCCAGATGTCCATTTTACGTATAGAATTGAAAGTGATTCTATACGTAAACGTCTCTGAGATTTTACGTACAGAATTTTGAAAATTCCATACGTAAAATTTTTGGCTTGTTCGATTCTTGACCAAGTTTTTCCCACGGGGGTCCAAAAAAGCGCACTTTTATAGCCTTCTGACATAGCTTTGCACATCAACTCAAGTGCTCAGCACTGTACACAGGGAGCTCAACACTGTATACAGATAGCTGAACACTGTACACAGGGAGCTCAACACGCTGCTCTACACAGTGGGCCATGGAAAGCTCCTTTCCCATTGCTGTGCTATACATCACTGTGTATAGCAAGCTCAACACTATGTACATTGAGAGACATCTTTACATTAGTGGAGAATATACTCCGATTCTGGTCACGCACTTGTCACCATTAGACTCGCAGTACAAAAAAACCTAGGGTCACCCACCAGTATCATTGAAATTGGAGCACTGGTTGACCCGCAAGTTGCAATACTAGTTTGTTACTTGTTATTTTGTTTTGCTTATAGCAGCGTGAATACTTCGGCGCACAACGTCGCAGTCACGTGCTTCACCTCGCCTCTCTCCGCTCTTCATTTTCAATTTTCGATATTTTCCGTGAAGCGTGGGAACTAATTTCCGTTTTTAGTGCGCCGCTCCGAGTTTTCCTCTGGGGCGCTTTTCAGAGTCATTTATTGCCCTTTTAGGCAGTCAGACGCTTATTGCTCATTATGGTAGGGCGCTTGTTTTTATGCCTTATTAGGGTGGCCCAGCGCTTTATTGCTATTTCAAGTAATTCCTGCAGTTTCTGCCATGTATGGACATTCTGCCTTGAAAGACTCATAGAGGGCGCATTTTTTGACCTTATAAGGAAATTCTTGAAGATTTATGATCCTGGGACCCGCCTCTTCATTTTCATTTTTTTCTTCATTGGCGGGTAGCGTGGGAACTTAGGCACAGCCACACCTCGGTGGAGCCAAAACTCGGAGTGCACACTTGGATAAGTTCTGAGGAGCCCCCTCCTGCACAATGAGAACTTGGACATGCTGTTGAAGGTACTGATGCACTTGTAACTACTGCATACCTGATGGAAAGGTATTGGTAATGGCTTAGACTGGGGCTCCAAAATAGCTTCTTATAAGAGTGGAATACAGGTGTTTGAAGTAGTGGAGTGTATTAGTGCTGCAACAGATACAACTTGTGTGTCGACGACTGGACGTACTTTCTATACACAAACTTTTTACGTATAGGTTTTGGTTCAATTCTATACGTAAAGTTTTAGAGGTGGATTCTTTTTTTTCCAATATTTCTCCAGCCATGAACCAGTTAGTGAAGGTGCCCGAGATGACCACGCTGACTAAGCATGTTGTGGCATTTACAAGTGTTTTGACTTGTGAAACAGATAGGTATTACATATCACCAAGTAACATCTGAGCAACCTCCCACTCTTCCAATTCATCTCCCAGCCCAGCTTCAATAGCCAGAGTTTTCCAGTCTGCCAGAACAGTCATGAACCAGACCACAATCTCTTCCTCAACAACTCGAACAGGGCGGGGTTCCAATACAGTATGTTCACTGTTATGGAACATTAGTGTGTGAGTTCTAAAGAAGGATGTTGTAGCTCACGTGCTACGGACCCATTGCTGGGTAATCTCCATGATTGAATGAGCATGATTACCACTCCAATGGAATTGGAGGATGAATGGTCTTGGGCCCCAACGTAGATCATAAAGGACAACATGACGACGGTCAATACGACGCTGTGCGAAGAAGGCTTGGATAACTGGAGGGAATTGTGAAACAACTTGGTGTGTAAAGACGAAGAGCATGTTGAGTAATGGTTAGATGCTTTTGAAGGTGAGGGGTGGGGGTAAATTGAGGGGGATAGAGAGCTGTTATATATGTTTGAGGGGTGATAAAGATCAATGACAGCGTGTGATTTGAGTAACAATGGCAAGGATATGATTGGGTAGAGATTTGATAACAAGTGAACAGTGCTCAAGTTTACATACAGAGCAATTATTTGGAATGGGACATGGGAATGAAGCATCAGTATTGAGGATTGATTGGTAGTTTTGGTAATGATTGCAACAGTTGGAGCAAGTACATTGACATGGAAGTCAGATGACAGGTGTGAAGAGAAGAGGTGTAAGACAAGTGAGTTTGATGAAAGGGGTGACAGAGTGTTGGTGAACCCCGGGGAGTATGAACCGCATGGGGGGGTGCAATGAAGTTGATGTGGCAGAAGAAGTCAAGTAGTGAATGCAATGGAAGGTGAAAGAATAATGAAATTGTTTGTTGAAGAACAAGAAGAGAGAAAGTGGATGAAGAAAGGATAAGATAGGAAAGGGGTTGAAATTTAGTTTGAGTTGAAATAAAAGTGGGTTGGGTGACGTCGGAGGGTTTAGGGTTAGGGGTTAGGGGTTAGGGGTTAGGGGTTAGGGGTTAGGGGTTAGGGGTTAGGGGTTAGGGGTTAGGGGTTAGGGGTTAGGGGTTAGGGGTTAGGGGTTAGGGGTTAGGGGTTAGGGGTTAGGGGTTAGGGGTTAGGGGTTAGGGTTAGGGTTAGGGGTTCGGGGGTCGGGGTTCTCTCTCTCCCACCACCCACGACAGACCCACGGGCGGCGGCGGCACGCGCGCGTCCCCCTCCCCCCTCACCCCCCCTACCCCCCCCCCCTCACACCCCTTACTCCCCTTCCCCCTCCCCCTCCCCCCCCCACCCCCCTTGCCCCCCCCTCCACCCCCCCCCCCCCCACCCCCTCCCCCCCTCCCCCTCCCACCTCACCCCTCACCCACTCCCGCCCCCTCACCCCCTCCCACCCCTACCCCCTACACCCCTCCGACGTCCCCCCCCCCCCCTTTACTTCACCCCCCTCCCTCCCCCCTTTCCTATCTTATTCCTTCTTCCCCTTTCTCTCTTCTTGTTCTTCCACCCCCCATTTCATTTTCTTTCCCTTCCATTGCATTCCTCCTTGCTTCTTCTGCCACATCAACTTCATTGCCCCCCCCCATGCGGTTCATACTCCCCGGGTTCCCCACACTCTGTCCCCCCCCCCTTTCATCACACTCCCTTGTCTTACACCTCTTCTCTTCACACCTGTCATCTGACTTCCGGCAATGTACTTGCTCCAACTGTTGCAATCATACCAAACACCAATCAATCCTCC